TATTACCTACTTTGTGTCTACCGTCAGACAAGGATCTACACTAAACAGGGCCACGAGGACCGAAGCTCTTTATTAGCCAAAAGAAGGAGGGAGGTTACTTGAAACCTTAAATGTACAGGTGTAGGGAGTCTGGTGGAAACGCTCGATGGATTGATTGTAATCTGAGCCCAAGAATGGCCGGAATACCCGAGAAGCAGGAATATGGATGGAAAGTCGGGTAACTTCTGCAGGAATAAAGTGTGCACCTCAGTTCTATCTTAAGACTTGTGATGATCATTCACAGCGGCGTCATTGATCTTCGAAATGGTAGGAGTATGACTGCGTGCTCTGCGCGTTAGCATATTTGCGAATTCCATGATCGCGGACGAAAGAGAAATTTTCAAGGAGCTGGGCCTTGGATGTACGTCAGACTATGACGATGTACAATGAAAACGCCCTTGTGGATTATGGAAGGCGTGATCAAGATGTTCCACTCTTTGTTGATGTCGATTATATACTCTGTCGGCAATCTTCGTGTGAACAGCGCATTACATTATAAATTATACATATTGACAGCAATGACAGGGGAACTCATAGTAATGGCAATTAAACGAACGGTATATTTGCTTGATCCTTTATGTGACATGTAGATCTGAGTGACATGGAGATCTGAATGATTAAATGTGCATTCCCTGAAATAAACCTTCAGGGTAGATTAGAATTAGTAGTAATCTGTGACACTAATGCGTGATCGTGCCAAAAGGCCGCACATGGGTATCGAGAAAAACAAGCGGTAACTCAAACAGGGATGGAAATCCAACCCTCAACAGAAAGAGAAAGTAAGCAGCCCAGCTCTCAGCCGAGAGCCGAGCCATGCAGACAATATATAAAGATTATACGGGTACGGTCCTACCACCTCCACTATAGTCCAAGGTGGAGTGGTCAACCGATCACCTAGATGAAGGCATTATGGTGTGCTTAAGCAGCCTTGACAACTGGCCACCCATCCGTAAAGCCAAGCTCATTCCACCCGTAACGGTAACCTGCAGTACCATCGCCACCAGCCTCCTTCGTAGCGAGGGGATAGTAGTGGTAGTAGAGGATAGGTCCGAGGTCACTGTCCGTAAGAACACCCCTAGAAGTTCATTGGTCAGAAATTACGCCTTGTGGAGTGCAGATTGGCATCGCATCACTTACTCTCCACCGGGTCCATAGACCTGATTGTGGCTGGCCAATAGCATCGTTCCGCCGGAACTCTTACAGGCGGTGCCGTCCTTATCCACCTGCAGATCATAAACTCCGTTAGCTATGACGCGTATTTCCAAAGCACGAGGCTACCTTATTTGAGCATGAGCAGAGATTTCAAAACTTACAAATCCACCGAGACCAGTAGTGGAGCGACACACACGAATACTGTACTCAGCGCCTGCGGCGGGGGTAGTCGCGGTGTACGATCCAGCAATACCAGCGCTGAAAAAGAGGTAGTAGTAATCGCCGTGCTGGTACAGGAAAGATCCCTCCTCGCGGTGGTTGAGGGAGGCGTTATATGCCAGCTGGTAAGGAGTGTTGGAGCCGACTTTCAATGCACTCGTAAGCTCGACTTGGTAGATATCTTGCCAGAATGATCCGAATTGAAGGTATTGCTTGCCACCGATCTCGATCCAGTTGGGGTCAATGCGGTTGTAATCGGAGTTTGCGGGGATGCCAACGACGCCATGGTCGGTCCAGGAACCGGGCTCCATTGTGGTGGAAGTAGCAACGCCGATCTCCGATGTCTGCGTACCAATAGCGGAAATTGCATAGTACATGTAGTAAGTGCTATCGGCGTAGTGAACATCGGGAGCCTACACCCAGAAAGGTTAGATGCCAATCAATCCGTTTCTAGATTTCTTTGTTTACATACCCAGATATTAGTCTTGTTCGCACCACTCAGGGCGATGTTGGAGCCATCAGGCAAGGCAGAACCCAAGTCTGTCCAAGGGCCCTTCAGTGCCGGCGAAGACATGATGTTTACACCTGTGCCCGTGGAGAAGCGGAAGTACTTGCCATCCGACTTACGCTGGATCATGGAAGGATCATGAGCCCAGCAGTTACCAGTGCACGGCCCCCGAGCAGGGTAAGCCGCAACTAATGAAACGAAAAGAGAAAGGAGCCCGAGCATGGTGGGAGGATGAAGCAAGAGGATTGTCGGGATGGGAGGAGGTTGTCGAGGCTGAGAATGCTGTGGCTATGTTACTGCAAAAGAAAGAAACGAACAATGGCGGACGTGGCTCAATTTATGTTGATTTGCTCCGTCCTTTGTAGCCTGCGATGGAGGGTCATGCAGATGTCGTCTTTCCAAGTGGATTTTTCGCCTTGATGGAAGGTCTTGGGACCAGGGGAGGCCAATCAGGTCTGTCTTTAAGCTGCATATTGGTCCTATGAATGTAAGGCACATGTCAGTAGCAGATGGGGTCCCGACGTGGCTCGACCCCAAAATAGGGATAGCAAGCAAATAATCACCAATAGAGTGGATCATAAACAGTCTGGGTAATTGGCAAACAGGCCCACTTGGAGAGATCAGAAATGTAGTTGCTTAGCTACATCCCTTATGTGATGTCTCGCATCCTGTAATGCCTGGCCTCGCACCCCACAGGGGAAGCTCCACCCTGTCCGACTCGAGATTACAAGAATTTTGGCTTGTCCTATCTCCTTTCACAGCCTTGCCGTTCACAGGGATGTGCATGATTCGCAATCGGGAAGTGCGCAAGCGCATGGATCCACCTCTGCGGGAATCGGGGCCGTGGGCAGCAAGTAAGGGATCATCGCTTCAGCTTGCACTATTGAAGTTGTTTTGTCTTTGCTTCTTGCATGGCTGATATTTCAAGTACCTAAATCGTTGGAGGCGTTGCTATGCCAATCAAAATTCAACGAGATCATGCCAACTGTCCCCGAGATCGACTCTCGGACTATTATTCAAGATGTTATGGTAATGGCGCTGGTTAAGTCTGGGGAGTGTCAATGATCGACATTCCGTGTGGACCCTCGGCTTCGCCCTATCGCCAATAAGCTTCATTCAAGAGGCTCACCAGATTCCCCAGCTGAGTGCCTGGACCTTTTTTGCCAAGGAGCTTGATTTTCTCCCCGGATTTGCTCCGTTTGCTTATCGTTCCTGGAAGATTCGGTGTGACTGGTGTGATGCGGCTTTGATCTACCTTTGTTTTGTTTTGTTTTTTCTTTTTGCCTTTGGCCTCTCGCCCAAATAATTTGGAAGAAAAAGAAAACATAAAGGCCGCGACATACAATAACAAGGACACAGTCGGGGGCTCAGCAGGGGAGTGGAACCCTCATTTCTTACAGAAAGAGGAAGCGAAAGCCGAGACCCGACAAGGGAGCTCGGGAGACAGGGCCAACCACTCGTTTCTTTCTCCCATCTCCAAGGCTAAGACCGGCATTAGTGTCAGATCCTACACCGACTCCCGATATACGAAAGAGAAAGAGCCGTGTGCGATAATAGCCCCGCCATCTTGGCTCTCGTCATAAAGCGTCCGCTCGGGTTTTCTCCATCGCGACGAACCCCTCATGACAAAAAACTCCTCAAGTCACGCGAGGAGGCTAACTCCAAGGTAGTATTAACATCTTGGGCACCGGGCGCAGTGACGAAATACAGGAGAACACATGGCACACCTCGCCTAAGGGAAGATAAAGTATAGGGATGATTCACACCCTCAGCCAAAATGCGGCCCCTACCACAACTTAGAATATAGTTTACTCTAGGGCTGATGCTCCTGCGCCTCTCGACTGTCCACCTGCAGGTGACCCTTGGCGATGACACGATGACATGATATGATGGCACCACTTAAATGTCCGACCGGTTGTAAATATATCCCAGTTGACACGTATTCGTAAATTGGTGCCCGATCCGGAGCTTTACATATACGCCATCTGCTTATGTTTGCTTGGCACTATCTGGGTCCTGCATGTGTGAGGCAGTAACAGTTGGAATAAGCTGCTTTGCTTTTGCCCCTGTATCATTGGCAATTCATGGGTGCTGGAAACGGCCCTGGCCTCAAGCATCAAGGCCCGACCTTCAATTGGTCTGTGTACACCAAAACGCCTCTGTAATTAGGTAGCGATTGGGAAAAATCGGATTTATAATTTGTCTGAGATGTATAAAGGTTGCAAAGCCACGTGCATTCTAAAGCGATCCTTACCCAGGTGGGCACGACTTATCCATCATGTATCTAAGGAATATGACCGGTTGAACGAGGAGAACCTCGGGAACAGGTCAGTGTATACGAATACCGCCAACCTTGACATATCTTTAGCCGCACTACACTCATTTCATCAGGTCTTTGCTTTGGCTTCATTGAAACCTTGAAAGACTTGAAAGCCATTTTAGAACCTTGAGATGGACCCAGCTGAGCATTTTGTTTTGAATTTATTCAGCTTCAAAGGTAAATATATACTGTGAGCATAACCATCAAGTGGCAGGGAGTTGTTGGAAAACTATGTAGGTGTTGACCTGGACGTACAATCTAACTACTCACTCGCTTAAGAGGCCTACGGATGAGGTTATGTATATCCGATATTTTCCTACTTATGCTCCAGTACCTATCCACAAGTAAGACATCAGATCCATTGATCCACTGAGAACTGGCTAGGGAATGCTATTGTTGTGTAACTTTTACCCGATACATTCCGATACATTATTTACACGCTATTGATGCGCATTCATGAGAATAATTTATATCATTACGAGCCGTTACGTATCTTTACGTCCCACAACTGTCAATTTTTATGTCCTTCCGTTCGGTTTATTCGTCATTCCGATTTAGATAGCCAATACTACGCCTTTTTCGACATCCATAGGAGCAATGCCAATCGGACCGAGTCTTTGTTCATTACAAAATGGTGCCGATATAACCGATCTCGTACTAAATATAAAAGAAACTCCCGTGGACGTTCATGAGAAAATTAAGATCATCGATCCTCGAACTACATTACCTACGCTTCATAATACCAACTATAGGTATACGACGATGGCTGCAAGTGTCCAGACAGATGTGCTCATTATTGGCGGTGGGCCGGTAGGCTTACTTATAGCCCACGGGTTAGCCAAACAAGGCGTGGACTCCATCATTGTTGGTAAGAAACCCTTCCAAGGCTGATCATTTCTTTTTGGTCACCTGTTGATCAGTATCCAATTTTGTCTACAGAGAAGCATGACAAGACCGAGCAAGCCATGTACGGCCGAGCCACCACCTTGTACCCCCGTACCTTAGAGATGTTGGACCAGCTAGAGCTCCTGGACGAACTAAACCAAATTGGATACATTGCTCGAAACAGCGTGACCTACAAAGATGGTAAAAGAGTGACTTCGCGTGGTTGGCATGTTATGTTTGAGCGAATGCATGGAACCTTCTTGGACTACTGCCTGAACATCAGGCAGAAGTATTCTGAGAACGTGATCCGGGATACATATGCAAAGCTTGGAGGGCGTCTGCTCGTCGGCTGGAAGCTAGAGGACTATGCCATCAACAACTTATGCGGAAGTGAATTCAAAGTGGCTTCCCGTATCCGGAAGGGAGACACCGATGAAGTGATGTCGATCAATAGGTAACTCCTTGCTACAACTGTCATGAAGAATCATATACTGACCTAAGCCGTGACAGCAAATTCATTGTTGGTTCGGATGGAGGCCACTCACTTGTGAGAAGGATCGCGGATATTCCAACTCAAGGTGACCGTACTCACTACAAATGGGTCCGTATTGATGGTGTATTCAAAACAAACATGCCCGATGCCGATGTAGGCTTTGCCTCAATCGAATCCAAGAGTCACGGAAATGTTCTATGGGTTCAGTTGGATCATGGCGTGAAGCGTATTGGCTTTGCTATGACGGAAGAGATGCTTGCCAAATATGGTGATAAGCTCACTGAAGAGCAGGCCGTGACCGAAGCAGTTAAGTCAATGGAGCCTTTTACACTTGAGGTAGAAAGAGTCGAGTGGTGGACCTTGTATAGGTATTCGCTCCTTTGCATTAAGACGTTGAACAAGACAGCACAGCTAACATATTCACAGCATCAATCAACAAGTCGCCGACTCATTCTTCTGCAACGAACGAATTCTCTTAGCTGGAGATGCATGCCACACTCACTCATCCGGAGCTGCCCAGGGAATGAACACGGGTGTCCACGATGCCATCAATCTATCCTGGAAGCTGGGAGGTGTGGTGAAGGGCTGGTATGCCCCCGGGATCTTGCAAACATACGAAGACGAGAGACGCCCCGCTGCCCAACACCTCATTAAGCTCGACAAAGCTTTCTCGGCAACCATTTCGGGCACCGTACCCGAGGAGTACAAGGGAACCTCTCTGAATGCAAACGAACTTTTCACCAAGCTCTTTGATGACACAATTTTGTTCAACCTTGGCCTGGGAATCAACTACGGTGAAAGCATCATCAACAAAGCACCTCCAACTGGCATGATCTCGTCCGGTCGCAGGGGACCTGATGCTTTGATCATGGCCCCTGGTTCTCGCGTTCCAATCCGTTTGTACCAGGTGAGCCGAAACACTGGACAATGGAGTGTTCTCATATTCGCCGGACAGCCCTTGATTACCCATGATAGCCTAGCCCTGTCAGTGTCCAAACTGAAGGAGCTCCAAGCTATCCTCCCAAAAGACATGGTCCGGTTCCTAACCTTGGTGGCTGATAGCCCAGATGGAGGAGACAGGATGTTTGGAATCCCCCGAATTGGAAACATCTATTACGACAATACCCGGTCTGCCCATGAGGAATACACTATCTCGACGGGTAAAGGTGCAGTGGTAGTTCTTCGACCAGATGGAATTTTGGGCTATGCTACCACGTTGGATGATTCGGAGAGTATCAGGAATTTCTTTACTGATTTCGCCTCGATCATCTAACTGAAGGAAGGCTACCGTACCCCTTAAAGAAAAGAGAAGTGCCTAGGAAAGAACTACGGTGTGTTAGTCGGGACTTTGTTGACAAAGAAAACAGTTTAGACTTTCGACAGCAACATAGAGTTAGGGATCAATTGATGCATCCAATTTATAAGGTTTTGGTTTTTTTTTTTTTTTTTTTTTTTTTTATCCAAGTAATAGTTTCAAACCGAACCAGCGTAGATATGAAGAAAAACTTGAATTATCGTTGAAATTGTGCACATCAGCAACCTCAATAAAGTAAGAAGTTGGAGCGGACCGTCGGGTGTCTTTAATCGAAACCACGAAGCGTTAGGACATCTAAAGGACCATGTATGAAGTCACGCAGTAGTTGTATTTCAGACAAAATGCTTCCTCAACTTATCGCCTCACGTGATTTAATTTGTATGCATCAGACGCCTTTCGAGCCGAAACATAGGTAGACCTGTGGATTTAGGACCGGGACCCATGGGACCCCATGGGAATCCCATAATGGGATTTGGGATTCCCGCTTACGTGAGTCCCATAGGATCTTGGCAGTTGGGACTTGGACAGGCACCTAGTCCCATGGGTCCCGGTTTGCACAGGTCTAGACATAGGTATGAAAAGGCGCTGAGTTAAGGGTATTACTTTTTATAATTACCACCACACATCATGGGCAACTCTTCTACGCTATATAGAGTACCCCAAACTGTGCAGTAAGCTTGTCATATCTATTTCTATCTCTATCCTTGCTCGATGCGGACAAAATGAATCCTCGAGATAGAAGGGCTCTTTCCGAACGCAACACGCATTACAGGCCTACCAAGTAGAATGCCATTGGCCAGGGCTGAATGAAAAGCGCAGTGGTAACGAAAGGCAAATTTATAGATAAGGTTTCCATCGAAAGTTTGCAATAAGTAGTCAGAATTCCGTCCAGTGGAAAATAAATGGCTAGTCCAAACCGTGGGGAATAAGCGCTTCCGTGCCTCCTAGCTACTTGCGCTACTCCCACAAATGTCTTGCCCTATTTGCATGCTTATCTATACCTCCCTATCAACTTCAGCCTCAAGATAAGTAATTAGTCAACTCGGTTCTAGTAGACTTCCTCATTTGCAGCTTATCTCTAGCTCTTATCTATTTTAATTCGAATTAGTCAACTATTTGCCTTGCACGACATTTGCGGGATCTATCTAATTTCGCAAGAATTACTTTGTGTTCTTGTGCTCGAATGATAAGATTAGCTCACGTCGAGAACTCGAGAACCAGATATTTCGATAAACGGGCTCCACTAGCGAGTCACTTCGGGCGAGTCTCAAATGCCGAATCACAGGGCATTCGTCCTTTAAAAGGTGTAGCAGCAGCTCTAGTCCTAAATCACTATCTCAAGTCTCAAGGTTTTCAAGATGAAGGTCTTTTCAACCCCTTTATTTGTGTCACTTCTGTACAATGCGAATCAAATTGCTGCGTCGGCGTGTACCCCAGATGCATTTCCATCGATTAATTCCTCGGCTTTCAAAATTGCTGCGGTCCGTGAACCACCTGTAAACTTTGCTCTTCCAATTGGCCTCAACAAGACTTGGGTGAACCTTGACCTGAATGCTACCATAGATCAGGCCATCGGTATCATTGAAGAGGCACAAATTGACGGCGTCTCCCTCCTTGCCTTCCCAGAACTCTATTTTCCTGGCTATCCAGTAGTAAGTCTGCGCTTGAAGGTTTCTGCAGCGACCTTAAAACCACTCACACGTGTGATAGGCGATTAACACTGCCTATACGACTGAGAATATCGCGCAATATGTGGCTGAGTCTATGTCGGTTAATAGTCCGAACTTTCACCGGTTAGCTGATGCCTTTCAAAGGGCCAGTATGTACGGTTCTTTTGGCTTCTCAGAGATTGCTGATGATGCCATATACATGGCACAAGCATTGATTGGGCCAGATGGATCGACCCTGATTCACCGGCGTAAGCTGCGTCCTTCAGGTACTGAGCGTGACATCTGGTCCGATGGTGATCCCTCTGGACTTGTCGTTAAAGCCACCCCTCATGGGCGCATTGGCATGCTCGAATGTTGGGAGCATTTTCACGTAAGTATTAACCAATTCAACTCTTGTCCAAGACGAAAGCGCCGACCAATGAAAGATGCTGATAACATGACTCCCCAGCCGACTATGACCTTTCCGATGCTGGCACAGCTAGAGAACATCCATATTGCCGCCTTTCCGTGAGTCAAAGGTCCCGTTTCTTGCATTTGCATGTTTTTAACGAAGTGAACGTCGTTTTCTTGGAGTTATGCCTACGATTTCGGTATTGACCCACTTGCTTGGGAGTCCGCCGAGGTTGGGGTTTCCGCGGCCCGCTGGTATTCTACAAATATGGGCGGTACCGTGATCATGCCAGCTGTTGGGACCGCTGTAATCTTTGTTGACGGTGGTGCAACGGCCAATATTTCCAACTCCACGGCCAATCCTTCCTGGAGATACGTTTCGGCCACTATCGATACAACTTCATTCTCCAATGCGACCTTTGACCTCGATGGAGAGCATAGTTGGGGCGCCCTTAAGCAGATTATAGAGACCTATCCTTCCTATATTCTGCAAGTTGATAGCACCTTTTTCAAAAAGGAGACTCACCCGATTAAGAATATTACTTCTTGATAGGGCCACACCTAATATCACACGTTAAAAGCGTCGTCTCCCCCTAGCCCAAGTTGAGTCGCTTGATCATATCGTTACTCTCTTCAGGAGTTTCGTCTATTTACTATGACACGTCTGTCTTTATTTAATGCATGTTTATATATCCGGAAATATTCTTTCAATACATAACAAGGTCAACATTCTACATATTCGTACCAGTCTAGACGTTTATAGTTTCCATTTATTTCTTCTAATAGCTGCTAAGTCTCCAGATTATCTATAGATTACCTAGCTAACTCATCATTTTAGGTAGTTGCGTTCGGTTAGCTTTGATAGTATTCGAACAGAAGAGAGAATGGAAGCTGAACAATGCAGTACGAAATAACTATTTTGAGAGGGACGGGGAAGGTTGAAGAAGAGCCTATAGAAGTTAACCTATGCGTGGTGTTCAAATATAGATGCCTCGAATTATCTTGTTTGACGAGTCCAGGGGGCCCGGTTCCGTGCATTGTTTGCCAGTTTGGCTTCACCGCCAACCTAGCTGTCGCGTTTCCCAGCATCGTCCGAGAACACGAGCTCATAACAAGGCAAATGTTCAACTCAGCCGATGAAAGCCTCGCACGGCCTAGGTCTGTCAAGAGGAAAAGAGTCAGCGTTGCATGTAAAATTTGTCGATCTCATAAAATCCGGTGCGATGGGGATCGACCTACATGTGGCACGTGTCAACGCCGGCGAGAGGTTTGCTTTTATGATGATGAGAATAATCAAAATGACTCGAGGTATGACCGAGGAAGCGTGTAGCAATTGCGAGCTTCTGTGCTGATTAGACTTGAAGATCCTCGGAGCCGAATGTAGGTACAAGGCGCCTTGGATCCGACGGCCCTGGAATCCAAAAGCCTGTGTCCAATCAAACAACCAATGAATACTTATCGGGCGTGACTGCAATGGGTCTGGTCTCAAGACCTCTCACTAGTGATCCAGAGTCGACAGGCGGGTTTTTTGGAGACTCGTCCACAATCGCTTTCATCAAGCAGCTCCAGGACACGGTTAAATCAAGGACAGCAAAACCGCCACAGGAGCTTTCCCACCAATATTCGCGTCAATCTGTGTATCAGGAGAGCCCGAAGTCTCTGATAGATACCGCTGACTCTCATGAGTTGCTTCCACCACGCCACTTAGCAAACCATTTGGTTGACTGCTATTTTACCAAAATTCATTCGCTATACCCATTTGTTCACAAGGTGGCGTTTCTCGCTGCGTATGAATCACTCTGGAATAAAGATGGACTCTCCTCCAGTGTACGCTCAACCCGTGGACTGGGTCTTGGGGATGACAGTGAGACTCGCACGACCTTTTACTATGGGCTGAATGTTGTCTTTGCTTTAGCATGCCAGTTCTCTGATATTATTCAGGTTGAACGGGAGGCCACATCCGAGGCTTTCTTCCACACTAGCAAGCCGGCTTTAGATGTAGATTATCTCGAAGCCGGTGGTCTTGCCTTGACTCAGACTCTTCTTTTGATGGCACACTATCTTCAAGGTTCCCGTACCCCCAACCGATGCTGGCATGTTATTGGAACAGCCTGTAGACTGGCCCAAGGGATTGGACTGCATTCTGATGTGGGGAACAAGCATCGATCATTTGCCGGGATACAGGTTCGGAGGAGGGTATGGCATGGCTGTGTGATGCTGGATTTGTATGAGGATTGGCATCCCATTTTGTCTGATTACTTGGCTAACATTAATCCCAGGGCAGTAAGCACCATTCTTGGTCGTCCGGTCATGATATCACACACCCCATCCACCCCTCTACCAGAACCTATCGATGATGAATATTTAGTCGTGGAATCCTCAGAATGCGCTCAGCCATCGGGGCTGTTCTCCCGCGTCGAATGGTTCATTGCGACTCTGAAGCTGTATGACCTTCTTCGAAAGACACTAAATACACTTTACAATAATATCGAAAAACAGACCAGAGACCAGTCGGTGGATCGAGGCCGAATGGAGACTCTGCGCCAGATTGAATGCATCACACAAATTGACGCAGAGCTCCAGGATTTCCGTCTGACGGTTCCTGGGCCCCTCAAATGGGATGTACCAGTCCATGAACCACAGGACGACCAGTTCTTGAGAGAAAGATGTTTGCTGAAAGCTAGGTATATTGACATGAATCCACCATGTGTTTTCTTTCCTGACCATTTGCAGATTTTTGTACCTGAGAATTCTAATCTACAGGCCAATTCTTTCACAATCATTACACGAGATGTTATCCTACCCAGGAAACGAGACAGAACCTAAGCCTGGAAGGTTAGGAAATGGAATCTACGCAAATTTCACCATGGATTGCTCGGTCTTCTGTGTACAGTCGGCCATTGACCTCATATCTTTGGTGCACGAAACCTGTAACAACGACCTATCGAGCGTATGGTTTTACAATGTTTTTTGTAGGCACGCCGAACTACCGTCTTTTCTACCTCCTAGGCTTACTTTATCACAGACTTATTTACAGCTGGATCTGTCACGTTTCTCGCTGAACTTGACCAACCTATTGTGAACATTGTGACCCGTGAAACATTGAGAATATCTTGGGATAAGTGCCAAACAGCTCTTGATCACCTGAAAAACTATAGCATAGTAGCAGAACGATGTGCTGATAGTATGAAGACGATTCGATCGAAATTGCTAGCGGCGCTGTCGGGTAAGAGACCTATCCTTGGCATGAATTGACGTCAGGCTAATTCGGAAAGTAGAACAAGGTGACCAGCAGCAAGACCTCAACGAACAACCTGACATGGCAGCACACAACATAGGTCAAATGCCGTTTCCGGAGGATCTTTTCCGCGACTTGGCTTTCGACGAGCAGACTTTCTTTGACCCATTCTGGTATGATTTGGAATTTTAATAGTCACCGCTTTTGGTCAAGAAATCGCTCTTTCACTGCAGGTGCCAGAGGCCAGAAGGACATGATGTAACAGTAAAATGATGATGGATGCATAGTGCGAGTACGAGGATGGAAGTCGATTGACGTGTAATCATAAAGAATATTATAGAAGACAACAGAGCTTTCACAACACCAGAACACAGCCCTATAAGAAAAGCGTGCAGAGTAGTAAAGCTCTCATAAAAGTATCATACTTGACATAATCATTCATCTATACATTTTCTTCCGTCTTTAGTTCTTCCAGAGAGTGCTGCGCAGAGTGCTGTTCAGCTGCGCGCGGTAGATCTTGTTCTCGTTGAGAATGTACATCTGCCCATTCTTGCCGAAAGAGAAGTTCGAAGTGCCATCCTTAACCAGGATTTTACCCAATAAGACACCGCCAGAAGACCAAACATTGACACCGTCACCGCAGCCAGCGTACACATTCCCGTGCTGGTCAACCTTGAGACCATCAGGAATACCATCACCGGGCATGGCAAAAACCCGGCGGTTAGTCAGGAAGGGCTGTCCGTTGATAGTGGACAAGTCGAAAGCATAGCTGGATAGTATTAGTCAAAATTCCCCATCAAGTATCATCCATGCACGAATGGGAGACCATCTAGAGCTCAACTTACATAGTGGCAGGCTTCAGCGGATCAGTAGTTCCATCACCAATTGTCTCGGCAGTATCAGTAATATACACGGTCTTCTCATCAGGCGAGAAAGCAATTCCATTGGGCCGACCGAATCCATCTGCAACAACGCGCACAGCCTTGGTAGCAGGATCATACCGATAAACCTGGCATGGCAGCTTGGGCTTCGGCCGGACACCCTGGACCCAGCCGTAGATGGGATCCGTGAACCAGAAGGAGCCATCGCTGGCGACAACAACATCATTTAAGGAGTTAAATTGGCGGCCGTAGAAGCCTCCCACGATAAACTCCGCCTTGTTCGGCGACTTTGCGGACATCTGCCATAGACCACCTGTGGTGTTCATCGTGCCCTGGCCGGTCCAGAGGATGCCCCCGTTGTGGTTTACGCCGCCATTGGGCATAGGGACGGTCGAGTTGAGGATCTCGGCGCTGACTGGGTTTGCGGTCACGTTCACCTTGGATATCTTGATAGTTGTTTCGTTGGTGACTGGGTCGGTGAACATATTGCTGGACATGAACAGTTCATCAGTCGTTGGAACATAGACACTTGCCTCGTGGGCAAAAGGGAAGTCGTTGTTTTCCAGGATGACTTCCAGCTTCGGGGTGGGGCCGAGGATGTTGTAAAAGCCATTATCGTACACGGTGAATGCAGATGGAATGGGAGTGCTGGCCGAGAAGGCCGCGTGAGAGAGAGTGGTAGTCATTCTGGGTCTCACTTTCCGAAGGGATGGAAGAAGGGTCTCGGGGTTTTCTTCAGGGGGAACCCGTGAGCTTATTTACGTCTAAATTGAGAGGAGCTTAGATTTTTTGGCTTAAATGATGTCAGCAATCATTTGAATCCACTTCTTGCAGGTGAACAAACCAAATGAAGGTGGGGTTCTATAGCTTCCTGGCACTGGGCCGGAAATCGATCAGATCGGCACAGCTCCACGATCCACGGCTGGGAATTGCCCGAGGTTTCGCCTTGCAGAGCCTTGGAGGTTAACTGATCTACTCCTATCTTATGGTACCATCCGTGAATGTTGACCGAGACATGACTTGACTCCCGATTCAATTATCGCCCTTCAATGACTGGAATGAAACGAACGTGTTCTATCTAGTCATTTTTGCGAGTGGTTGGCGGATCATATCATTTGCGGACTTTCAACCCGTTAGGTTCTTGACCAGTGCACCGAGAAAACCTGAGGAATTCAACCCAGACAATGTCACATAATAACCAAGCGGGTGGTCAGGCGGACGTCACTCGATGAAAAGTGTGAAATTGTGAACCTGTACAGGCTGGAAGTCAATCCTCTCGGGGCTAAAAACTAATCCTCTCGGAGCTAAACACTCTGGCATTCACAAGTGCACCTATTCAATTGCACCTATTCAAGCTTTAAGAACCGCGCAAAACTCTTTGAATAGTTTAAATAATGATTCGCATTAATAAATCACTCTCGTTTGGGGACGTTTAGGAATGATCTGAGTGCTCGTCGTCGAAGACGTCGTCAGCGACACTTCTCCAAGCAAGTCCATGGAAGGCAAATACTAGTAGATCAAACATGATCCTTCTAGGCGTAGTGTGAAGGTAAGGCGTGATCTGCCTCTAGAGCTTCGGCGGGGTGTAGGTGTAGCTTTCCCATATTCAGGATGAAAGCAGTGGCGTTCATTCCTTGCATCTTTGCTAAGCTTGATGATACCGACAGCATTCGCTGCTCACTTATCATCAGGCAGCCCGTGCATGCTTTGGATTTATTGGCTCTTGGGTCTCGTTTGTTTGTTGATCGACTATCTCCAGACCATGGACTTCTTCCATGCTCAAGTTACTACGGCGCCAAGGAAAGGTGAAAAAGAAAAAATATCGGTGAGAGATTATAGAAGTTACCTTGGAAGGGTAACATGAGACGAAAGATTTGTGTGGTGCAACAGGAGTTAAATCACGGATTGAAGTCACCTCTGGGCGCTTGACCGGGGTGAAATATGGAGAAAAATCTTTGGGTATTCTAGATACAAGACAATCACTGGGCCATCTGCCAGGAGACCAACGAGCTTCTCTATGTGTGGAGTATTGCACCTTGGCGGAATTGATCTTTCCATTGAGCGAGTGTTCCTTGGTCCGTATACCAGGTAGAGGCCTAGACAGGTACATGTACTCCCCCAAAAAAACAAGCAACTCACCAGTTGGCCATATTCGCGAGTCAATGAACGAGGGCAATCGCAACTAAATAACCTGAAGCACGGGGGGCCATAGAATAATCTTCGGAGCATTGGAGCGTAAAGGCAACAGATAAGGACCGCGATATGTTGGCGGGTCCCCCCTCATCAAGGCCGCGCGGAAATCAGTTGTTCCGCCCTGCCCCACATCCATGCCACTTTCCAATAATGGCTCAGTCACTGCTGTGCATCAATCACAGGCATAGTACAATTTGGGCAAAACAACCCTTGCCTCGCTCTCTAATTTTGGGTCTGTGTCTGTTACACCCAAGGCACAATGGCGCCCCTGGTCACACTGGCTACTTGTGCGCTGAACCAGTGGAGTCTGGACTTTGAGGGGAATTTGAGGCGCATCAAACAGAGTATTATCAAAGCCAAGGAAGCCGGTGCAACTCTGCGCGTCGGCCCCGAGCTCGAAATCCCAGGATATGGTAAGCCTGTCCCACTGTCATATTCATACTCTCGCATTGTGCTCACCTTGTGCACTAGGCTGCTTGGACCACTTCCTAGAGACGGAAGTATACGAGCACTCATGGGATTCCTTGTACTCCATCTTGACTGATGAGTCACTTCACGGAATTATCATCGATGTTGGCTTGCCGCTGCTTCACCGGAACTGTAGATACAATGCGCGGGCCATCGTTCTGGATGGGAAGATCTTGTGTCTTCGCCCAAAACTGTATCTCGCCAATGATGGCAATTTCCGTGAGATGCGCTTCTTCACCCCGTGGAACAGGCCCAGACATGTGGAGCAGTATTATCTTCCACCGAGGATTCAGAAGCACCAGGGGGCTCGCCACGTTCCCATTGGTGATGTTGTTCTCTCCACGATCGACACCTGTCTTGCAGCTGAGACGTGTGAAGAGTTATTCACCCCTAATAGTCCCCATATTAACATGTAAGCTCCATTGCGCTTAGTCGTTGATTTCGATGCTGATCTGGTGACTATAGGGGACTTAATGGAGTGGAAATCTTCACTAACAGTAGTGGAAGCCATCACTCCCTTCGAAAGCTGGATGAACGAATTGCCCTCATTCAGGAAGCCACTCGCAAGAATGGCGGTGTCTATTTATACTCCAACCAACTGGGGTGCGATGGAGATCGGCTTTACTATGATGGTTGCGCGATGATCTTTGTCAACGGTGACATTGTGGGCCAATCCAGCCAATTTTCACTGAACGAGGTTGAGGTCGTTGTGGCGACAGTCGATCTTGAGAAAGTCCGGGCATATAGATTTGCCCCTTCCCGTGGTCTGCAGGCAGTTGCCGCACCAGAATATCAGCGTATCGAGGTGGACTACTCCCTTTCCCATGATAATCTGGACCTTGAGATCGACCTGCGGCCTACTGCCGCACGGCCGGCACGGTACCATCTTCCGGAAGAGGAGATTGCCTTAGGGCCTGCCTGCTGGCTCTGGGATTACCTTCGGCGATCCAAGGCCGCAGGTTTCTTCGTCCCACTGTCCGGGGGAATTGACAGTTGTGCCACTGCGACAATTGTCTACTCGATGTGTCGGCTGGTCATTGCAGCGATTAAGGAGGGGAATGAGCAGGTCATCACTGATGTTAAGCGGATTGCTGCCTTCTCGTCGAATCTTCCCGAGACGGCAGAAGAGCTATGCAATCAAATTTTCTGCACTTGCTACATGGGAATGGAAAATCAGAGCAGCAAAGAAACCCGGGACCGCTCGAAGGCCCTTTCTGAGCGGATCGGATCGTACCACACCGATGTCAACATTGACAGCATGTTTAACTCTACGAAGAACATCCTCACTCAGGCCACAGGCTTTGAGCCGAAATTCAAGGGTTGGTGCTGCTTTCACCGAGATGCTCACATGCTAACCCATCTCATCCAGTTCATGGGGGCTCGAACACGTCGAATCTCGCTCTTCAGAATATTCAGGCGCGGTCCAGAATGGTCCTTGCCTACTACTTCGCCCAGGAGCTATGTGAGGTCCGTAACCGCCCTGGTGGTGGTTCTCTTTTGGTCTTGGGAAGTTCTAACGTAGACGAATGTCTCCGCGGATGTAAGTATGCCCCCACATCCGTAAGCGCACTAGAGCATGCTAATATCGGGGCAGATCTGACTAAATACGACTGTTCATCCGCCGATATCAACCCCATTGGTTCGATCAGTAAAGTGGATCTCAAACGATTCATTGACTGGGCGTCCAAGGACTTTGAAATGCCCATTCTCGTGGACTTCCTGGATGCTGTTCCTACAGCGGAATTGGAGCCGATTACCGCGAACTACGTGCAAAGCGACGAGGTCGACATGCAGATGACCTATGATGAGCTCTCGCGTTTCGGAAAGCTGAGGAAAGTGGATCACCTGGGGCCATATGGAATGTTTCTTCGTCTTCTGGACGAGTGGGGTGGCGAGGGGAAACTTAGCCCCCGTGAGATCGCGCATAAGGTGAAGTTGTTCTTCCACTTCTATCAGATCAACCGCCACAAGCAAACCGTTGCCACCCCGGCTTATCATGCGGAGAGCTACAGCCCCGACGATCACCGATTTGATCTCCGGCCGTTTGTCTACCCCCCGGGATTTGAGAGCTGGTCGTTTAGGAAAATTGATGAGCGGGTGGATGCGTTAGAGAAACGGAAGAAGAGACAGGAGGCATAGGTATTGAGGAAATGGGCCATAGTCACATAGATCAGACTTGAACGTCTCGATATAGATGAAATTCCTAAAGGAGAAGCTGACGCCCGTTTGTTTTTCCAAATATACTTTGTGCCGCAGTGGAGACCTACCGAGGTGGATGCCAAGAACTCCCACCTGCATCCAGGGTTTGCAGGCTATGGACATTCCACATGGTTTGGCGTTTCAGGTTGTTTAGTCAGTTTATCTTATGCCCGAAATCTGAATTTTCTGGAAAACCGTTGAGTGTCCTTTGGGGGGGGGAAAGGGGGGAGATGAAGGCAACCTATTAGGCGAGGATGATGAGTGAGATGACGAAGCGTTTGGCGGGGACTATTTATCCGAGTGGATAAAAGGACTTCAAAGACGTCAATCAATTCCAAATCTTGTTAAATGTTGGTTCCAAGGTCCATCTGTCAACCTTGGAATAACTTGAGATATTTCCCTCGGTATCAAGAGGAAGAATCGATGGCTTCTAGGGGCCCGTTCGACTGCTAATCATCCCAAGTGTCCACTTCGACCCGTGTCCAGAAAATCTAGATTCTCGGGAGTCAACGCCCAAATCTCAGTTTCCCAGACTATTTGGTGATTTGTGATGACTCTTGCATGGTAATTTCCCAGGGCAGGAAATTAAAATTGATTCTGATATATCAATATAACCCCCGCGTCATCGTGCCCCGTCAACAAAAAAACCTCCCCAGCCACCGACTCCTTTTCCACCTCCCACGTGTGAATCGATGTTCATTGGCCAGTTTAACTTGCAACTGGGCCCCCTCTTCCCCTGGTCTTGGATTGATTCTCTCCATTCTTTTGACATTCCATTTTGGAGAGAACGTGAGCGAACAACGAGTGAAGGCAAACCTAAAACCAGGTTTGCTGATACTGTGGTACTTCCCAACCTGCCGATTCTCTGCGAATTGGAAAATTCTCCTGACACCTCGGCCCAATTTCAATCGGTCGTGTAGAGAAACACGCCCATCATGAGTGACGGGTTCTCATTGAAATTCCGTCGTCCTTCAAGCAAGCTGCAGAAGGAGTCCCCTAGCTTCGGTTCACGCATTCTTCGGAGTCACCAAAGCGCAACTTCCTTGAAACGTCATCCCTCCGCCCCCGTCTACCCGCGCTCCTCTTCCAACAGCAGCCGCGAACACACCCGCACTCGATCGAACGCTGCTGCTGTCTACGGCTCGTCTTCATCATCGCTTGAGCAACATAGCGACGGTCCGTCACCGGTACAGAACGACCATTCGTTTTTCCCCAGCTACAGCTCCCGCGCCCGCCAGAATCGCTTCTCCTACGATCAGCACAATTCGGATGAATTAACGACAACCCCCTTCGAGACCCGGGGCATGCTTAGTGCCTTGGATGAGAATAGCGCAGAAACAACTGACTCCCTGGCTCCACCTCATAATCCTCCACCTTTGCACTCCCAGCAGTCCAGTCCGATCAGCCCAGACCCACGACACCGCTCCTTCCTCCGACAATCCGCGAGTTTCACCACCCTGCCCACCCGGATGGATCCCTTCGCACATCGGGAGACTGAGCGGCCTGCAAACTCCAAGCGCCATTCCGATGAGGGGAGTGGCCACACTCGGGGCGGGAGAAGCAAAAAGGCCAGCTTCTCCAGTTTCATGAATAGCATGCTGGGCTCGCCCCGCAACATCAAGATCTCGTCCCCGGAGAACCCGGTTCACGTCACCCATGTGGGATATGATAATCAGACTGGCCAGTTCACTGGCTTGCCCAAAGAGTGGCAGCGACTCTTGCAGGAGAATGGTATCTCGAAGAAGGAGCAGGAAGAACATCCGCAGACCATGATGGACATCATGCGATTCTACGAGAAAAACACCCGTGGCGACGACGATGAAGTGTGGCACAAATTCGACAACGCACACGGGAAGGATAACGGGCGACCACCCTCGCCGCCGGGAAGTCCTCGTTTCCCCCAAAATCACGAAGGTAGCTTTGAGAACCCCCGGTCGCCGCCTCCAGTTCCGAAGGGACCACCCGGAGGAGCGCCGCCCCCGGCATCATTGACGTCCGCCGCTGTCTCCCCGCCGTTGGGCAGCCTCATTCCGCATCGAGCCCCTCCAAAGCCTCCCGGCATGACACCCGCGCGGCCCCCGCCACAGCCTCCTACCTCCCATGGACCGGCCCCCCAGCGATTGCCAGAAGCCTATGGAATGGGGACACCGCCCATCCCCGAAACAGCACCGCTGCCCATCGACCCACGGGGACCCTCTGGTTCACGCAATGGCGTACAGACACAGGAATCAAATAAGGTAGCTTCTCCGACGCAGTATCAACGACAGCAGGAGCAAGTCATGGCAGCTGCTCAGGAAGCGATCGCATCCAAGAAGCTGGATCGAAGTCCGAGCCATCGCCAACCGCCGCAGGCACCTCAACTGGCGCCAATTGCAACGAATGTCCCTCAGAGCTCTGCGGAACCTACTTCGGCTTCGGCCTCTCGAGCTCCCCCGGCAGCCAGGCCTCGTCAACAAAAGCGCCAGAGCAACGTTATGGATGTGAGGCAACGCCTACTGACAATCTGTCACCCGGGCGATCCTACTCAAATATATTACAACCTCAACAAGGTTGGACAGGGTGCCTCTGGTGGTGTGTACACTGCTTATGAGAATGGTAACAACAATTGCGTGGCCATTAAACAGATGAATCTGGATCTGCAACCCAAGAAGGATTTGATTATCAATGAGATCCTTGTGATGAAGGATAGCAAGCACAGGAACATTGTGAACTTCCTAGAGAGCTACCTTCATGGCCTGGATTTGTGGGTAGTCATGGAATATATGGAAGGTGGTAGTCTAACGGACGTGGTCACCTACAATATTATGAGCGAGGGCCAGATTGCAGCAGTATGCCGGGAGGTAGGTTTTAATTTCCCCTTACCTCCATGACTTTTAGACGAGATGATGCTAACAATTCTAAAACAGACCTTGAATGGACTCCAGCACCTGCACTCGAAAGGTGTTATCCACCGTGATATCAAGTCTGATAATATTCTTCTTTCGCTAGAGGGTAACATCAAGCTGAGTAAGTTGGGATATTTTAATACCTTGAAATAGGAATGGCAAGACTAACTTTTTCCAGCCGATTTTGGCTTCTGTGCGCAAATCAACGATTCGCAAAACAAGCGCAACACTATGGTTGGCACACCTTACTGGATGGCACCTGAAGTGGTCACCCGTAAGGAGTACGGTCGCAAGGTCGATATTTGGAGTTTAGGCATCATGGCCATTGAGATGATTGAGGGCGAGCCACCATATCTGACCGAGTCCCCTCTGCGGGCACTTTACCTGATCGCCACAAATGGAACCCCGACCATCAAAGATGAACACAGCCTCTCAACAACCTTCCGTGACTTCCTGCACCTTGCCCTCAAGGTAGACCCGGAGAAGCGAGCGTCAGCCCACGATCTTCTTAAGGTAAGTTCAAAACTTCTGTGCCATTCCTTTGGAACAATCATTGACTGTTTTTCTAGCATCCTTTCATGTCCATCTGCTCGCCACTTACGCATCTGGCTCCTCTGGTCAAAGCCGCTCGCATCAGCCGTGCTCAGGAGAAAGCGCAGAAGGGCAGTGCCTAGACGACCGACTTCTCATTCTCATTATCTTATCTTGTCTTTGTCTTCCCTTATACCACTCTTCCCGTCTCGTTCAGATACCCCCATCACTTCCGATGATTCTTCTAGATTCTGGCATGCCGACCTCCCCAATGCGCATGGCAGTCCCCGTTTCTGTACCGATTTTGTTTACCATTTTATTTCTTGATGAACATCTCTTTGTGATGAAAAATGATCTGATCTCGCAAGCCTTGTTTTGACCACGATCTGTCTCTGCTGGTCTATCTTATCTTTGTCATTCTGTCGGGGTGTTTTGTGTAGCACCATGCTAGTTCTACCACTCCACCACTGTTTTGAATTCGGTCGTATGTGGTGTTTCGGGTGCGACCTCGAGCTGTCTACTCAATTATTATACTTGTCCGTCGACCTCGTGGAATTTAAAATGCGATCGTCCTATCGTATACGGCGTTTGGCTCGCAAGGGGTCTTTACTTGAATTGTGTCATATCACACTCATTCTATTTTTCGCCTCTCTTCTAATACATTGTACAGGTCTGGTTCGTGTTGGACGGCCATGTTCATAAAAATGTGCTCACATTACAATTTACAATTTATGGTACTTACAAGCTGCTAGACCTGGAAAATACTTATTCTGTAATTAGGTGGCTGCACCTCTACAATGATGGATCCAGTGGGGGTGTCTATATTCAGCCACAGGCTAAGGAGCAAATCAGATTAGTCAAAATGCCGCAGCCTATACTGACGGTCATGATTTTTACTACCTCCAGGACTGCGCAGTAGAAATCTGGGAATTGATAGTTGATAGTCGAAGAAAGAGGCGAAGTGGCAATATAATTAGTTTCCTACAAGGCAGACACAGTTCTCTCCAGCCTAAGCTAATATCAAGAATCTAGGTACTAAATCCGAGATACGCATCGAATGGAGCTCCCGCCGTCGTCATTGCTGACTCAACACCACTTCCGCTCGGACACAACATTGGCACCTAGAGACCAACTCTCTTCTGCTCATCGATCGTGAAATTGCTCGTGTTTGAGCTGTGAATTACTGGGCTCTCTCTAACTCAAAATATCCCTTCTCCCGCTACACCTTCCCTCGACAGTGTTGTCCTGACCTCAGCCCAGCCCGCGCTTTGGAACACCTCAACCCGCTCCCCGCATTGAGCGCCCAACTCCCCATCGCTGTGTACTGCATAGCTAAGAAAACGTTATCGACACTCCGATAACTGCGATTCCCACCCCCCAAATATATTCGCATAAGTCCACTCGTCAGATTCCTAGGAGGTCCGAGTGAGCCAACTGCGATAGCGCCGAGAAACGGTGCCCGACTGCCCAACTACCCTACATTACCTTGACTATTTGGTCTTTCTGGGCCTACAAAACTGGTCATGTTTCGCGCTCAGCAGAATGCCTTTGATGATGCGGTCGGTGAGTTTGCGGCCATCCTGTATCTTGGGACTGCTCGTACCTTTATGGGTACCGTGGAAGCCTGTTGGGATATGAGACCACAGACCCTGCTTGGAGACGATAGACTTCTGACCCATGGAATTCTCTAACAGCCAAGGCAACCGACGAGAACCTGACATCCGAGAACTGGGAATACATTCTGGTGCGTCTTTTCGAGCGACAAGCTGCCCGCGTTGCGAGCAGTGATTCAGGACACGAGAAGCTAATTTGATATTATTTGGGGGGTATAGGATGTCTGTGACAAGGTTGCTGCCGAGGAATCAGGGTATGTGGTTTCTGAAGTTTCTTGGGTTACCGCTTGCGTATAGTGAGAGGGTGCATGCTAATTTCATATCGATTGTATAGCGCAAAGGAGGCGGTTGCTGCCATGATCAAGAGAATGGCTCACAGAAACGCCAATGTGCAACTTTATACTCTTGAGGTATGCAGAATATCTCCTTGTACCCTCTTAGTGCAATGGTTCGCTTGGTGACTGTTTTTCTAACTACGTTTTAGCTCGGTAATTCGCTGTCGCAGAACTGTGGCCCTAAGATTCATCGCGAGTTGGCCTCGAGAAGCTTCACTGATGCGCTACTGCGCCTGGCAAGTGATCGTGTAAGCACAGCCATTATGCGCATTTTGGGGATCTTATTCGCTGACTACCAGTATCTTTTCTTTAGAATACGCATCAACAAGTCAAGTCCAAGATTCTGGAGCGTATGGAAGAATGGACTGAGATGTTCTCATCTAACCCAGATTTCGGGATTATGGAGCAAGCATACATGAAGTTGAAGACCTCAAGTGAGAATTGTGTATCAATATGGCCTATTGTACGTTACTAATATTCTACAGACCCCAACCTTCAACCCCCTTCGAAGCCGGTGAAGAGCGCGATTACGGATATTGACAGACAGAAAGAAGATGAGGAACTACAAATGGCCCTAGCTCTCTCTGTCAAGGATAAGGCTCCTCCAGTTCCCGTCGCTCAAGCCGGGCCATCTGCGGCGGCTGCGGCTGCGGCATCGCGACCCGAAACTACTTCGCCTGCAGCTGAGTTGCCGGCTGCTGCTTCCGGACCTGTGCCATCTGGTACTTCAGCTGCCACTGTTTCGCGAGTCCGCGCCTTGTTCGATTTCCAGCCCTCAGAGCCTGGGGAGCTTCAGTTCCGCAAGGGTGATGTAATTGCTGTCTTGGAATCAGTCTACAAGGACTGGTGGAAGGGTTCTTTGAGGGGCCAGACGGGAATCTTTCCTCTCAATTATGTCGAAAAACTTACAGACCCCACTGTTGAGGAGTTGCAGCGCGAGGTGCAAATGGAGGGCGATGTCTTTGGTCAGATTAAGAACGTTGAGAAGCTTCTGACCCTGTTGAGTACTCGAAGCTCCGATCTTAATGTGCAGGAGAACGAGGAGATTACCAATCTCTACCATTCTACCGTTGCTATTCGGCCGAAGCTTATTGAGTTGATTGGGAAGTACTCGCAGAAAAAAGGTCAGCACACATTCGTTCTAGTTGAAAAGTATCGACGCTCATTACCTTCCAGATGAATTTACCCAGCTTAATGAGAAGTTCATCAAAGCCCGCCGCGACTACGAGTCTTTACTAGAGGCTTCCATGGCTCATCCGACACAACCTTATGCGCGACCTGGTCAGTCCCAGTATGGCTATCCTGGCGCTGCTCCTGCTGGATACCCTCCCCAAGCAGATCAACGATACTTTAGCCCTCAGCCTCAAGGTTGGTACAACTTTAAACGACTAGTTACTTGAGAGTTCAGCCGTTTAACTTTTTTTTTTTTTTAGAAGCCCAACCTCCACAGGCCCAACCAAGTGCATACTATGGTGCGGAGCAGACAATGCCTTATCGTCCTGCATCTCATTCACCCGATCCTCGTGCGCAGTTTGCAGGTGGACCTCAGCAACAGCCGGTGCCGCAACAGGCACCTCCATCTGATGCTTACCCACCTGGTAGCCACCGCCCTCAGTCTACGTATGACCACCCCCCAAGAATTAGGCACCTCTGTATATGACTCTCCCGTGGAACATCCTGCTGGCCACCGCCCAGCTTATCCTCTCAGTGGTCAAGCACCACCAGCCGGCCACCAGCATTTCCAACATCAATCCCAGGGGCAGGATTATTCGGCCCCTGTCTACTCGGGTGAAGAGACAGCTCAGCAGCCCCCTGCCTCTCAATACCCACCACAGCAAGCGCCGCAACAACCTCCATACCCCAACTCCCCGGCTGCTCATCAAGCCCCTTCTCACCAGCCACCTCCGGTCCCTGGATCAGCACAGCCGTCTTCGCAATACACTGCTTTTAACCCCGCTCCCTCGGCTCCTCCAGGTGGCGCAGAATATCAGGCATATCAGCCTCCGCAGGGCGGTGTTTCCCCCTCAAACCCTGCTACATTCTACAGATAATTCCCTAGGTTTTTTATTCGATTGACGAGTAGCGAATAACAAACTAAGTGGCATTATTTCGTTTTTGTGGTGGATGTCAATTGTTGCCTCATTTTTTTGCTAGGCCTTTATGTGTCTACCGTGTATTTAGCCGATCAATCACAGCTAGTCCAAGTTGTAGTATCATGATGTTGTCAGTACATACATACCTACGTAGCTAGGTGCCTACTAATTCCTTTCATACATCTGACCCTTCAACCTTTATAAGCTCTCAGAAGCATCTCATAAATCAGTCCTAGACCGAGGCATTTTGACTTGCAATTTTATTTCTGATGTTCGTTGTCCCGGTCTTACGGGCTTCGAAGTCAAATTAGATATATATTCCACTAAGCCACAGGTGCCTCACAAGCTACTAATATCTAAATGATACACAAATCCAAGAACAGACCGACACAAGGCCTTGGAAGTCTCAAGCTCAAAGGCTTTAGATTATGCAAAGCTTCCAGGGAGACCCTCGAATGCAAGTTCAACGTTATATTTTCTTTGCACTGATGTATGTAACTTCTCATCTCACGTGACCGAAACACAACGATACGTTATCAGCAATATCACCACGTGACAATATAGACACCTCAGTCCTGCATCAATCTCCAGGCGGACGACAACAAGGACCTCGTACCCTCAACAGCCTGACCCTCAAAGTTGCATTGGCATAGGCCACAGCGGTACTATATATCATCATCTAAAGTCTGAACGCCTGTTTATAAACCCTATATACAAAGATCGGGCGATTGCACCCCCTTGGCTGCCCAATAGCTCCCACCTTCCCCGCAGTCGCGTCCTTGCCTCGCAGACGATGCTCGGCCCTGGCGTACTCCCACGAGGGTGAAGGGCACACTTCCTCAACCTATTGGACTCGAAACGATATCCCACAGGGCACGCCAATTCAATAAACGCTATTAGGGGTGCCTACCGGGTTTAGACCGCCATCATGGAAGCTGATTGGGATGAGCTGTCGCGCATCCCAATGCCACCGCCCAGTCCGCACGGGATGCCCACGAATGCGACGGCGGTGGCGTTTGATGATGTGATGGAACTTTTGTGGGCAGGCAATGAATATGTGAGTTGGAATTAAAGTGCCGCTACTTCAATTGCGAAAGACAAGGGATTAACTTATGCGCCAATTTTCTTTTTTTGTGCTAGGGCCGAATCACTTCTTTTTACGGACCCGAACTCCAACGGTATACTTCTGTGCGAGCGCACCCGGTCGCTGAGGGCATAGTTCGACAGATCGCCTTTCACGAACGCGGTGTGATCTCGTTATCTTCGAAGAGTGTGCATATGATCACTCGACGCGGTTTGACCCAGTGGCATATTGCAGATGAGGATATGGTTGATCTTCGTTGCATGAGCTTTACTGCGCAGACAAACCGAATTCTAGTGGCGGGTTGCCAGCGTGTGATGTTCACGATCGACATTGACAAGGGTACGATTGTCGACAAGTTGCCTACGGAGCACAATTATACACTCATGAAGAAGAGCCGGTATCTCTGTGCTGCTACGGATAATGGCTCTGTCAATGCCCTTAGTCTTTTGGATTTCAGCGTTGTCAAGTCTTGGAAGGCCCACGGCACTGCTGTGAATGACATGGATGCGCGAAACGACTTGCTGGTTACCTGTGGTTTCTCGGTGCGCCAGCTTGGCTCCTCAATTGTGGACCCGCTAGCCAATGTGTATGATCTGAAGACATTGACGCCCTTGCCTCCGATCCCGTTTCATGCTGGTGCAGCATACGTTCGGATGCACCCGAAACTACACACGACGAGCTTTGTGGCGTCACAGACTGGGCAGCTTCAAGTTGTAGATCTGATGAATCCAAACGCGGTCAATTTAAGACAAGCAAATGTTACATTGATGCTGGGACTCGAAATTTCACCTTCTGGAGAGGCTCTGGCCATTAACGACGCGGAATGCTCTATTCATCTCTGGGGCTCACCAACCAAGATCCACTTCAATGAAATGAGCAAAGAAACAGAGATGCCAGACGTGCCGACCCGGCCACCACCAATCGATTGGTCGCCTGAAACTCCGCTAAACATGATCGGAATGCCATACTATCACGATCGCCTGTTCTCGGCGTGGCCTAGTCACCTTGTGTTCGAGATCGGGAGCCCGCCAGCACAACTCGACCAATCCTTGCTTCCATATTTGCGCCCAGCCGAGGTGGGTCATGGCGCTCCGAACCCCCGAAAGACACGGCGATACCAGATCGAGAACACTCGCGCGTTGGCTACTGCTGAGCCAGCCCTCATTGCACCCAAATTTCTTAGTGAAAAAGCTCGGGATCACGGGAAGTCAAAGTCTGACGGTTCAATCGCTGATGCGGCCGAGGCACTTGCCGGCGCAAAGATCAATGGTGAAAGTGATGACGATCCCCTGCTCAAATATAGTAATGTCGAGATCAAGTATAGTCGCTTTGGTGTCGACGATTTCGACTTTCAGTAAGAAAAGCCTATTTATTAACCTGGAAAACCTGGAATTTGCTCACATAAAGTACAGATTTTACAACAAGACCAAATTCTCTGGCCTTGAAACTCACATCGCAAACTCCTTCACCAACTCCCTTCTTCAGCTTTTCAAGTTCATTCCTTTATTCCGAAACCTCGCTCTCCACCACGCAGCTGGCTCTTGCATTTCTGAATATTGCTTGCTTTGTGAACTAGGCTACTTGTTTGACATGTTGGAAAAAGCGAATGGTCAGAATTGCCAAGCCACCAATTTACTGAAACTATTCAGCAGTTTCCGAGAGGCTTCTAACATGGGATTATTGGAAGAAAACCTTACAAACAAGTCCCTCTCTACAGCGATTCAAGCAGTGAATCGCTTCTTCTTGACTCAAATATCATGCGACTTCCGCACTGTCCAGCCCAATTCTGAAGATCTGGACCAGCGCCTCTCGACGTTTGCCTCTGAGTCCATCCGGTGTATGTTCTGCCAGAATGAAACCGTTCGCCCAGGAAATTCTCTCGCCAACGAACTTCTCTACCCAAATATGGACATGAAACAAGCGCGACGCAACCCTGCTTTCCGATTCTCCAATATTTTGCGTGCTAGTATTGAACGCGAAACGCAGAATCGTGGATGGTGCAACTACTGCCGACGTTACCAGCAGGTTATGATTCGGAAGACTGTACACCGGATGCCTCTGGTATTGGTGCTCAATGCAGCAGTTTCGACAAATCCCATATGTCGTCGACTATGGGCTATTCCTGGATGGTTGCCCGATGCGGTAGGAGTCATCATCGACAATGGTCAAGTGATGTGCTTCGAGGGCGAGGATCTTCGTCTAAGAATGCAGAATAATACTCCTGGGCTGGCGGTGTATGATCTGGTCGGCCTTGTCGCAGAGATTGACATTGCAGAACATCAAAAACCGCATTTGGTGTCTTTCGTCAACGTCTCAGTCTCAGAGCAAGAACCCCAAGAGCAAAGCAGATGGCATTTATTCAATGACTTCTTGGTTACCGAGGTTGACCGTGATGAGGCACTGGGCTTCACGCAAAGTTGGAAGCAACCTTGTGTGCTGGCGTTCCAGGCACGAGATGCCCGCCATGTTGTTGATGACTCGTGGAAGAATGCCCTCGATACCACTTTACTCTTCCGTGGGATGTCATCAAATGGCGGCCATCATGTGGAGTCTTTCCAAGCACTTAACGAGGAAGAAAAGCCAAAGCCAGGTACTCCTGTAGCGCTCGACACTGAGTTTGTCGATCTCGAGAAAGCCGAGATAGACGTGAAGGCCGATGGATCACAAGAAATCGTGCGGCCCAACAAGAGCGGTCTTGCTCGAGTCTCTGTCTTGCGTGCTTCAGGTATCCAAGAAGGTGTGCCATTCATAGATGACTACATCATGATTCGCGAGCCGATTGTCGACTACGTCACACAGTACTCTGGCATTAAACCAGGCGACTTGGATCCACGAACAAGCGAGCATAATCTCGTGCCACTTAAGACTGCCTACAAGAAGCTGTGGCTTCTTCTCAATCTGGGATGTATATTCGTGGGACATGGCCTGGCCTCTGATTTCCGGAAAATCAACATCCAAGTACCGAAGTCGCAGACCGTTGACACCCAGTACCTTTTCTTCCACCCTGGCAAGAATCGCCGCCTGAGTCTTCGTTATCTCGCCTGGGCCGTGTTCAAGGAGTACATCCAAGAAGAACCGAACCCCGAAACCATCCAAGGCCATGACTCCATTGAAGATGCACGCATGGCCATGCGTCTATGGAAAAAGTTCCAGGAATACGAGGATGCAGGTGTCGCTAACCAAATGTTGGAAGAGATCTTCCGTGAAGGATCTAAACTCGGCTTCCGCCCTCCTCCCAAGAACGCCACCGCAGCCGTCCTTTCTCGCCCTGGCACCGCTGTTACCATGCAGAATGACAGTGGCCGCAATACCCCCTCTACCCCCGAGGCAAGTGCTGCTGCTATAGCTACTGCGACTACCGCCGCAGCCAATAGTGCCACTGCAAATGCTGCACCTACTAGTGCTCCTAGCACCCCTCGCCAGGCTTTCCGGCGATCAATTGCCCTCACACCAAGCAATGGTAGCTTTTCTGGACCCGGTGCTGGGGATTTCTTTGGTGGAAGCCCATTGCGATAGACTTGCGTTTTTTCGTTTGACTTGGTGATTTCTATGGCCAACTCCCTGGGTCTTGACGACCTCACATGGCTAGTAGGGCAGTGTAGAAGTAGGACCTACGTAACTCATGAATACCGAAATACATACGATCTCAATTTTAATACTTCCTCTTAAAGAAAATATCTAATCTTCCAAAATCCTAACTCATGGTAGATCGAAATATGAGATTTTCGAGAATCTAGGGTTTCCGCTTCAGTCAACCCGAGCAACAGGTGGGGAATGACGTGGTCCGCTCCCGCCCAAACAAGACCCTCTCCTTCCCAACTTATTTCTTGCACCTCCCATTCTATTCGACAAAGCTAATTCCCCCGAATGATTCAAGCTAGCTCTCTTCCAGCTGCTATCCATTCATTCATTTTGTTGAATTGCCATACCTTGTCAAATACTGAGCGACTACCCCACCCCGCCCCTCTCCACCAGCTCACACAGCCTTCCGAACCTGATCTCATATCTTTCACCAAGCCCCAATGTCCAGACACCGAGTAAAGAACATCGGATATGATGACGATGATTATTCTGATGATGGATACGACTCGCCTGACCCCGAAGAACAGGAATTCCTGCAGCGCTGCACCCAGGATGTCCTTTCGCAGCTCCGCGCGGGGCAGCCATCGGTGACCGCTACGAAGGAAGAAGTCCAGGAAGCGCTATGGCATTACTATAATGATATAGAAAAGTCTGTCAACTATCTACGAGGTACTTCATCCTGTCTGCTTCCACTTATCAATAGCCCCCGAAACTTTGTGCCGCAAAGCTGTTCAATGAAGCTTGGAATGCGGAAACATCGTTTACTAATTTGGTGATATGATCCTAGGCAAGAAGGAGAAAGAAGTAAAGAAGCAGCAGACGCCTGCCATCTCGCAGAAGAACAAGGCTCAAGGTAAGCTTTGCGATTGTTTGAAGATTTTGGTTCCTCGATGTGTTATGGCTGGGCTCGATTTACGGATGGTGAAATGATCTTAGAAGGTGTGTTTTACAGGGTTCCCAGTGACCCCCCCAAATTCTTCAAACACTCAAAATTTCGCGACTAACATCACACAATTCGAAGTCTGAGTAAACATTCTAACTGGTATCCCAGTGCCGATTTATCCTGCGCCCATTTCTCCTCCGATAGCGCACTTCTCGGCCGCCGATTTCTTTCGTGACTCTCCCTGGCTTAATGTTCCATCTCACCGAAAAGCCGATATTCTGGTAGAGCCTTTATACCCCCGAATGGGACTGTTGGGTGGTGCGCCTGAAGCTGGCGGCAAAGTGTCCAAACTGGCTGCACTGGCTGCAGCGCGCAAACAGAAAGAAGGGAACAAGACTTCTTCCCCACCGGAGGGTTCGCAGGCTGAAAACCCAGAAAAGTCATCGACCGAGCAAAAGATCTCTTTGCGTGATAGGCTCGCTGCAAGCAAAGCCGCGAAGCCTGCTGAAGGTCTGGGTGGGTTGCGCCGTTTGGCGAAGCCTGTACCTGCACCACCTCCAGCCGAAAAACCGGTTTCACCTGAACCAGTGGAAACTGCTCCAAATGTTGAAAAACCTGGCCTCACGGAGCAAGTTGAAGAAGCGTCCAGTGTTAAGCTAGAGCCTACACTGCCGGCAGCTGAGATCCGCGCTTCGCCCTCCATGTTTGCTAGTGCCATTGTTGGCAATCAATCAGGACCGACTAGGGCCGAGCCTAGCCATATACCTTCGCAGAACGTTGATTTGCTCCAAATATATGGGCAGGACCATACTGAACCTTTTGACTTTGCAGGCCCTAGCCCCGACGATGTGGTGCTTAATGCCCAAAATACAGCTAAAGGTTTGGCGATTCGCAGAAAGGTTTGAAGTCCACTCGCCTAATGACGTGTAGGATTCAAGTCCAAAACCCCTGCCTCCAAGGCAGGTGGTGACAAGAAGGGCCAAGCTGATCTTGCCGGTGGCATGAATAACCTCTCAGTTGAGGAGAAAGTGACTGTCAAGAGCAAGAACTTGGATGTCCTCGCGGAATACAGCAAGTCAACACGGAAGAAGTCTGCCAACTTCGTAGTAATAGGTATGACATCCTTTATTTTTGTCACCTAGAAGGCATCGTTGACCGTAATCTAGGCCATGTCGATGCTGGGAAGAGTACATTGATGGGGAGGTTGTTGGCGGACCAGGGTGCGATAGACCAGCGAACATTAGACAAATATCGCAAGGAGGCTGAGAAAATCGGGAAGGGCTCTTTTGCCCTGGCATGGGTGTTAGACCAGGGGTCAGAGGAGCGTGCAAGAGGTGTTACAATCGATATTGCGACCAACCAGTTTGAGACCGACACCACGGCCTTTACCATCGTTGATGCCCCCGGGCATCGGGACTTTGTACCCAACATGATTGCCGGAGCTAGCCAGGCAGACTTTGCGGTCCTGGTGATTGATTCTAGCGTGGGCAAATTTGAATCCGGTCTCAAGGGCCAGACTAAGGAGCATGCTTTGCTAGTGCGCAGCATGGGTGTCCAGAAGATTGTGGTGGCCGTCAACAAGATGGATACTGTTCAATGGGACAAGGGTCGGTTTGAGGAGATCGAGCAACAGATCTCATCATTCTTGACAACCGCCGGATTTCAAGAAAAGAACATTTCTTTCGTTCCGTGCTCCGGCGTGCTAGGAGACAATATCAGCCGACGCAGTGAAGATCCTCACGCATCATGGTATACTGGACAGACCTTGATTGAGGAACTGGAGACCTCGGAACCTTCCACCCACGCACTTGATAAGCCACTGCGCATGACGATCGGTGATGTTTTCCGTGGTGGTGTGCAGAATCCGATCTCCATTTCTGGCCGCCTGGATGCCGGCAGCTTACAAGTTGGCGACCAAATTCTGACCATGCCCAGTGGTGAGACAGGCTTGATCCGCAGCTTGGAGGTAGATGGGCAGACTAGTGACTGGGCTGTGGCCGGTCAAAACGTTGTGTTGAACCTGGCCAATATTGATCCAGCACATTTGCGCTCTGGCGATGTGGTGTGCCGTTCATCTTCGCCGATCCCCACCATCACCAGCTTTACCACCAAGGTTCTTGCCTTTGAGCATCTGATGCCTATGCTCGTGGATGTTCATCGAGGCCGCCTTCATGTCCCTGGCCGGATCAGCAAATTAGTTGCGACCTTAGATAAAGCGTCCGGTGCGCCTATTAAAAAGCGGCCCAAGATTGTGGCACCAGGCACAGTGGCGCGAGTGGTCGTGGAGATGGACACTGCAGTGCCCCTTGAGGCACCGACCAGGATTGTTTTGCGAACTGGCGGATCGACTGTGGCGGCCGGGTTGTTGGAATAGACCTCGAAATAAAGTTACATGCATGGGCCAGACATCACAGCAACAACCCTGAGATGCACTACTATCTTATTCTACTGTATAGAACCTTAGATCACCAATGTAGGATCTAATTTTGGAGATGTATTCATGAGAGTAATCTACCACTTTGGAATCAACCGCTGCTGAGTCGAAGTTCTGCACAGTCCTTGCGGCTCTGTCGATCCTCGGGCCCATGTTTCCCCGACCTTGAGGAGTCGTGGACGTGGACAGTAGACTTTGAGTCGTACAGGCCACTTATGCTCCATCTTGATCAGTGTATACGTGTTCAAATTGTGGTTCCGCCAACGGTGGCTACCCGTGCCCTTCTCTGATGGGGCCTTGTTCTAGTAATTTCGATGATCTGTTTTACTGGTCGCGGGACCCACCGAAGAACCGCTTTCCACCAATCAGCGCGCGAGGAGTGACCTGAACAGCGTCCACTGAAAAGGACAGCATGGCGCTATTCGAACCCTTAATACAAGTACCCTCTTTGCTCCGTTTTCCACTTTCCTTTCCTCATTCCTTTCCCTTCGACCAACCACCCACCCCATACCTTTAACCCACTTCGAGGGTCATTGAGTACAGCACTTGTGTTGAACTCTGCGCTGTTACACCAAGCGCGCGTGAAGCTTCGGCCTCGGTAGCTTCTTTACTCTCTCTTGCATCCTCCCCATTGGGTGCTTTTGGTTAGGAAGAAACTTGATTTCATATCCTTACACATATAATCAAAATGGCGGGTCTCACAAACGCCAATGGCGCGTCCAAGCCCTTCGCTTGGACCACCGTCTTTTACCTTCTCATGGTTCTCCTCGCGCCCATGGCGCTGTTCAGTGGCAGCGTCCAGGCTGAGGACAACAATGTTGAGGAATACGGCACCGTTATTGGTATTGATTTGGGAACTACTTACTCGTAAGTGAACCCATTGACTGCTTTTTGACATTGCTTTTCTTCGTTTTCCTAATTTCAAAATGACACGTGGCTAACTATTATCGCAGTTGTGTTGGTTTGATGCAAAATGGAAAGGTCGAGATTCTCACCAACGACCAAGGAAACCGTATCACTCCCTCCTACGTGGCTTTCACCGATGAGGAGCGTCTTGTCGGTGACGCTGCTAAGAACCAATACGCCGCCAACCCTACCCGCACCATCTTTGACGTCAAGTGAGTGGCAACAATACACCGTGGCAGAAGCAAAGGGATCTCTCTTACTAACAACTGCAACAGGCGTTTGATTGGTCGCAAGTTTGATGACAAGGTCACCCAGGAGGACGCCAAGAACTTCCCCTTCAAGGTTGTCAACAAGGGTGGTAAGCCTAATGTCAAGGTTGAGGTCAACCAGGTCGCCAAGGTCTTCACTCCCGAGGAGGTCTCCGCCATGATCCTCGGAAAGATGAAGGAGATCGCCGAGAGCTACCTGGGCAAGGCCGTTACCCACGCCGTTGTGACCGTTCCCGCCTACTTCAACGACGCCCAGCGTCAGGCTACCAAGGATGCCGGTACCATTGCCGGTCTCAACGTTCTCCGTGTCGTCAACGAGCCCACGGCCGCCGCTATCGCCTACGGACTGGACAAGCTTGGTGCCGAGGAGCGCCAGGTCATCGTGTACGATCTTGGTGGTGGTACCTTCGATGTTTCTCTTCTGTCTATCGACCAGGGTGTCTTCGAGGTCCTGGCTACCGCTGGTGACACCCACCTGGGTGGTGAGGACTTCGACCACCGCGTTATGGACCACTTCGTCAAGCTCTACAACAAGAAGAACAACGTCGATGTCACCAAGGATCTGAAGGCTATGGGTAAGCTGAAGCGTGAGGTTGAGAAGGCCAAGCGTACTCTTTCCAGCCAGATGTCCACTCGTATTGAGATTGAGGCTTTCCACAACGGCGAGGACTTCTCCGAGACTCTCACCCGCGCTAAGTTCGAGGAGCTGAACATTGATCTGTTCAAGAAGACCCTCAAGCCCGTTGAGCAGGTGCTCAAGGATGCCAAGGTCAAGAAGTCCGAGGTTGATGACATCGTTCTTGTCGGTGGTTCGACCCGTATTCCCAAGGTTCAGGCTCTTCTTGAGGAGTTCTTCGGTGGTAAGAAGGCCAGCAAGGGTATCAACCCTGATGAGGCTGTCGCTTTCGGTGCCGCTGTTCAGGGTGGTGTTCTGTCCGGTGACGAGGCCACTGTGGACGTTGTTCTCATGGATGTTAACCCTCTTACCCTCGGTATTGAGACCACTGGCGGTGTGATGACCAAGCTTATCCCCCGTAACACTGTCATCCCCACCCGCAAGTCCCAGATCTTCTCCACTGCGGCCGACAACCAGCCCACCGTTCTGATCCAGGTGTACGAGGGTGAGCGCTCGATGACCAAGGACAACAACATGCTCGGCAAGTTCGAGCTGACCAACATTCCCCCCGCTCCTCGTGGCGTTCCTCAGATCGAGGTCGCCTTCGATCTGGATGCCAACGGTATCCTCAAGGTCAGTGCCAGCGACAAGGGCACTGGTAAGGCCGAGTCCATCACCATCACCAACGACAAGGGCCGTCTCTCCCAGGAGGAGATCGAGCGCATGGTTGCTGAGGCTGAGGAGTTCGCTGAGGAGGACAAGGCTATGAAGGCTAAGATTGAGGCCCGTAACGGTCTTGAGAACTACGCCTTCAGCCTGAAGAACCAGGCCAACGATGAGGAGGGTCTTGGTGGCCAGATCGACGAGGACGACAAGCAGACCATTCTGGACGCTGTCAAGGAGGCCATTGACTGGCTGGAGGACAACGCTGCCACTGCCACCGCCGAGGACTTCGAGGAGCAGAAGGAGCAGCTCTCTAGTGTCGCTTACCCGATCACCAGCAAGCTGTATGGCTCTTCTGCTCCCCCTGAGGACGATGAGCCCTTGGACCATGACGAACTGTAAAATTATCTGGCTTTTTGAGGCATTACCCATGGAGTTTATTATCTGTTTATCGTTTTTTATGTTTCTACTCCTGAATCTGCACGAGGTTGGTATCCTTCGCTGCATGAGTCACTAGACTACTCCAAATACCACGATACCTTCTGCATCTATTTCAGTCCTCCCGCAGTCTTGTAAATCTCGTAAATTCTATACCCTAGTCTTCAGTACATTGTAGATTACAAACCCTGATCTAATTTCCTTGCGCAATAAGCTCCTTAATAGTCTCCGCCACAACCTGATGATCATCCTCCTGCTTCAATCCACTAACAACCACGACGGCAACCACCCCATCGACCCCACGCACACGAATAGGATATCCACCGCCGTGAATAGCATACTCATCCGCAACAGCTCCCCCACTACCACTGGCAAGTGCAAACTTCTTCACAAACGCACTCTCAATGTTATCCGCGCTCGTAGCAAACCCAAGCCCCGACGCAATCTTCTGCCGCATCGTCCAGCTCGACACGCCCCACCGCAACACGGTGTTTCGCTTCCGGCGCACCCAGTTCTCGTTATCGGGGATTGTCCCACTTGCTGTGGCGGATTGGAAGAGGATGTGCAAAGAGCCGCCACCGCTTGTAGCAGTGGCCAGTGCAATGGAGATCAGGGCGGGCTTGCGTTGGTTGTCGGGGAGAGAAAGGATGCGAGTGCGGAGGGCATTACCTAGTGTCCAGGCTGTGTCGGCAGTGAAAGAGCGGAAGGTTTGCTCGGGGCTTGTTTCTTGCGCAATGAGGACTTGAGCCTATGTTGTTGGCTGGATTAGCTTGGCTTGATCCCTGGGTATGATTGGATTGACTTACGTCCGTGCTGGGTGCTGAGAGGGCCATGGTTAAGTCTTTATTTGTTGGTGAGTAGGTAAAGACTGGGTAAATATGATTCCAAGTTGTAGGAAGGTGGGGATGTTGTCCGGGGACGTGCGGAGGAGCAGTGGGATGTCGTAGCTAGTGGACCCTTCGGATTTAGTCAATTCCGTACTGTATGACTGTGGAGAGGTAATGAGAAATCGTGGAAAATTGTGAAGATGGGAGCTCAATTGACCTTTATAGGATCGTCTGGTCGTATTTATAGTTGTTCCAAGAATTGATTCTTGGAAAATCTGTTTTCGTGGTTCTAGAATCTCAAAATCCACATATTCGAATCAACGGAAGGTCCAGTCGAGGATCGGCAAACCTGCGGAATTACCTCATCTGTCACCGATGAAAGCCCCGCCTTAACTCCCCATAGTATGTACTTCCATAGAAAACATTCACCCCATGCCTCCTAAAAGAGCTTGTGATCTTTGTATCACCCGCAAAGTCAAGTGCAATGGCTCTTGGCCCTGTGACACCTGTCGTGATGCCGTCAAGCGCGTCTCCTGTACCTACATGACGCCGCCTCGGAAGAGAGGTCCCAAAGTTCGACGAGCGGCCCAGCAGAGCCACGGTCTGGAAGCACAGGTAGTAGATCTGAATATACCAGGCGATCAGCAAGGATTGCCGGAGATCTATACAGCAGCCTATCATGACGAACTGCCCGGTTTGCCATTAACTGATCCTGGCGGACCAAGGTGTATATCAAAAGCGGTGCTGACCCCAATAGTCCGTCTTTACCAGCAGTACTCATATAGTGTTTGGCCTGTTGTCAATGCAGATGCTCTACTTCAAAGGTTAGAAGATGTTGATCTGGAGAACACAACACATGAGGCCGAGAATATCGCTTGTTCTGCGACGGCGCTCTGCGCGGCGACGATGGCTCAGTTGCATCTGGCGCCGGTAGTGGATGGAGCGTTCACGACTGATAGCACCACCATGGCAAAAGCCTGCTTGCGTATAAGAGGGCTTTGTGACAAACACAGGGAACATCTTGATGTTAGCAGCCTGCTGGTGTCCTTCTTTTTGCATGTTTATCATGCCAAGGTCAACCAGCGGACTTCGGCAATGATGTACATCCAAGAGGCTATTTCCGGTGCTCGCATACTACGATTGGATAAACCAATAGAGCTAGATCTTGAGTATGGGGCTGACGATTTGATTGCAAATAAGAGTTTGATGTTTCCGTTGCTCTGGGTCTCGGAGAGGTAAACAATCTCACCTTTTGTAAGCTCGCTTGCTGATGCGTCTAAAAGAGGTTATGCAATGCACTTGGGGTTGGCACCATCATATGTGGATCCGCCTCCATTGAAAGCTCTTAGGAATGCTCCTGGAATTGACGCCCATGTGCAAGGTCTTTTAGAGCTCGTCAAGCTATTCGTTGCTTTCGATCAGATATCCATCCGTCGTAAATCTCAGGGTGAACTTGAGCCGATCACATATTTGACCGATACCGAGACCAAGCTGTCCACGCTGTGTTTTAAGCTCGCGAATCAAGTTTCGACAAGAAGTGCTGATTGTCACATCACCCGAGAATGGATGAGAACAATTCTTTGGCAAGAGGCACTATCATTGGGTCTGCTGTCCTCATCATCCAGCACGGCTGTGATGACCTTTTCTTTTCCGGCACAGGTCAGTCGTGATCTGCTTCACTCGTTAAGATACTTCTCGGATACCGATCTATTGCCGCTAGGGCGAGACCAGGTAAGTTACAACAAGGGTCGGGGGCAAAGGGAGGTGAGTATGGGAAATCAAGTTAACCGACATAGTTGTTGAAATGCTTTGAAGTTGCGAATTCTTTAGCAGACACCGTTCTTCTTACTTTGGCTGGATCGCATCCAGGAATTGAACTGGGTCCACAGGACTTCTTGCATGCTCTTTATCAGAAACTTCTGCCATTCCTAGAGCAGGATACCATTCTCAAGTCGATTCTTCGTGGTAAGACGGCTGAGGTTCTTGTTATGGCACCTGCCCGGCTACTGAGGCCAGTTGATGAAAATCAAAATGGAACACAAGCACTGCAACTGCAATTGACTGGAAACTTGGCAATGCATGATAGCTAGACTTGAATATGTATTGCCTACAATCAATCTGTGAGCTGAATCACAATGCGACCGGCAATATCTCCCTTCTCCATCTCCTCATAGATCTGCGGCAGATCCTTGAACGGGCGGACTTTGACAACAGGCTTCACTACGCCACGCCGAACCAGGTCAACTGCTTCCATGCACTCCTTCAAGGAACCAACCAAATTACCAGTAATTCTCAGTCCCTTGATGACAATTGTGCAGATTGGCGTCTCGAGATAGGGCCGTCCAGGTGGGATTCCCACACAGCTTAGTGTGCCTCCAACTCGGAGCATCTCGCAAGCATGGGCAAACGCCTTGGCATTGCCCGCGGTTACAACCACCGCGTGTGCTCCCAGGCCAGTAATCTCCTGTACTCTTTTGATAGGGTCTTCTGTGGCGAAATCGATGAACTCTTGGGCCCCAATACTGCGAACGAAATCTGCTTTTCCGGGGCCTGTATCCACGCCAATGACCAAAGCACCCTGCGCTCTGGCATATTGCACTGGGAAAGGGTCATTTGTCATTACAGAATACAGAGCCTCAGGAAGGGATTCATACCAGCCAAGTGCCCAAGACCTCCACCTGCTCCTACCACCACAAGCCAATTCCCGGGCCGAACATTTGCATTCAACACCGCCTGTCTCGTCATCAGCCACTGTGCTTGAATTGAAGGCATTTGCTGTTCATACCTTATAAGCTGTCAAGCCTGCGCAAAGTACGGGTCCCATAACCTTCGGATCAACATCATCCGGTAAGACAGTCAAGTAATCTGCATCCAACGCAATATACTGCTGGAAGCTGCCATCCTCATGATGAAGATGGTTCGTCGCGTTGGTACAGTACTGCTCCGTGCCCGCAAGACAAAATTCACAGCGGCGACAGATCCGACTCGCAAAGCGAATTCCAACTAGTCCATTCACTTTGATTCCCGTGCTGTGTGTGATATCCGGACCCAGAGCCACAACTTGTCCGATGCCTTCGTGACCACCGACGTGAGGTAGTTTGATTTGCGTGATTGGATTTCCGTCTGCGCCAGCTGCAGTACCGGACTTGGTATGGAGATCTTGATGGTGATAGAGATAAAGGAGTAAGCCGGAGGTTTTCAAAGACGCCTACTAGGATTAATAGAGAACAGTTTGAAGTTCATACTCACCACTTTGACAGACACCAGTGTATAGCACTTTGGCGAGGACTTCATTTCGGCCAGGGGAAGGGACGGGGTAATCGGTTTTGAATTCAACTTCCCCGCCGAGACTGCGTACAAGTGCAACTGTTTGCGTTTGGGGGATATCGATGGAGCCCATATTTGCTGTAATATATGCGAATTAAAATCAAATTCTGTAGAAGTTTCTTCGAGAAAGGTTACTGCTGTTCTGCTACAGGTGGGAGGACAGAGCTCTATTTATGTTCTTCTATCTTTCATCATAGACATGTACCATTTGCTATTTTATTTGTATGGCCCCTCAATAGGCCAGTCTGGTCCAAATCGAATACGATCGAATGGCAAACATCATCAGATTGGTTCCGGTGGCGCGTGGGATGTCTAGCTCTCAACAAGTCAAAGTTGTCCTCCCCATTTCTCCGTTTCGATTTCGACTAGATGGAGTACCGTAGGGCTCACAAGATCCGTATTCCCTTCTAGGGTGGGGGTATGCAACTGGCAGAGGTTCATGCCCCAATGACATGTAGCAAGTGTAGATTGAGACTCGGAGTAATTGTGCATTTTTCCATATTACCAACCACTGAAGGCTTGTTTGGTATATCGAGATCTGGCTGGGGTATAATAGATCATGTGAGCAGGTTCTGTTGGAGTGTCGATTTCTCCGAGTCAATTCTCCGAAGTGGGGAAGCTTTGTCTTAGGAGATGCGGGTTGATCTGCATCGAATCTGCAGAAGCTTCGTGTTATGCAGTAGGCTGGGATATTACTGGCCCTTCATTGGGAGGGACATATTGGTTCATTCTTTCCTTGTCTCCACAAAGTGTAGAAAATAGGCACCCCAAAAACAGTATTTTGTCAAGGTTGTGGCACTCCGAGAGGTTACTTTGCTGTTCATGCGGCATAATAAAATAAGTGCTTTCCTTATTTTCAATTACTTGAATTTGCAAGATTTTTGAGTAATTTGAATCCACCTATAGGCACTGCCCAGGAAAAGAAATAATGCTTGTGAATGGCAAGGCTTAGAAGAAGCCATGGGATCAAAGTGCTACGGAGAGAGGGCTAGGTTCTTACTGAAGACTGTGCTCCAAGGGTCACGTTCCGGTTGTCCTAAGCTTTGTGACACAGCATATATTGAGGAGATGAAGTTATGAGATTAGATACGGTCAGTCGCTGAGATACTGTGATATGCATCAGACTGCGGGGATTAGATGGAAACTGCGCGTTGACATAGGCTTGATGTGGAGATGGGATTCAAATGCCGAAGCTATCGATAAGACAAGTGACGTCATAAGTAGCTTGCTGCCTAATGACTCAGGCGTCAGGCTCTTTTTGCCGCCACGTGAGGGCCTTGGGGCGGTCGGCGCCTCGGGGCGCTCGCGGCCCTGGCCGGGTTGTTGCAGTTGATCCTTGGAAGTTGACTCAACTCTGCACAACTTTATTGGCATCCCGCCCGTCAGCTTTCTTATTGGGACGATGGAGGCTTCCTCGAACCCCTTTTGGGGCGCCCAAACCTCTTATCTCAAGTAAGTTCGGATCCTGACCGACTCAACCCTAGATTGGCTGTTAACTTGTCTTAGCTTCTGCGAAGAGGTATACCTGTCTTTCTCGGGACATTTGCCTGTTTTTGCCATTCCCTCGACATCTAATACCAGAGTTCTCTAAGTAGGACTATGTGATCACTCGGTTTGTGGCCGAGTTTATCAACACATTCAGCAGCTTGATTTACAGTATGTCATCCCGGGCTTCGGCTATCCCGGAAATGCCTTGACCGTTAACAACTCAATATAGTGGTTTTTGGTATATATGGCTTGGTTCAACTTCGGAACAAGCAACAGGCTGGTCTCCGCCGGATGTCCTACTGTGGTTTGATTGGAGTCGGCCTCTGCTCTGCCGGCTACCATATGACTCTTAAATACCAAACCCAAATGTGTATGTCTTTACCTTTCTAGTTGCTAATGATGTCTATCTTACACTGTTATCCAGCGGATGAGTTGTCAATGCACCTCTTGACAACGCCTTTGCTATATCGCATTCTCACGTTTCAAGCTAGCCCGCAACGTACCAAGATCACCGGAGCTATTCTCCTATCCATGTTTACCATCGTGATGGTTGTTCACATGGTCATGGATGAGTTCGTTGTGCATGCTGCCTCGTTCGGGCTGGCAGTATGGTTGATCGCAAGATATACGATCAAAATGATTCCCGAACAAATCCCCGACCTTTTCCTGCGGAAAAAGATTCAACGGTTTTCGTTCTTTGGCTGCTGTATGTTCTAAGCCAGGAAAGGACTCAAAACACCAATATGACTAACAAGTAATAGTTTGCTTTATCTTTGGCTATTGTGTGTGGCTTATTGACGAATTTTGCTGTGGCAATCTCACCCAAATTCGACACGTAGTCGGTCTGCCCTTGGCATTTTTGTTTGAATTCCATGGATGGTATGTTGTGTGACTCAATATTCGTGCTTGTCAAATATAAATATCAATTTCTAACCGAAAATAGGTGGCATGTCTTTACTGCAATTGGCGGCTATGTGGCTGTTGCAACGGTGGACCTCATTATTTCAGGCGAAGTACACCAAGATCCCACCGATAGCCTTGCCTGGCCGGCTCCTCTCATGGCAAGACTTGTTGAACCGAAACTAGATTTCATGAAACAGAAATGATCCATGAAATTAAGGGTTCTTGGCAGCTCAGTTGCGTCCTCAAATAAGATATGGTTTCCTAGGATGATGCCGGAACATCCAGAGATCTATGTCTCCACATCCGAATCTGCTCGAGGGTGAAGGAGTGACTGTCTCGGAATGCATGCACCTAACCTTGCATTTTCCATCATACACAGAGAAGCAATTATACCTGTATTCTTAGAAGAATAGAGCATTTGGCGATAGACAGAGTGGCGTGCAGATACAGCTTGCTATTTGCGTCGCAGGAAGTGAATAGCTACATAATCAACAAAATTGAGAGCAATACAGAAACTTCAAGACCGATTCTGTAATAATATGATAATCTTATCCTTGGTACGTAGTATCGAGTCAAAAGAAAGCCCCGAAAAAGGGCACAAAAAATCGATCATGCCTTCGAGGCTGGGATGGTGGGTGGTGACACAGGGTGTACTGTTTCTGGCATTGACTGACCATTTTTCTCATCGCCAGTGCGCTCCGCATGCTCTACATCCTCAAGCTTCTTTTCTGCTATTGATTTCCCGCCAAAAACCGCCTGCATCTCTTCCAGAGAGTGTTGCGAAGTCTGTTCATCTAGTTAGCACCGTGCAAGACTATAACCCAACTGCCCTGGTTTGAACATACCTCCTTAAGAACCAGCCACGAGTACCCGACAATCGCAAAGTTGAAAATGGCAAACATCAAAAACATGCGCCATCCGATATTAGTTATGGCGTGTGGAGTAACTTGAGACATCATAAAATTGAAAAGCCATTGCGATGCTGCGCCAACGGTGAGTCCAACCTCACGTGTGCGGCTGGAAAAGATCTCTCCAACGTAAAGCCACGGCAGAGGCCCCCATGACATATTGTAGCTGAATGCCTCCGCATAGGTCATGATTATACAGGCGATGCCTGCAGAAGTGGGACCCGACGAGGTAGTAGTGGAGCCGACTGGGTGAGTGGCCAAGATACAGGCGATAATGAGCATGAAAGAACCCATGGCAAAGGCTCCAGCCATAAATGGAACTCGACGACCGACACGGTCTAGAACGAACAACTGGAACGTACTGACGCCCACAACCTTGACAATACCAAAGCATCCGGTGACGAGTTTGGCGGCACCACCTGCCCCGACAGCTGAGAAAATCTGAGTTGCATAGTAAGCGAGTGAGGTGTTTCCCGTCAGTTGCGCCGAGAGTTGGATAGTGACAGCAATGAAGAGTCGATATCGGTTGGCTGGTAGAAGCAGCTCTTTAAAAGTGAGATTCTCTTTGACCCGAGCCTCTTCTTCAATACCTGCCAGAATCTCCTGGAATTCCTGCTCTAGCTCCTCCGTCTCTTCGCCGCCACGCACCCACTTCAATGACTCGCGCGCCTTCTCCAGCTTTCCCTTCGACGCTAGCCAACGCGCACTCTCTTTCACGGTACACATTCCGACGAGTAACAGCGTTGAACCCAGGAGCTGTAATCCAAGAGCTGTTTGCCACTGGCTAGTACCTGACGCCTGGTCTTTACTGACCGCGTACGTTGTCCAATAAGCGATCATAACTCCCAGTGCAAAGAAAAGCTGGAAGCATGCCCCTAACCGACCGCGAAACTCCTTGGGAGACATTTCAGCCGCGAACATCGGGATCAAGACAGTCGCGGCACCGATGCCTAACCCAGCAATTACACGGCCCGCATAGAAAGTACCCAGCGTGTGCGTGTTGATGACCTGTAGGATTGTGCCAAGAGTGAAAACGAGTGAGCTGATGATGAGACCGGTGCGACGACCCAAGTACGAGGCGATTGGAGAAATGAGGAAGCATCCGAAAAAGGCACCGCCTTGTAGAATCGAAACCGCATTTGAATTCACAGTAGTCTTCTGCGCCTTGGTGTAGTGGCTGTACCCGAAGTCTTCTTGGAATGAGGTCAGGGAAAGAACTCCACCTATAGAAAGTGAGACGCTGTTAGTTTGTTTTCTTGTCAGCTAGGCGAGTAACGCATACTGATGATGCCCGTGTCAAAGGCAAAGGCAAAAGATCCCATGCAGCTGGCCGAGACCAGATACGCAGCCCTGATGAGACCAAGCCTGCGACCCATGGTGTTGGTAACGTGAGAGATCAGAGATGTGAAAAGAAGAAATGGTAAGACAAGTGAAAGTTAGTGGGAGGTTTAGAGGCGCTGTCACCCTCTACAGTATTGTCCAAATGTCTTGTCAGCAGCCAGTGTGCTGGACACAAGATTTCAAAAATCCGGGGTCGGTGAGGGGAAAAAGAGACTTTCATGCTGGATAGGTCATCTGGAAAGATCCCTGCTCTTTGATCGTGCAGCTATCAGTTCCAGCAAGATGGATCAGGTAAACTGTCCGAGCCCCACGCGAGAGCCGAACGGCTCGCAAATGCAAACGAGTACTCCGTTTATGCTTGACCATGTTTATTGATGTTCATTGGTGCACGGTGAAGAGCCAAGCTGATGCGGAGACTGGGCAGCTGAGCACGGGCGCTGATTTGCAGTCGAGCAAGCCCCCGCTCGGCTCTAGAAGCGCAAGGGGCTCCAATAGTGTAATGTTTATGGCTAAATCGATCAAAGTCCAAATCCAAGGTGTTCTGGTGAGAATTGCTCGAAACAGAGTGAGAAAAACCAAACTGCACGAAGATAGCCTGAATGAGACTTTATAATAAGGGTCTCTTGATGGCGTGCTCAGACCCTGCATGCTCAAAGGCTGAAGGATTCGATGGTGTATGGTGTGTGGGGTTGGACCCCGCAGCTTTAACCCCGGACTTGATCTCTGTGGGGAAATGTCCACTTCGAGAACGTCACTGACACCGAACTTCATCTATGGATATTCAAGGTCAGCTGATGTCGACCTATCTTAATGTTCGGAACGAACTGAGCATAATTGTAGACCAGGCCAAAAAAGTCCACCGCTTTGTCTTAACCTTTCGCTTTACTGTAGCCTTTCCGAAGCCTGATATGTCCCCCTTAACCAATACTGGTATTCCGTCACAATGGCTTTACTGGTGAATTGAAGTAAATCCAAGTCAAGTTTCATCGATGACTGTCCACCTTCCTACGCAGCATACTCGAACCTAAAAACCCCGTGTGCACGGATGGAACGTGAGATTGATCAGGCACTCGAGGCCAAAGAAGATGAACGTTTTTGCTTCCCCCCCCCCCTTCCCTTACGTGGTTCTCGATCATGGGTGGGATTTACTGATGTATGAGTAGGCGAGACCGGGGTCAATATACCCCTGATGCCTCAATGTTGTTGGTCACGACATAGCATTTCCCATTAGTTAAGTTGACCGTTCATATGGTCCATAGATACAGGCCATGACTTTGATACATACAGTGGCCAATCCTTATGTATAGTAGGAGGTCCGGTTATAGATGATATGGAGACACTTCGCATACTCATGGCGGTCATCAGCGCTCTCTGGGGCCAGAAATAGCAAAATTTCCTCGATCCAGCCCGGGCATACGATATACATCGAGACAAGATGTCGATATCTTCATCTTTCGGCTCCGACGGCCCGGCAGAAATGACGGGGAAGAATCTTTCTTCAAAACCCGCCACTTTATTCCAAACTTCATACCATGACCGCAGTCTAGCCGATCGCTACCGGGTAATTTCAGGGGCAATGGGATTTATTTTTGCCGCATGTTCCAAAGTTTGGCTTTGAACGGAACAGCCAATTGCGATGCTTTCACTTGCTCCACTCAACGGCACAGCCGGTCTTCAGAATGGGAAAGGGTCTTCGGCACCGCCACTCTACCCCTGATGAATGCCATGCGAGATACCCTGCCAAGAGGATCGGCTAGCTGATCTTCAGATTTTACGCCCAGCGTGTTCTTAATCTCAGCACAGTGGGGCCCTCATGCGGCCACGCTGTAGCCTGGTCAAATGGCAAAGAGCCTTTCCGGAGTACCGCCGGCCCCAACACGGCGAAAAATATGCTTCGGAGGGTGAAACTCCTAACCTGTTCATCGGATACTATTTCACGACGCCATGTTCCACAAACTACGGATAGATGAAGACCTTAAGCGAAGTGACCCACCCAATGACGGCGGCTAAGCCTGTCTATCCAAACTTCCGTGGGGTTTCGATCCCATGGAACAAGAAACCCAATAGACGATCACTTGTTCTGGCGGTTCTGGTTGGATAGATTGTCAATAGCAGCCACTCATTGCCGGCTTAAAGGCAATGATCACCAGGAATTAGGTTTCATGACCGCCGACCGGTGTCTCCTTATAAAATAAGACGCGGCCTGCTCTTGGCTCGAGAAGTAAGCTTTGGATCTCACTCCTGTCATTCATTTATCTCAACTTCTCTACATCTAATTTCGAGCTACGACTTTTTTATACTATATTTTCTCTTCCCTCTAAATCTGTGAAAGATGGCGCCGTTGTGGTATACTGCCAGTAGTGCACTGCTCCTATCAGTCACTGCTGCGGCATGGCCCTACTCCACCTACAAGTCGATTGACTTCCAACCTCCCACTCTCCAGATCAATCAGACCGGCCCAACTGATCCGGGATTGATTTTCCTCGGTCCTCGTGGAGGCGTGCAGCCTGCCGGCCAGGCCGCACTAATCTACGACAATGCGGGCAACTTGGTCTATGAAGGCCCGGAGGAGGTCACCTCCAATTTCATGGTACAGAAGCTGAATGGGTCCGATGTGATCACTTTCTGGGCTGGTGACATGATGGACATCGGCTATGGATATGGCTCCGTCCATATCCTTGACAATACCTACCAGGAAATCCACACCGTTACTTTGACAGGAAACTTCGTTACCCCGGACAATTCAACCAAGACTTCGTACATTGATTTGCATGAAAGCAAGATCACCCCAAACAACACGCTTCTGGTCACCGCGTACAATGTCACCCAGCATGACCTGACTTCGATTGGCGGTACATCATCGGAATGGATGCTGGACAGCCATTTCTACGAAATAGACATCGCCACCAATGAGATTGTCAGCTCGTGGAGTGCACTTGACCATGAAGATGACATTCCTTTGACCTCATCTCACCAGAAGCTAGGCGGGACCGCTGGTACTCAGGAGAACCCTTATGATGCCTATCACATCAACGCCATTACCCCTACCAACAATGGTCACCTGGTCTCCCTTCGTCATATGTGGTCTGGATATTATCTCTCTGAGAACGGAACTGTTATGTGGCAAGTGAGCGGCGACACTGGCGCTGACTTCACTCAAGTGGGCAATGCAAACTTCTCGTGGCAGCATGATATCCGGGTCTTCAACGAGACTGATGAGGGCATGGTCCTGACCTTATTCAACAACGCCAACACTCCGACAAACAGCGAGAGCCCTACCACTGGTGTCAGCCTGGCTATCGATCTCGTCAAGAAGACAGTCACTGGTCTCCGATCACTGAGCGATCACAATGACCCCATCCACTCCGTCAGCCAGGGCAGTTACCAGGTTCTCAATGAGCAAGGCGGCCACGTCCTCATGGCCTACGGCTCCATCTCCAAGGTCAAGGAATATGACGGTGCTGGAAATGTCGTCTTCAGTGGCATGTTCGGTCCGAACAATGCCGTTGCCTCATACCGTGGCTACCGCTTCCAGTGGAGTGCTGTCCCCTTCTGGAAGCCTTCGCTGAATGTTACCCGTACCTCCACCGGTGCCACCGTCTACATGAGCTGGAATGGTGCTACTGAGTATGACACTTGGGCTGTCTACTCGGCTTCTTCGGAGAACTCAACCAACAACCAGCAGATCGCATCGGGCAAGCGCACTGGTTTCGAGACTGCCATTAACGTGACCAATTTGACCACCAACTACATCCAGGTAGCCGCTCTCCAGGGCAACAATGTTCTTGGTACCTCGGATATAGTCTCTTTCTAGGCCGTTCACACTTTCACAGGATGACTGGCCTGTTTAGGGCTTCCAGGGCTTGAGATGACGTTCCTAGCATAACCTTTCACCGGGTATGCTATCCTCTCTATTATAGTTCGTGGGTTGTACCAAGTGGCCCAATGTGGTGTGTCGATGTAACTTTGGTATTTGATCATAGACCTAGAATTTTTTTTTTCTTTTTTTGTACATACTTTTTGTTAACGAAACAATTATCTTACTTCTCACAGTGGATGTATGTTCCTCAGCTTACGTGCAGCCCATGAGTGATTATGTTTATAAGGTTTGTGGCCAAGGACATTAGAATGTAAGCGCCTGAGGTTTTGCAGCGGGGGACTGCTTGTCAGGCTCGGGATCAGAGTCTCTCATGGATTAGAACAATAATTCTCTCAAGGTAAGCAACCACATGAATTATATATTTCTGACAAATTATGGGCAGAGCCGTAATATTTAACTTTATCAAGGAGGTCAGGATTTTGAGGTATACCAACTGTCAGCCATCTTGATTCCACGATCTGCTTTCAAAAATGCACCGCGTGGCTTGGGTTCAGGTGCCACATTTGAATGAATCGCTCGGCTCTGAATGCAATTGAGCTAATTTAAGATGATGGCAGATACTACAAACAAGATTCCAGTCATTCCCCGGATTTAAACAGGGGGAATGGGAGCCACGGATCACGATGCCGCCAGTCAGATGCCACATTCCTTTGATGCAAGGCTGTTGCTGGAGACAACCAGATACACTTGGTCTATGCACATTGCAATTCGGATACTCTGATTGGATGTCGACGGACATTGGGCCTAGATCCAATGTTTTTCAAGCTTGTTTCTCATAACAGAATTTTTCTTAATTCTGAATAGATTGTGAATGCAAAGGCCTTCTTGACCTGTCAATCGAGGTTCCGAGATCATTTGTCTCTACAATTTTGCATCCCCAATGAGATCTATCTGCGAGGAAGTAAAATTCTCAGCGTGTTTTTCATCAAGCAATCGTGATGGCTGATTTTGTTGTGACATTGTATGACTTGAGCATCCCTTCATTGTGCTCCATGAGAGCACTATGTGGCGCCGAGCATTTCCGGAACCAGGATTAGACTGCCAATTAGAACAGAATGTTGCGTTCCTCTGCGCGATGTGACATAAAAAGAAGGAAGAACATCTCCGTAGAAGGATATCGAACTATAAAGTCGACGTTGATCCCGAAATTTCACACCCTCAAGCTCGGTCCTAAAATCATCACCCGGGCAAATCATATACTTACCACCATGAAGCTCTTGAACCTCTTCCCAATTCTCTCTCTGGCTACATTAGCAGCCTCCCATCCAGGGACCAAGACAAAGAAAGACCACGCAGGAATTTCTTCAGGCGTTTTCTCATCCAGCAATGTTCCGTCACCGGTTCAGTCATTTGTCCCCTTCGGAGCATCTAGCACAGCCACCCCTACGTCGAGTGTCGGCCAAGCCGTGGTCAAAAATAATTGCGAATTCCCCATATACATTTGGTCCGTTGGAAGCACCGTTCGGCCCGTGGTGACGACGGACCCCAACGGGCAATATGCCGAGACATTTCGTTATGACTCGAAGAGTGGTGGAATTGCGATCAAAATCACCACTGTGCCAGATGGGCTTTGGCAAAGTGCTCCACTGACTATATTTTCGTACAATCTGTCTGGTGATGGGGAGGTGTGGTACGATCTGTCAGATATCTTTGGTGATCCTTTCAAGGGTTATCCTGTCGTGCTGCAGCCAGCAGAGTCAGCGGAGCCAGCGATATCCTGGGAAAATGGCCAATCTCCTGCTGGTAGCAGTGTTCTTGTACATAGTGCTGTGTCTGATTTGGTATTGACATTGTGTTGAGGGGCTAAGGGGTTATCCCTGGATGGATTCATGAACTTGGCATCGCGAGATTGGACTAGGATGTGACTCAGAAACGTGTAGTTTTGACCCAAGGGTACGATTCAACGGAAAGCAAGTCCATGAATTTGAATGGCAATTGAATGTGTGGTGTACTCTCTCAGATCCCCAATTTGGGGCTTGCGCTTTGTACTGTTCGGGACTGATGTCATCCACCGAATACCTCGGCTGTCAATGGATGATCGAACATGAACACCCCCACAGTATAATTGCTAGAAAAGTGATGCTCTATTGTAATTGCCCAAACCGAGCAAATCCACGGTCCACCTAACCAATTCCTCAGAACAAAAGGCTCCTCAATGGCAATGATGAATGGTGGTAGCTAACCTCGGCCAAAAGTCCGAACCCGCATTGCGCTGCAATCCCCCGCATTTTCCCCACTTCTCCAACTCCCACAATCCGAAATTCCCTTTATCTTCAACCTTTTCCTCACCAGATTGGCCAGTCTAAGGTATCTCATTGAACATACACATACGCACAAAAAAAATGGTCGCTCCTGCAATCCGGGTCGCCCCGTCGGCTGCCAACCGCGCGCTGAATCTACTGCGCACGGTGCAGTACACCCACCCACCTAACTGCCCCTGCCACTCCAATCCCAATCACCACCATCACCATAAGACTCCTTCAATGATGAACAATGTTCGCCGTCATCTGGCGACCCCGGTGGATCCCTCTCGTCAGAAAGAGTATGCTTTTGAAATGGCGGCGTCGAGTATTCGGTTCGGACCTGGCTCCACCAAGGAAGTCGGCATGGATTTCACAAATATGGGTGCCAAGCGGGTTTGCATTGTGACTGACTCCAATGTGACCAAACTTGATGCCATGAAGCAGGCTGTTGAGGGTTTGACCCGGGAGGGTATCCAATTTACCATCTTTGACAAGGTCCGGACGGAGCCCAAGGACAGCTCGTAGGTGGTACCTTGTGACACTAAGCACTGAGATACGCTGCTGACATTGAATGGCGTCACACAGTATCAGGGAGGCTATTGCATTTGCAAAGCCGTACAAGCCTGACGCCTTCCTTGCTGTCGGTATGTGGATAGGACACTCGACGATTTGTGCAGGGGACCACTAACAATCCAACAGGTGGTGGATCCGTCATTGACACCGCCAAACTCATGAATCTATATACGGTTTTCCCGGAAGCTGACTTCCTGGACTTCGTCAACGCCCCACTGGGCAAGGGTCTCCCAGTCACCAAGCCGCTTCTCCCTCTCGTAGCCGTGCCCACCACCGCAGGTACAGGTTCCGAGACAACCGGAACAGCCATTTTCGACCTGGTCGAGAAGAAAGCCAAAACAGGTATCGCGCATCGCGCCCTCAAGCCCACCCTGGGAATCTGTGACCCCCTCAACACTCGCACAATGCCTTCAGCTGTCCATGCTGCATCCGGCCTCGACGTGCTCTGTCACTCACTAGAGTCATGGACTGCGATCCCATACAACGAGCGTACCCCACGCCCTACAAACCCCATCAACCGTCCTGCTTACCAGGGTGCGAACCCCATTTCCGATATCTTCTCCTTGGAGGCCCTCCGCAGCACGGTCAAGTACCTCCCCCGCGCCGTGCGGGATCCTGATGATCACGAGGCACAATCGCAGATGCTTCTCGCAGCGACCCTTGCTGGTGTTGGATTCGGTAACGCAGGTGTCCACCTGTGTCACGGCATGAGCTACCCTATCTCGAGCCAGAATCCTGGCTACAAGCACAATGGTTACCAGGTTGATCACCCCATTATCCCGCATGGTGTGTCTGTTGCAGTCACAGCGCCCGCCGTTTTCAAGTTCACCGCTGCGTCAAATCCGGACCGCCACTTGGCGGCTGCTGCGGCCTTTGGCGTGGACATCTCGAATGTGAAGCGTGAGAGCGCGGGTGAGGTGCTTGGTGCTGCGATTGCCGAGTTCTTAGTTAAGCTGGGAGACCAGCCGCGTGGTTTGAAGGATTTGGGATTCAAAGCTTCGGATGTCGAGGGCTTGGTCGAGGGCACTATCCCGCAAAAGCGAGTATTGATGCTGGCACCGAATTTGAGTGGGGAACTCGAGGCTGAGAGGAGCGAGCTGAGGCGTCTCCTGGAGGAATCTATGGACTACTAGGAATGCTTCTGTTTGGGTGGTAATTTTATTGGTACTTTGTGTATCTGTCACCTTGTAAAAATAAAAATCACATTGAATGCCCCAGAGAAACAAAATTGGGTATCACGAAAGTCGTAAATTGTAGATTGAATGGCACCCTAGAACATCTTAGAGCGTCATGTTATCACTGAATCAACTAGGATCCGATTCCCGTGGCACTCCTTCAATACATTTGATAGGGTCTGCATTCTCCGTTATTATCTTCGTACCCAGAACACCCATCGACGAAGCGACACGATCTAGCCAGATCACCGCACGGGGGTCATCATGGTCCGAAGTTTGAGATGGACCACGCCCCAGCTCAGAATATATTCGAAACGGCAGCGTTGTTGTATCTATACTGACGGGTTGTGGCGATGGTGTACCAGCACTCCCATCGCTCAGCGTGCCTGTCCCTGACCCAGGCGAGAAATCTTCAACGACCCGACAACGCAGCTTGCCTTCTAGACGATCACATAACTGCCCAAGAGTGCCTTGCATGTTCTCTGCTCCGCGGAGAAGCAGTGATGGGCCGGTTTCTGGGAAGATCTCCGGGACGGGGCCGACGAACGTACTCGGACGTCGAGTGATGCCTTGTTGGCGCTGGACATGAGCACTGATACAGGAGCGCAACTCGGCGCATAAGATGTGCAGCCTGCGAGACGTATCCTCAATCCGCTGCATTAAACTTCCAGCGTCATGAAGTGACTCTGTAGGGCTGGAGAGAATGTCCCTGGCTTCGCTGATATATCTTGGACACTTGACTATCTCCATGAAGGCCTTGTCAGAGATAAGTCCGTAGGCTGCCCACTCTCCTGGCTTTATAGAGTCTTCAGCCATAAGCTTAGTAGTGTAATCCTGCCATTCTTCCTGGTCCAGAAAGCAAGGCTTCCCCTGACTGATAGCTGTAGCGACATGAAAGCCTCGAAATGCAATCCAGCACGATCTTCCTATCCCTACAGTGTGCTGACTGGGGCCACGGCTTATCATGAGCCTTCTCACTGCGTCAGAATGCACAACCCAGGCACCCGGAGATGTCTGGGCATACATCTCGTAAACACTCAACATCATAGCGGTACAGAGCATGTTATCAGACATAGCCAAATCACCGATTGAAAGCGCACGAACAATCTCACCCAGAGAAATACCATACATCCTGCGACTAATCCGAAGAAGAGCTCGGTCCTGTGTGAGATGCGCCAAATAAACAGAGCTCAAGCAACAAACCGCCGAATCAAAATACGCATCTTGCCCGAAATTCTGAACAATATGCTCCGCGAAGCCCGGACCCCCGTTTGCGCGGAATAAGTTATGGAAGTACAAAGTGGGGAACGATGCACCGATAAAATCCAGGAACAGCTGTGGCTGTGCGGCTTTGAACGTCTTGCGCACCAGAGACGGCGAGACATTTTCGTCCAGCGCAAGAGTAGCCGAATGCCGGCGCATTAACGCGATCGCATTTTCGCGCACTACCGTCGCAACGCCGGTGCCTCCTCCATCAGTAGGTCCGAGCGCCTCGATCTGCCGTGCATGTGGAGCTGCACCTGCAGCTGCCCAGGCGGGGGTAGTTGCGATCGATGCTGAATTCTGCTCACGGCCTCGTCCCCGAGGCAGAGAGCGGTTTCGTCGTGCGAGACTGGGGCCTTCATCTTGAAATCTGAACGTACGCCTGTATCCTGGACAGGTACGGCCGTATCGCTGGCATTGGGTGCATCCGGGGACCGCCTCGTCGCACTAGTATTTGAGGCCGGACTCTCAGTGGGGGTTCATGTTGGGAAGATTGGTGAAAAGACAACGACGGTTCTCACCTTGATGTGTCTTTCGCGACAGAGAGCACAGCCTGTACTGTGTGGTACACCCACCATGGTCGGGTGTCATGAGCTCAATCAATCAGCATGGCGCTTGGAGGTTGCATCGCAATCTGTCGCTTGATCCTTGCACAACAGATCTCGAGGTCCTCGAGCGAGCTAAAGGGAAAAGTAAATTGAAGAGAATTAAGAATTATCGGGGTGGATTATAGCCGGAGAGTGTCCGTTATTGCGTAGAGTGGAGAAGGTCCCTCAACCTGCCAAGGATTGCCGTTGCGTCCCGCTATTAGTCCACGAAATGTACGAAATCACTAGTTTAAATGGAGGCCAGTCAATTGGCGACTCCCAACTGATATTCCCTATTCTCAATGTCCCTTGTGTATACGTATATGTACATGAGCTTGAGACCAGTAGGTACCACTCGCTGTCAATACCACCTTGAAAACTAAAGCTTCTCATCTTCGACATATCCTTCCAATACACTCTTCGACATGGATCTACATTAGGCACCTTTTCTAGCCCATCGTACATAGCAAGACCCGCGAAGGTCTCGTATTGGTTATAGTTCGAGAGACGATTGGTTAAAATAAGGGTGTACAGCCATGTAACTCCAACTACCTTCACATTCCAAGCTAGTCTGCGGAATAGTGTGAGTAACATGGTGCCTGGGTACGTATGCGATGATATGATTTTGAATTTCGAGTACTGCGCCTTGCCGAGTGCGTGGTACTCAACAAACTCTGCATATTGTGCAATTGACAGTTCCCATGATTATCTACTTGCCTTGAGTGTGACCTCACCATTTGTCGACCACTGACAGCCATAGTGGCGAATTAAGCGATGTCACTACCAAGACCAAGAGGAGTCTAAATGAAAGCCATGGAGGCGCTATTTGCGGGAGATTCAGAACAAGTCCCTTGCTTGTCTAGATCTTTTTCTTCTATGTCGTATTTGGGTTCGGAAAGTATGGAAAGTAAATAGAGCTGCATTAATTGTTTTTCCGATCCTCTGGTAGTTGGTGCCCCAGGCATCAAACAGACTCCGGGGCAATGATATCAGTCAGCGAGAGCCTCCGCGTTTCCCTCTACTCGCATCGTCGAGATCTTTGAGCCAAGACCTATTCATTTGCCCCGAAAACGCCTTCAAGCCTATCGCTGTCTACGAATTTGCCCGGGTATGCGACAGGATCCTCTACGATGACCAGGCTCCGCGGAGCTTCTCTCGATTCCCCAAACTCCCAGCCCGGCGGCGAGCGACAGTACTGTCGGGCCAAAGTTCCCCAAAACGCGCCCGACGTCATTGTTCAGAATACCATCGAAGTCTCAGATTCCTCACGGGTGCTGCCGTGGTACCGAGATGAGCGAAGACGACGATTCAACATACTAGTACGAAGGTGAGTGTCAGTGCTGGGCTCTGAAGCTTCGGACATCTTTCAATGAGGAACAACCCTGACCAATCTCTTGGACATAGGTATAAAAATCAGCTGCTCCATGGCTGTGATGATCCTGGATGCCGAACCCCGACATGCGCGAGTCGCCGTCGCCGCGTCAGCGAGGGCCCATATCGTCGATACACTGAGCTTAGTGCCCGAACTCTTGCCTGTTACCTCGCCAGTCTAGACGATGCGGAGAGCGGACTTTGCTGCAATACCCCGAAGATACCATCTGAGCTGACGGTACAAGACTACCACCGTATTTCCCTGCAACGGTCTCGTGCTATCCAAGCCCAGGCAGCCGCCGCCGCCGCAGCCGCCGAAGAGCAAAGCAGTTTCCTTCGCGGTCGAGACCCTGAAAGTGGCAATGCAAGTAAGCAACAAGTGGATGAATCCAAGCCGGTCGGCTCGTTCAACAGGGTTGATGATGCGGGCTCGTCGTCTTCCCCAAGCGGGTACCCCGGCGGCTATGACTTTCAAGACCTTGACTATGCTGCTGAGCAGCCTTTAAAGGATCCGAAATCATTCACACAGAACCTATTCGACACAATATCGCTCCGAATGGTTGAGTGGCTTCCGCTTCGTCGAACTACAGACTCCTTTCAACCCAAGTCCAAACAGCCTATGCTACAATCGGGCACGGATCAGTCCCATCCTGGCAAAGAACTTGAAGCACAACATAGGGACTTTGAAAAAGCAAAGCCCAACAATCACAAACCCGCCCCGTCACTGGTACCAAATCAGCAACCACGCACCCCTTCATCGCGAGCATCAGGAACCCAAGCCTCGGCCGTCGAGCTGAAATTCCAAAACCAACATGTTAAGCGGCTTTCATTAAATGAGATGGATCATTGGCGACAAACCACACGCTCTGGTCTAGAGGAGAAGAAAAAACCTGAATATACCAATAGAAAAGTGTCTGTGAATTCGCACATTGCTTCAAGCGATTTTGCTAGCATGCCTTCCCCGCCGGCCTTGAAACATCGACCCCAAAAGCATCGGGGCCGAATTGGCGAAATGGAACATCCCAAAAAGAAGGAACGTTCCAAGAACCAGCGTCGTGTCTCTTGGGATAGTGAAAAGGTTCTCAACCAGGTCCCTCGGGAAGAAAATCCTGGAAATCATTGTCTTCCACCTTCACAGGGGGAGCCTGACAACGCATCCCCAAGCAGCCGCAAAGTCAAACATGATTTACGTCACCGCTCTTTAGATCAGACTCCATTGGCGCAAACGGTGACTCATTTCACTCCAGACATCATTCATGGCCTTGGCCAGATCATGGTCGAATCCTCGGAGGAAGAAGAGACCTGGAAAGAAGAAATGGATCATATTCAGTCGACGGGGAGCTTTGATAATCCAGAGTGGCGATTTGCTACATCTCGCCAGCGTCAAGCATATCCATTTGTTTCACAGAGTGTTTTCTTTGTGTTCAGCAGTGCCAGACACATCCTGTCTTCTTTTGGAGTGGATGAAAAGGGGCCACCTGCATGCCCGCAACGAGCGACGGATCATCGCCTTGATGTTTCAAATCTTCGGGGTTCTTTACAACATCTTTTTACCATTTGTCCATGGGACATCGCATTGCATAGTCTGTGGACCACTTTAGACCACCTTTTTGTTCCGCCAGGTGACTTTTCCCCTTCAACCCGACCGTCGCGTCGCTCTTCGCGCAGTTCAACCATGACAGGTCAAAATGGACCACCGCCAGTGGTTCGACGACCCTCCGAGTCAGTAAGCGATGAGCATCTGTCCGATGTGGATGCTGCCTATATTGCCACTGTTGCCCTCTTCGTATTGGTCAGCTCCATTCCAGACATTGATGTACGGACCTGGCGTCAGATCCTCCAAATGCGCTCTTCAGGGAGTGTAGCGTCTGCTGCGGCCATGCAAAAGTTACCTTCAGGCCAAGTCCAGCAGGTCGTCGAAGCGACCGATAGGCTTGAACATGACCTTGCGCTTCGCTTGATTAATCGCCTCGTTCGCGCCCTTACTGCTCGTCTCGCATACCATGAGATATCCAAAGCACGTCAGGTCTATACCCTTGACCTTCCGAAGCAAAGGGGTGTCAGCGTTCTCGATCGCATTGTGGACCATCTCAGCGAGCACCATACCGTTCAACAATCGGCTGCCGATAGTTCGTCTTATCAGCCCACCAGCCCTGCGCATGTCATGTTAGAATGGTTGAGAACTCTGTTCTTACGAGAATGGGATGGCAATCCCGAAATGGCTCGCAGCAGTGCCACCGGAGGTGTAGTACAGATATTGGCTTTAATGTACAGAGAACGAAATAGGCTGGGCCTATTTCCCGAAGACTTCCATACTCCGATTCTCGCAGAGCGGCTGGACCCTCTTGAGATGCCCGTGGCATGGGTAGGCAGCCTCCCGAACAACCGAACGATGCATCTCATGTCATATTCCTTCTTATTCCCACCTTCCTACCTCGTCATTTACTTCCGAGCTCTTAATTACTCTGCTATGTCGAAATACTTCGAGGCTGCCATGACCACGACCAGACATGTTACCCAGACAGCCTATAGCAACGCCATCAACGTCACCGATGACTCTCCACTCTTGCAACGGATGAAGGTTTCCATGTCAACCTACTTTGTTCTCAATGTGCGGCGAGATAATATCTTGACCGATTCCTTGAACCAATTGTGGCGACGAGAGAAACGAGAGTTGATGCGGCCACTCAAAGTCCAGATGGGTATGGATGAAGGTGAAGAGGGCTTGGACCATGGCGGCGTTCAACAGGAATTTTTCTGTGTCTTGATGGCGGAGGCCCTTGACCCGTCTTATGGCATGTTTACTATGGACAGTCGACACCGCATCTCCTGGTTTCGCCCCTGCTCCCTGGAACCGCTATACAAATTTGAGCTTATTGGCCTTTTGATATCCATTGCCGTATACAATGGCATCACTCTTCCCATCAACTTCCCCATTGCTTTTTACCGCAAGCTTTTGGGAACCAAGGTGAAGCACTTGGATCATATTCGAGATGGATGGCCAGAACTCACTAGCGGTCTCGAGGCGCTTTTATCCTGGACAGATGGTGACGTTGGTGATATCTTCATGCGCACGTATGAATTCAGTTTTGAATCGTTCGGCGGCATTGAGACAATTGATATGCAAAAGGTTGATCGCGATGCCGCCTGGCCAGTTCCAATCAAAGCTACTCGTGCCAATCATGTCGCAAAATGCTCAGCCTGGGCTGATGCGTCTCAACGCTGTGACCCAGCAGGAGCGAGTCTGAACTCGTCCATGCTAAAGGAGACAACCGATCCGCCTCCCTCGTCGGCTTCGGGTGAGACGGCCGAGTCTATCCCCAGGTCTTTGCCGCCTCAGTCTTCTGCTCCTCCCCCAGAAGAGGCCTCTTTGGTAACAAATCAGAATCGATATCAGTTTGTCAAAGACTACATATTCTGGTTGACGGACAAGTCTATTCGGCCTCAATTTGACGCGTTCGTACGCGGGTTCCACACCTGCCTTGATCGGTCTGCCCTGTCGATATTCACACCCGAGGCTTTGAAGACCGTAGTAGAGGGTCTGCAGACGATCGATGTAAAGGAGTTAGAGAACCACGCTCGTTATGAGGGTGGCTTTGGACCGGACCACCGCGTCATTCGGGACTTCTGGAATGTGGTCCAGCAATACTCGGCAGAGAAGAAAGCGCAGCTCCTGGAGTTTGTTACTGCAAGTGACCGCGTCCCTGTCAATGGAATCTCGAGCATCATGTTTGTGATCCAGAAAAACGGCGTGGGGGATATGGTAAGTTCTGTGTTCTTTCGCTACTATTATTGTTTTTGACACTGACTGGTCTCCCAGCGTCTTCCGACTAGCCTCACATGTTTCGGTCGATTGTTGCTCCCGGAGTATTCCTCAAAGGAAGCTTTGGTGGAGAAGCTTGACAAAGCACTTGCAAATGCAAGAGGATTCGGTGTTGCATGAAATGATTATACTAGGGAACGGATCTATACATACCCATTTTCTTGAACAATGCATTAAGAGTTACAAACAGCATTGTACAATATCCAAAAAAGTTCTCGGTTCAATGTTGCCAGGTATATTCGGTATTTTTCGATAGTAAAAGATATGAAGGATGTTCATTTGTAATGCACGAAATGAAGAGCGAATCAGACTTGAGTGAGTGGCCCTCGGCTCCAGTCCTGTGGCATGGTTCGCCATTACGGCGTGGCAATCACCAGGTTCAAAAGGCGGAGTGCTGAAGTCCGGGCTGTCGATCTTCAATTTCTCCATTTCAATTCTCTTCTGTATCTTCTTTGATTTGCGATCATACCCTGCACTGGTACCATTCATTTCCTGTAAGGCGATCCTCCCCGACCCTGCTGTTCCCCCCACTGCCCCACGTTTCTCCGATAAGAGTCATCGGGGTCCACGACCTCAATCCAACGGAAGTTAACAACTCGAAACCACAGCACGAAAGTAAACGTGCCAATTCTCTGCATACATCATGGCGCCAACCATTCACTGTGTTCGCCACGCTCAGGTATGTGCATATCATGCCGATCATCGGCATGCAGCTTCTGCGACTTCCCCATTAGTAACCAGAGATCCTTGGGGTTCTGTGCATCAATTGATCTCTAACATGCTTTACTCTTATAGGGCGTCCACAACCTCTGCACCGCAAACCATGTTATCCCGGATCCGCTCCTCACAGACCTTGGCCATGAGCAATGCGCCAAGCTTCGGGAGGCCTTCCCTTACCACGACAAGATCGACTTGGTGACGGCCTCACCTCTGCGCCGCACCATCTACACTGCCCTAGAAAGCTTCGAGCCTGTTTTCCAAGCTCACCCGGAATTCAAACTCATCGCCCTGCCGGACCTGCAGGAGACCTCGGATGTGCCCTGCGACACCGGCAGTGACCCCAAGGCACTACAAGAGGAGTTTGCGGGCAAGAACGTGGATCTAGACATGGTTCATGAGGGCTGGAACAGCAAGGTGTGTTTGCTTTAATCCCCTCTCGAGCCTTATATACACGAACTTTTGTATTCCTAACCGCTTTGATGTACCTCAGACTGGCCACTATGCCCCAACCAATGCAGCCCTCCGAGAGCGCGCTCGTGCCGCTCGCCGCTGGCTGAAAGCTCGGCCCGAAAAGGAGATTGTCATGGTGACGCACGGCGGATTCCTGCACTACTTCACCGAGGACTGGGAGGATCACAGCCAGTACCAGGGCACCGGATGGTCGAACACTGAATTCCGATCCTACACCTTCTCCGACGAGGAACACAAAGATGATTTGGAGGGTCACGCACTCAATGGGGACAATGCTACGCTCGTCGAGACTATTGATTCGCGACAACGCCGTGGCAAGGTTGGTCCCACTCCGGATCGTGCACAGCAGAAGAAGCTATACCAGCTTGGTACCCAAAGCTGGAATGAACAGCTTAGCACGCCGGAGCAGGACTCGGCAAAGGTGCCTGAGGGTGAAGAGGTCAATGGGGTGCGAGTATGATTGGTTCTTAGACGTTGTTATTATCTCAGACATTTCACAAAGATCATTAAGATGCGGTAGATAGATTGTGATGCATATAGATCAAAAGCATTTCAAAGACTTCATCTATTCATGTAGGTAGCCGCTCAGGCTGTGCTTTGTCCCTTTTGTTGATCTTTTGTTCCGTCGCCGATTCATTGTTCATCCCTTGGTCTCGTCTAGGGTTTTGGTTTGTCTCGGGGTCAAATAATGTGACAAAGACCCGAATTATCCTTGTAGCTTCAGGTTTCATCAAGTGTTGGAAACCTTTCAAGGTCTCTACTTTACAATATATGCCACCTCGAACTCGAAATGGGCACAGACTAAGTTGACTAGGATACACAAAGGCTACTCGGGAATAAAGCCGTTGTCGAGCTGGTGCGAGGACATCTATATAATATGCCTTTACCCCCGTCGAGAAGGGTATCAATCCACCAGCACACAATGACATTGTCTAACTAAATGCCCTCGGCTAAGTCCTTGACTCTTGCATTTACCAGATACAGAGACTGACATTGATAAATAGGGCCTTTTCCGACCCAAGTTCCTGCTCATGCGAATTACTTCCAACTGCTGAGGTTGCTAGAGAAAATGCCTTTGGCTGAGTATTGTTTCCCGAATGACCCCTTTGCAATAGCTAATGTTGAATCCCAGGTCTCATCGTCCTATAAGATGACTGTCTTCAGAAGTTTACATTGATCATATTAGATCCACTGGCTGAGTTTCTTGACCCCAGATAGGATCACTGCACAGCTAACATGATGTGTAGGTATTATCGAGGATTGCGCTTACCATATACAAGATATACTCTTAGCTAGGTACTCCATCCTTGCCAGTCCCATTAGAAAATTAACATACTATTAGGCATTATTGCTGCACTCGTGGACAGGTCATTCATTCCAGGTTTGTCTCGCAGAGTAGGTCCCTCCCTCCTGAGAAGGTTGATTTCTATCATTCTCTCGAAGTACAAAATGGTCCGTTTACTAACGAGTACTAGGCGTTCTGCTTTATCGAGGTCTCTGGCACCGGCAGCCACAGTCTGGACAGCTTGGAGGCTATAAGATTATCTAGGTCAGTCACCCCATCTGTGGCCAGATGTGATCATCGAGACCTTTACGAAGCGACGAAACAACCAGTTGCTCTCGCTCGACTCTTTGAAGATATTCCTTGACCAGGTTTTCTGGACTCATCCTTGAGACTATGGAATGTAGATTGACATGTTTCAGGTATACCCTACCCCCATTGTCTGAAACAGCCACAGGCTAGATCACTTCAGGCAAGCCTCCTCCCTGTCTTTGCTAATATTCATAGTAAAACCAACGCCTTCATTTCTCTTTGAGAATAACAGAGTATATTCAAGGATCGATAACCAATCCAGCCAAGGTACACGGTAGGTCAGAGCCTCGCTAATGTTTTCCATGTAGTTTTTATCGGATGAAACTTCGAAACCAAGATCCACATCAGCACAGACGCCTTGGTATTGTTTGCCTTCATCTCCGAATTCCCTTTGAGAAGTGGTGGATACTAACTGAACCAGGTTCATGCCTTATTGATGAAACGCCATTAACCCTTCATCAAGTGAGTCTCCCTTCCTATTGTTGCTGACATCATATCTTACGTAGGTAGATTTCCAGAGCTCCAGCCGGAGCTATGATATACGTTTCTCTGATGAGGATGGCGTTGAGAATAGGTGCCGAGGCGAGTCAACTCCGAAAGTGGCTAAAAGCTAATTCCACAGATGCCTGGAACTGAGGGGTTATATTGGGATGAAGGCGCGGGAAGCCATGTGGGGAAAGGTGGCTTAGAAACGTCGGGTAAGCCTGCAAGGTTGAATCGATCTGTGTTCTAGAGTGGGCGCGGGGGATTTCTAGAGAAGCGCCTTGCTCGTGTCCGGGGATCCTGTGTAGGGCCATTCATAGGCAGCGGTATTCCCTGCATGATATGCATACAATCCGCTCAAATAGCATAGCCGTGGAGGTGCGGAATCCTGGTGCCTTTTAAGTATAAACAAACCAACAAATCAGGGCCCAAGGCCTATTTTTAGCTGCCGATCACTTGCATCCACGCAAACTCCTTCCTTCCCTATATCTCTCTCCTTTGCCCTCCCCCACGTCTTGTTGGAATAGGGCAAGATGCTTGACGAAAATCTGCCAAGTATGACTTCCCCATATACCCTCGTTCCCCTGGTTCCCCTGGTTCCTTTCGAAACTACGTCATCGTCCCCTCAACTGTGCATACACTGACTCCACCCCTAGCGTTCTTCTTGAAGAACAATTCGCAGACCCCTCAGCAGAGTACTATCTACCATCGCCAGCATGGAAACGAAGCGGAACCGGCATATACCCTCAAATACCTCGATCCCACAGCCATCACCTCGCAAAACCGCTATGGCGTCGCGCTCTACGATCCCTACGTCCCGGACATCGTCTACGGCGAAGTCGCCGTGAGTCCTGAATGGACACAACCAAGCTTATCAGCAGATGCCATTCGAGCCAACGGCGGCACCGCGCCACCTCCAGAGCCCATCCTCCCCACCGAGTTCTCCATCCAACTCTACAATCCCGATCAGCAAATCGTGATCCGTCACCAGCCCAAAACGTGGAACAAGCCAGCGCGGTGGGAGTTCGAGATGCCACAGCGCTCATTCCGAGTTCCGTCGGCTTCTACATTAGATCGGACGCAGAGTGATCCTGCAGCGGCAGACGTGACTCCAAAGTTGCGCTTCAGTTGGCGCAAAGATGGGAAACTCTCCAAGGATCTCTCATGCTTGCTCCATGGGAAATCTACCACGGTCGCGGAGACGAAGAACAAAAGTCGTGAGCCGGATATCACGGTCGCCATCTTCCAGGGCCTTAAAGAGCTGACACTCTACGAACCGAATCTCTACCGTGTGGAGATGGAGGACTTTAAGGGCTTGGAGGTCGTGTTGTTGCTTGCGGCGGTGGCTATCCGCGATATTTTCTTCGGTCCAGCCAAAGAAGCTTTCCACATCGTCCCCGGTGGCACTACTGTAACAAACGGCAGACCGCAGGCGGCTGTCCCTGGTCGCAAGAGCCCGAAGGCGCAAGCTACAGGCGCCATCCCAGCTCGCAAGCCCGAGCCCGCACGGCCCTCTATTGCAAATCCCCAATCCCCTGCGCCGCAGGCACGACGAAAACAGGACGAGTGGGCGGCACAAGAAGAGCGCAAAACACAAGAACTGCTCGCAGCGGAGCGACGAGAACAGGAAAAGGCTCGACGTCGAAAAGAGGCCGAGCTGGACAGCGAGACAAAACGTCTACAAAAGCTGTATGGACAGGAAGAGCAGCGAGTTCGACTACAGCGCCCCAATCCATCGTCGTCCTCACGTCCAAATCTTCCGCTTCGTCCCAGCGGCCCATACAACTCGCATCAGTACTCCCAGTCTCACTCCTATCTTGCATCTCAACCCCCGCCACAACCTCCCCGCCAGACTCGTCCGCAATCATATTACCCCCAAAGCCAACCGGCTCCTACTTTCGCAAGTAGCCCATATCTTCAACATCCTGCTCGCCCTGACCCCCGATCACAATCTACTGTCAGTTTTGCCCAGCCTCGACCACAGTCTACGGTGGGGCTTTATCAGATGCCTGCTAGTACTGGGGCTTTGCCTCCAGGACAGCCACCTCGTCCTCAGATCCAGCCTAAGAAAAGCAGCTTCTTTGGGTTTAGGCGGAAGGAGGAGGGCAGCACACCAAATAAGTTGGATAAAAAGCGGAGTTCCATGTTTTGATCTGATTTTGATTCTTGATACCCTGGCATTTCCATTTTATTTTTTCTTTAGCATTCTCGGGGCATTTTGGCATGCATCCACGGGTTTACGGTTATGGTTGTATAAAGGCATTTGCATTGAACGAAGCAACATTAACTTACGAATTGCCAAATCCAAAACAAAAAACTACTTATTACCATGAGGAAACGGGTAAAAGTTGAAAATAATGACTCGTATTGCTTACATTCTACCTGGTACGTGCTCGTATAAATAGAATCGCCATATTCCACGGCCATCTCTGCCATGGTTGAAAGACAGGGCCTACCATAACTATGTGCGTCGTTAAGAAGAAAGAACGTCATGAAACTTCGAATACCTACCAATGGAAGGATAGTCTCAGAGGGTCACGGTAGAGGCAGTGAGGACTCCGCTCTTCATGACCAAGTCTGCAGTTACCTGCGGTGGAACCACTCGATCAATCCCCAAGATCATGAGAGCCTCCTTGTTACCAGAGCTTACGTCCTTGGTGGGCTCAGCTGTGCCCTCTCCAGTGGATTGTACCACGCTGGGCTCTGCACTGATTGTCAACTTTGGAGAAACAGCTGACACAGTCATGAAGTTGATGTTCACACCCTCTCTGCCGAGGATACTACCGACGACACCAATCTTCCCTGGCGAGTCGTAGTTCTCACAGATTAGAAGAGTTCCTTTTGCTTCAAATGATGCCTCAAATCGCCCCAGTCGCGTTATCAAAGGCTGACCACCAGAGCAAGTCCCTGAGATTATTCGCTGGTGGGGCACTTGAGGTGCCTCCGCAGAGCTATCGGTCATGCTAGGTGCTCTAGATGTTGCACGGGATGACGGTCGTGCGACAAGGGTGATGAGTGACGAGTACGATGATTTGTCTTCGGGGTCTCGAGAGATCTGCTCTGACACAAAAATGCCACGCTCACGGGCCACCAGCTCAGCGTTAACAATGTTGACGTTGAATCCCTCCACACCACTAATAGGTTCGAGGAGACCTTTGATTAAGGCCGCAAACAGGGGCTTGGTGTTATTGATACTGGCCACTTCTCCCCGATAGATAAGATCAAATGTATTGCGGGCCATGGATCCTCCAGGCATGGAGGCATAGTGTTGAGTGTATAGGCTACCCATTTTCTCCACCAGGTGGACAAATGGTTGAAGCTTCTGATACTCCTCGGGCAGGATGAGAGGCGCATTTACCGCACTTCGTGGAAGCGACCCCTTCAGAATATCCAGTACCTGTTCACATACATCCACGGATACATTCTCTTGAGCCTCCACAGTAGATGCACCAAGGTGTGGTGTCACAACCGCCCGCGGATGCGCAATCAACTTTGCTGCACTGGACTCAGCATCTGGTGGCTCTGATGTGAACACGTCGATAGCGGCTCCAGACAAATGTCCCGAGTCCAGAGCCTTGAGCAAGGCGGCTTCATCGATAGTACCACCCCGTGCCACGTTGAGGATACGAGAACCAGGTTTCATCTGTGCCAATTCCGCATCGCTTATCATTCCTCGTGTTGACGCAATTAGTGGCGTATGAATAGTCAGGAAATCGGCAGATGACAGAAGCTCCGGCAATGACGAGACTATAGTGACAGAGGCAGCAGCTGCCGCTGCAGGGGACGCATATGGATCTAAAGCGTGGACAGTCATGCCAAGACCCTTCGCAACACGAGCTACGGTCAAGCCCACTGTAGAGAAAGTCAGATATCGTGTGCGAAGGTAAGAAGCACAAAGACTCACCTTTTCCTAGACCGATGACCCCCAGTGTCTTTCCTTTCACCTCCACTCCAACAAATTTACTGCGTTCCCATTTTCCATCCTTGAGGCTGGCACATGCCTCTGGAATCTTTCTTGCCATTGACATCATCAACGCGATGGTATGCTCGGCGGCGGCGCCAATGTTGCCGGAGGGTGAATTGACTACGACAATCCCGAGCTTTGTAGCCTCTTCCACATCTACAGGAAAGAATTAGTCAGAAGTCAAAGTGCGTATTGGCTTTCAGTGGGATAACTTACCAACGTTGTCAACGCCAACACCGGCTCGAGCAACGACCTTCAATTTTTTAGCTGCTTGCAATACTGCCGCGGTAACCTTAGTTTCTGAACGGACGAGAAGAGCCTCATAGTTGGGGATGATTTCAAGCAATTCTTCCGTTGTCAAGCCTTTGCGCTCATCAACATCCAAGGAACTGCGCAGCAGAGCCAAGCCATCTGGCGAAAGCTTCTCAGGCACGAGGACCTTGGGCGAAGCTTGTTTGAACAGGGGCATTGTAGGTGAATGATTCTTCGAGTCCCTGAGAAGTCGCGGGAATTGCAAAGCTAAGGTGAAAGCAATTTCTCACAAGTACGAGACCAGACGTGGAAGGCGACACAAAACGCGGGGTAAACGTCTTCATTGATTGGATAATATACGATACCTGGTTATTGCTGCTATTGCTATAAAGTGGAGGGAGTGTAAGGATGGAAATAATCGAAATTGTCATGTTAGATACATTGAGGGCTAAGGAGAAAAGGTCTTTGTTTAGCCCTTGTTCCGTCATTACTGGAGAAGAGGCTGATTTTCTCCATGTTCGCCATTTTCAAGCTTGGAATTTTGCCCACGCTTCTTGCGACGACGTCTCTTTTTCGCATTGGAATGAGATTCCGCTTGATCAGGGTGATCTCCCTGTTGATCAGTGTGCTTAGGAGAATTCTTATCCTCCCCATCGGAAGAACTTGTCCCGGTTGTATGTAGCACAACCTTGCGAATGCCGTTAACATCCACAATCTGTTCAGTGATACTGCCGCTCCGAGCCGGACCACGGCGGTGGTATATGAAATCCGAGCGTGAGTCGACGGACTTGATACTACCGGTCTGACTGCTGTCGTTTTGGGTTGAAGCGGAGCGGGGCTGACCTTCCCACTCTTCGTGGACCGGGTCGGGGATTGAAACCTGGGGGAGGTCTTTAAACTGCTGAGAATTGGTGCTCTTGGTGCTCGTGTCATGGGAGGAAATGGTGCCATAGCCGATTTTCAACGCGTGAGCGCCATCCTTTGCCTCCAAGCCAGGGGTTACAAGGCCTGCACCAATGCCCCCTTGATAGGCAACGGAAGGGGGAGGAAGTTGGGACTCAGTTGTGCTTTGGCCGGATTCAAAGTCCGTCTGGGCCGAGCGTGAGGGTGAGGTACCGCTGCGTTTGATTTTCACAGCAGAATAACGGGTTTGGCGAGGTCGACTCGCCAGGTTCGAAGGGCCCAGATGTTTCAGATGTTCTCGGATTTCATCGGTGGTCCCTCTCTGAGTGACCCATATATTCGGCGTATCTGGCTTGTTGTCGTCTGCAGGCTTGCGTAGCTGGAATCGAGGAGGGGTGCTTCGACGGAGCTGCGACGACGAAGGGGATCAGAAGTACGTAAAGCAGGAGTAGATATGGTACCATCTTCGCCGAGCAGTTCTCCATCGGGAACAGAAGTCGCCATGGGAGGTTCTTCAACGATTTTCCCCTTGGGCACTCGAGACTTGGGTGCCGGGGCCATGCGACGAATAGCCTTATGGACGTCAATGAATACGTCAGATTCATCGATGATTTCTCTGTGTCTGATGTCAGTAAAATGTAACCAACTGGGACGGCTTGCAACATACTCTCCAATCAATTCTTCAATCACATCTTCAAGAGTGACCACTCCGAGGGCACCCCGGTCTTCACTCGGGTATTCTGACACCAAAACCATGTGAGATTTACCTTCTTGGAAAAAATTGACAATATCTAAGCAGGAGGTTTCAGGGCGGGTCTCCGGCAGTGTGGCCAGAGCAAAATCACGAACACGTTTGCAGTCTTCCGGATCGTAGGTGATGAGCATCTTGACAAGGAGCATGCCAACAAAATTCATCGGGTTTTCGGGTGCATGAATAGGGATTCGAGAATATCCCTGGGAGAGAATGATATCCATGGTGCGTTCATCCAACACAGTGTCGGCAGACATAGTAAAGACGTCTTCCATTGGCGTCATGATACTTCCAACCGATTTTTCTTTCAAATCCAGCACAGCACTGATGATTGTAACTTCGTCGGAGGTGAGTTGCTCCCCAGCCTCACCCAGAGTTTTGTGCAAAGTGACCAAGGTCTTCAAGCCAGCCTTTTTGTAGATAGTGCCATGATCCTCACCGAGAAGTCTGTCCAGCAATTTTGCAACTGGCCAAGCGACCGGGGACATGACATACATCAGAACCAGAACACACGGTGCCATCCAGGCTCCGATCGGCAGACCGTAACGAACACAGATCGATTGGGGGACGACCTCGCCGAAGATAACAATCAATGCAGTGCTTCCCAAGACCGCCGGCCATCCACCGCCGAGTGTCCGATCGAGGACGATAGGTAAAGTCTCGTTGGTGATCACGTTGCTGAGTAGGAGGGTTACAAGTACCCAATGTTTTCCACGCTTCAGCAGGTTCAGAACACTAGCGGCATTTTTTTCTCCGATTCCTCGCCAGATGTTTGAATCACTTGGAGATACACTTCATCCTGTCCCATCAAAGCAATCGTGAGTCCGGCAAAGGCGCCGCCACTGAGGACAAGGGCCGCTGAGAATCCCAAGTACAGCCATAGACTCGGGTCATTAGGCTCTTTCGGAGGTTCGTCATGAGGAGTGAGGGAGGTTGAGAAGACAGGTGCAGCCGTCGTGAGCGGTAGATGGAAAAATGCGAGAAATATGCACTTCGCCAATCCCAGCACCATTGAGCGGGCGGCGAAAAGAGAGGTTGTCGGACGATTCATCACCATTGCGGTCTTCACCAGACTACCGGTCGCGCAAGAGGAGAGGGAAAGAGGGGGAACGGGGCGGGGAAGACTGCAAATAAATGATCAATCTAGCCCCAAATGGCACATCGCTGTGGTGTGAGTGTAAGCACAAATGATGCGGGTAGAAACAATAATGAGAGGACAATTTGATGCAAGAGTAAGACTCCGGGAAGAGACGTCCTTTGGGAATTGGGTTTCAGCCCACGGGCCGTCGACACCTGACGATTACGGCACAAAGCCCCACAAGTCCCCGTTTCCGCTTTCCCGCTGTCATGCCCTACAGTTTGTCGGAAATATTGATCCAACTTGACTGTGCGCTCGCCGCCAATCGAGATCCGCAAGCTTTCCTCGAGGCAGGCTTTTTTCCTGGGCCAAACGATGTTTGATTCCGCAGTTGTAAATCCTTTGGGCGTAATACTCATCAAGATGAGTCAACTTTCTCTTGTGGTCGTCTCTATCCTTGGCTAAGTCGATATTTGTCTCCATAATATCGTAAATTTTTGTTGGTAATATCGACCAATGCCATCCAACATTTCCTGAGCGTTGCCTTTATCTTGGGCCAGCTCGTTTTGGTGTGTTCGAGGTTGGCAGTTTCCTGGGCGTGGCCCTGATTGAGATGCTTCATCCTTTCCTTCAGGCTGGTGTAGTTCTTGGTCAGATAGATTTTCTCTCTCTGAAGTTTGGCACATCTCTGTCCGACTTTCTTGTTGTCAGTTGCATGTTCCTCGACAGTCTTCCCAAGGGCTTCATTCTCCAGTCAACCTAGCCAACAGTTCCTTTGCCGTATACACCTTGTGGAGGTCCGCTTCTACCTCACAGGTGACGCCGTCTTGGTCAATGGCTCTTGCGTTCAAGCTTGGCGGATACTCCGCCTGTAGTGGGTTTCCGTCAATATCCATGAGATCGACATCCAGCTCGTAGGAGGCGGTGATAATGCTAAAGTGGTGATTTTTGTGGGTTTCTTGGATGATGCTGTCTTCCAGGGCGAGGCACCTGACCTCAACGCTTGCGTCATTGACAGCCACCTCCTTGATGTTATTGCGCAAGATCTCAATCTATCTGTTGGCCCCGCTGAGTTAGGTTTTCAGAGCGACGAAGTAATCTCTGACTCTCTGGCCTTATTTGAAACAAGTCTGAAGTTCTCTCTTGTGTCACCTTGCTAGGGCACAGAATTCTCTCTGATTTCGAGCATTCATACCTTCTCTGACCTCTCTTTCTTTGCAGCAACATGGCTGCAGGCTGGCCTTTTTAGACCTGGACATCAAGGCCTCGCAATTTTTTTCAAGCCACGTTGCCCAGCGTGGCTTGACGTCGCCAAGGTCGCATTGGGTCCCACTGTACGCCTTGTCAGGAATGCGTACTCAAAGCAGACATATTCGGGGATAAGTCTTACCTCTCTATGACGGGAGAATGGACAGCCGCGAGGGAGGAAGTCGCAGGAGAAGAGTGATTGGGGTTCCGCCGTTTCCGGCTCTGATTAACTAAATGAGACTATCACGATGGACCGCGATCAAAATCAAGGTCACGGACGAAAGGCCTCACAACAGCAGCATGTCCAAGGCTTTGGCGAGTGATTTCACCACACCAAGGAACACACCGGAGTTCAAAGGCATCATGATTGTAAGCATCGTTGACAAGGGAGCAAGAGGAAAATTGGAAGAAGAATTTTTCAGGCAGTGGCGCTTCTTTCAATTTTCCATCACAGCCCCCTCTTCCTTCTTGTCCTTCTGCAACCTACCCTTTCAGCTGCGGCTCTCCACATACTAAATGTTTTAGCTACCTAGCTTCTATGGCCTTGACACCAACAGCACTGGACTACTCGTTTATCTTGACTTATATTCAAGTCATCACACAAGCCAATGATCTCGAGCTGTGATAACAGCTACCTAAGGTAGACACTTTGGTAGACACTTAGACCAAGCCTCATATGATATCATCTACCACTGCTCCAAAATGTCCGTCAAAGAAAGCTTTACAGAAACTTCAAAATTTCTGACGGAACAAGCACGTCAGACCCTAGCCTGACTCGAAGCCACCTGAGCAAGTTACCTAGACTGTGGGAGACTCGACCCAATCCAAGTCTATTCAAGTTGGGTGCGCATTGAGAATCTAACCACAGATATCGGTCTTGAAGGATTTGTTATTCTCGCCCAATTCTAATTTTATCGGATTGTTTCCAAGCAATTTCGCTTACCCCACCCAGCCTTATGGCCATTTCCAAAGTTTGGATCTGTTATACCGTAATATTGGGCATTCCCATGATAGACATAATGAAAGCTAGAATTAACCCAGGTAAAGGGGCCTATGACACAAAGTTTGGAAAATCGAGGAGACCTTGGAGGCTTTGTATCTCGTACCATACGTCTGGTGGGATAAGCTTTGCGGCCCGTGTGTACCGTGTGGGCCTTAGCCGCTGCGGGAACGGCATGCCGAGATAATCTCACAATCAATACTACATATGTGCGTATTCCAAGATCATACTCCTTATTGTTAAAACTAAAAATGTACCTCGGTCATTTAAATACCCATATGCAAGCCAAGGGTATGGTTCTGACGCTTTTCATGTAGTTGGGTACTGAATAGTACTTACATATCTTTCCGAGTGCTCCCGAACTACCCACTGTCAGGCTGAAAATTGCTCTGTAAGCTAGAGAAATTGACTATGAACGTATTATAATATATCGAATTATTTGGATCGATGTAAGTTTTGTTCACTTCTTCTGAGGACAAAGAAAGGGAAAGAAAAAGCCCTGTGAGGGTTTAGATGCACTGTTGTCATCCATGCAGTAGCTTGGCATACTACTATACCTAGTGTGGCAATCGTAGTTCTCGGCAACCTTCATACCTACTGTACCCCTTACTTGAGAGTAAATGCTCAACAAGATAGATCTGCCGATGTGCATAACGAAGTAATTGTTTATCAGTTTTAAGCCTATTGATTCTCAACCCTCGGAAGCTTGGAAGCCTTAGCCACTGAAGTCATGTGATACGAATCCCAATATATATCCATGGAATATACAGAATAGAGTAATGGTGGCATCCAAACCACAATTCGCAGCCTTTTTTTCTCGTTACCATAAATCTTAGTGTCAGGTGATGGATCAACTCAAGTGAAGATTGCTTCCACAGTGGACCTTGCACACCGAAATACATGTACCACATATTAAGTAGCAGCATTGTTACCATGCTTGAATGCCTCTAGCTAAAACCCCATGTTACAGGTAAGTCTACTAGCTCAATTCCTCTGCCAAATTGATACGAGACACTTAGGACATGCTCGATGAAGGAACTCGTAATAGAGCTTGTGTGTTTGATGAGTCATGTGCAAACAAGACAAACAGAAGGACAATGACGTAGGACATTTGGACCCTACAATGGTTTCTCTCTATCATCCACATTCCCCGCCAGACGTACGTATTCAACTGAGTCATACTAAATCACTCAACAGATTACAGTACGTGGATGTCATGCAGCATTGGCAATAGTATAGGCAAGGTTAGGCAAGTTCTAGCTTTGGATTTGCCAAGCGTATGTCATCAACAGCATACTACTCAGCTCTAAGTTGAATGTAGATTGGGTAAACCTGCTTGGAAGTGTCCAGTATACTGTAGTACTGTACGGAGTATAGCGTGTCGGAAGCATAGATTCGGGGAAAAGTGGTTGTTTGTGTGCTTTCTTATCAGTTATCGGCCGGTGTCGGCGCCAAGAAGCGTGACTTCCCCGGCCCGCACCAAAATCCGCCATTTTTTCGAATGACTCAATCTCCGACCTTCTTCAGTTCATTTTCCCCAACTTTGACGATTCCCCAATTTGACTTCTACATCATTCAAAATGGCACAGGGCAAGGTATGTCTACTCAATTGAGGCGTGTGTGGTTGGGAACAGCATACACATCCCCCCAGACCGCCACTTTATCCCATTTTCTACCCCTCTACCCTTTATTTGCTCCAATGGCACCAACTGACTCATTGTTCAAATAGGTCTGTCTGGCTTACTCCGGTGGTCTCGACACCAGCTGCATCCGTACGATTCCATGCCCTGTGATTCCTGCAATGGCTTTTACTGATCGGCAATCCAGTCAAATACCTTATTGAGGAGGGCTATGAAGTCGTGTGTTTTAGTGAGTTGGGCGCTATTATGAAACTTCCAAACCATTGATTCCATGCTAATAATGTGTGCAGTGGCCGATGTCGGTCAGGAAGGTATATTTGAAGCTGATATCGAGGCAATGCGACTATGCTTTACTAAATGACTTCCACAGAGGACTTCGAGGCTGCCCGCGAAAAGGCTTTGAAGATCGGTGCTCTCAAGTGCGAGATCGTTGATCTCCGCCGTGAGTTCATTGAAGAGCTTTGTTTCCCCGCCATTGCTTGCAATGCCGTCTACGAGAACGTCTACCTGCTTGGTATGTTGCCCATTACATCTAGCTCATTTATCGAAGTCTACTGACAATGGCCCAAGGTACCTCCCTGGCACGCCCTGTGATCGCCCGTGCTCAGATTGACGTCGCCAACGTATGTGGAATGTCAATGCGATTGGATTCCTATGAATGAGAACTGACGTTAGGTTTCTTTTATTAGCGCGAGGGTTGCTTCGCTGTCTCCCACGGCTGCACTGGCAAGGGTAACGACCAGGTTCGCTTCGAGCTTGCGTTCTACGCTCTCCAGCCCAAGATCAAGGTCATTGCTCCGTGGCGTGACCCTGTCTTCTATGAGCGCTTCGCTGGCCGTAACGACCTTCTGGCCTACGCTGCCGAGAAGGGTATCCCCGTCACCTCCACCAAGTCTAAGCCCTGGAGCATGGATGAGAACCTGGCCCACTGCTCTTACGAGGCCGGTATCCTCGAGGATCCCGACACTACTCCCCCCACCGATATGTGGAAGTTGACCCAGGACCCCTTGTCTGCCCCCGACCAGCCCGAGGACTTCACCATCCACTTCGAGAAGGGCATTCCTGTCAAGCTGGAGCTCACTGAGAATGGCCAGAAGAAGACTTGCACCGACTCTGTCGATATCTTCCTGACTGCCAACGCCATTGCTCGTCGCCACGGTGTTGGCCGTATTGACATCGTGAGTTACCTCTGATTCAATAATATAATCCTTGAGAAGCCATTGCTGACACCCCCAATCAGGTTGAGAACCGCTTCATCGGCATCAAGTCCCGTGGCTGCTACGAGACCCCTGGCCTTACCTGTCTGCGCACTGCTCACATGTAAGTTCCTCGAATATGAGATGTAACGCAAACGACTAACCCATCCAAGTGATCTCGAGGGTCTCGTAATGGACCGTGAGGTTCGCGCCCTCCGTGACCAGTTCGTCACCTTCAACTACTCCAAGGTCAGTTCTAATTTTCTGTAATTTTTTCGGTTATGATTTCTGATTATCATCCAGCTCCTCTACAACGGTCTTTACTTCTCCCCCGAGCGTGAGTTCCTTGAGTCCTCTATCATTGCCTCCCAGAAGTCCGTCAACGGCCAAGTTCGCTGCCGTGCCTACAAGGGCAGCGTCTCTGTCCTCGGCCGCTCTTCTGAGACTGAGAAGCTGTACGATATGGAGGAGTCTAGCATGGATGAAATTGGTGACTTCTCCCCTGCCGAGACTACTGGCTTCATCACCGTCTCTGCTATCCGTTTGAAGAAGTACGGCCAGGCGAAGACCGCCGCTGGTGAGCGCATGTAAAAATTCCCTCGAAGAGGAAAATAATCCCCCGCCCGACTGGGTATTTGGAAATGGGAACCTTCGGGTTGAAGATCACTGGATACTTGGAAGCAATAATACCGGGGCCCGCTTGATTCTTACCATTCCCGATGTATATTGGAATGGTTTGCCAGTTTGAATGATTGTATGATGAAATAGAAAAAGTTGCAATTACCAAAATAGCACAGATTGCCCCCATCCTCCGTGTATACTGTAATAAAATCTTCCCACGGTAGAGATGAACTATGTACATTTCCAATGATAGTATTTACTGAGATGGCCCAAGACGATGTAGTAGCTGTGAGAAAACATCGAATTGACTTCGAGATGTCTAGAGGCTAGCGTTCACCTTTGTCTCGTCTGTTCCTGCTTCTAGCCAGGTAGATTAGTATTTGAAAAACAATCAATAAGAACGATGACATACTTTTCCAGGCATCCAAGGAAGCCTGCTCCGCATCCCAGCCCCACAGAAACTGCTGCGTCTCACGATCAGACCACTTGTCTGGGTTAGAGCCGCTAGCCGCCGCCTTGAATTGCTTGTCACGGGCTATTTGCTCCGGTCCATCTGGGAAATGCAATGTGATGCGGTTTTCGGAGCCCGACTGCTGTACCGTCTCCGCTCGCTGTTTTCTAGACATTTCATAGACCTGCAGTGCACGTGGGATCTCATGACGGGCAGTGATATTCGACAAAAGGATTCCTAATGCCGCCGCGTCCTCCACTGCTTGTGCTGCTCCTTGGGCAACATAAGGGCTGGGGCTGATTAGCGTCGCACGACCAAGGGAATACGGACTTCAACATACAGCATTGGGTGACACGCATCACCAATCAGAGCCACAGATTCCCGGATCCAAGTTTTAAGAGGGCGATGCAGACACAGTTTCCACTCAAGGACTTCGTCATCGTCAACCAAGTCAATCAACTTCCTCACCTTCTGGTCCCATCCTTGGTAGTTATCCACCATGGCCTGCTTTGAACCCTTGGTCGTCCATGATTCTTCGACCTCTTGGCGATCTGGGTGCAGCAGAACGACGTTATACAGCTCGTGATTCCGAACGGGGTACGCGATAATATGCCGTGAGGGGCCGAGCCAGCGAGTCGCCTGTGGCTCGTCGATCAGTTCTTTCAATTCTGGATCCGCCTCCATCACACTACGAGGGAGCATGATTCGGTAAGCGGCGTCTCCGGTAGGAATGGCCTTGATGGCGGTATCGTTCAGCAGATGGCTCCGTATAGTGGATTTTATCCCATCGGCCCCGATGACCACGTCGCCACGCACTACTGTGCCGTTGGCTAATGTGACCGAAGCCGGGCTGAACTCGACACTAGTGACAATCGAGTTCTCTCGCAGTTCCACATTTTTCAATTCCAAAGCCTTCTCAATCAAGGCATTGTGCAAATCTGCACGGTGGATAACCACTTGCTGTCCGAAAGTCTTATTGACGGGCATGGTTCCGAGTAAGGCGCCATCCTTCCATCGCCGGACGTGAATATGCTCTAGAGCAACATCTTGGGCGTGGATCAAGTCCGAAACACCCCATCCTGGTGCAGGTAAGCATTCATCCCATGTTTCGGATCCTCGATGGAAATGACTCACGATCAAAGAGTCGCAACATGTTCGGGGAAACTTGAATTCCAGCTCCGACCTCCATGAGCTTTATTGATGCAAAAGTCAGCGATTACCCCTTTTCTGGACTTGAGGTTAAAACAGAGCATACCTTTGGTGCAGCCTCAAGAATCACCACTCGATGGCCTCGCAGGCCTAGTGTCAAGGCCGCTGCCATGCCACCAATGCCTAGAGAAAGGTCAATGCATGCCCTTGAAGTTTCAAAGAAGCCATATAATGGTGAATCATACCGGCCCTATGCAACGTTAGCAACTCAATTCTATCTGCACAAAGACAAAAATTCATACCCGACGACGATGACGTCCAAAGGCACATTTGCCTGAGGGATATCCATTATGAAAGATTCCAAAATGAAGCACTTTACGAATGCAAAAATGGGTCAGCGATGCAAAACAGAAAAGAGACAGGGGCTATGGACAAAAGACTAAGCTTGACTAAATGAATTCGGTGGCTATTTCAAGAAGAAAATTACTTCCGAGCTTGGTTGTCCGAAGGTTTGCCGTCCCACCCGTGCCACCCATTCCAGCTTTCCGAACAATATGAATCCATTTATTTTTACGATAATCTTACCCCTTGGGGTATGGCGTTGATCTTTCGCAAGTGACCCCCTTCTTCTCCACAGACCGGGGGAACGCATAAGGTGATTTACATGTACTGTCTCACCGTTATATTCGGCCAGGTCGATGCCGGTCAAAGACGGTACTTAGTTGCGGGGCTAACGGGTAATGTCAAGCGCCGGGGGAATTCCGTTGCCTCCTGAGTCTACACCGTGGTACAATCTGAACGAGCGTTATATTCTACGGACTCAGCGGTATCATTGCACTACATGCTTTTCATCATTTTTCCTGTTTTTGTGGCGTGCATCCAGGAGCCCGAGAGCAATTGGCAACAAAGCGATCGGACCGCGGGGCTCCACCTTGACCATTTTTCATTTTTCCTGGAGAACCGATAACGTGCTATTCGGCTTTTCTTCTACCGTTCATCTGCCGAAACGTCGCCTAGCCCAGTCATCAGGCCAGTCTCCGCATCTCACAATTAAACCTCACATCTTTACGTCTTTCATGCTGGCCGAGACCCACATCCTGTCGCGGCCATCGCGCTCCCTTCTCCCCACACTTGATCTTGAGTCCATCTCACGGCAGATTTCAGCTTCAACTACTGCCGACTACATTGGTTACACAATATCTGCGGCTCCAATTAAACCTTCCATAAATTATGGTCGCTCTGGACGTACTTGTGTGTAATTTGCCATGCGATTGCCGATATCTTGGAGGCAAATCACCTAAGATTCCGGCTACACTCATTTCGTTGCTTCATTCTCGTATTTGATCCGAAAGGATTCAGTCCACCACCCTAACGGCTGGATACCGAGAATATCAATTGGATTATGTCCTGCCGCTCTATACGCAAGGGTCCCTGGATCAGAGTTCAAAGGGATATGTACATGATGGCCTAGCGCGATGCATACCCGTCCAGCATTGCCCAGACTCCACACTGGGGGGTATCTCCACCATGGGTGATCCTCCTATGAGCTTCAATGTTCGGCTGATACTGGCCACATTCTTTGCCGGGCTATGTAGACGTTGTATAGAATATAGCGCTATCTTTGGAATTTCAAGGCAATCACCTCGATTCCTCGCGATGGCCGCGAGCGACACGAGCCTATCGGAGTTTCTCTGTGGCGTAATACGTACTCATACGATACTTCGTTTCACCGTCATATTCGGATAAATCTTGTAATGCTTGTTGACCTTCTCTGTCAATAGTAACACGGATTTCCGGACTGCGAGGTGTGATTCGGCATTTGAACGGATTGGGTCTCATGTTGAGACCGTTGCTAAACCGCACACGGGACAATCCCGACGATCAGTTGACTGGGAAAACAAAGGTGACACACAGCGCCAGATCACCTACGTGAAATCAAAGATGTCCACATCCACTTCGTTTCCTTGCTCGTCGAGAGCTTTCTCGATATTAAAGCCCCAAAGCAGGCGTGCGACCGTGATGAAGGTCCCCTGTTCTGCCAATCCCTGACCACTACAGACCCGCCGTCCCCAGCCAAACGTCATGTATCCCTTCTCACCGGGGAAAGGGCGCGAATCAGGGCTACCTTTCATCCAGCGATCGGGGTTGAAACGATCTGGATCCGGAAACTCTCGTTCATGATGATGAATGGCCCACACATTTCCCTGGACCCAGGTATTTCGCGGGATCAACCAACCCTAGATTCATCTTATCAGCAAATCGATCTATAGAACTAACCGCTTCAGACGCCGTGAGTGTAGATTATCCCAATACCTTATAATGATCGTCCTTGATCGGCGCGTGTGGCTGTCCTCCAATAATGGCCACCGATCTCCACCGCAAAACTTCTTTCATGAGCGCCTTCACGTACGGCAAGTCGGGTTCGTCCTGGAATGTTGGGCTCCGGTGTGGTCCCACTACGCGATCAAGCTCTTCTCTTGCCTTGGTCAATGCCTTTGGAAAGGCACAGCACGCTAGAACAAAGGTCACAAGCGTTGAGCTTGAAGTGTCGCTACCTGCCCCGAAAAGATTGCCTGAAAGTGAGGAAATTTCCATTTTTGATAGGCCATGTTTCGGCGCCTCATCAAATAGTTTCTTCGCATAGCATTGCCCTGAATTTTCATTTGTCGCAGCCTCTTCAGCCAGAGCGTAGAAAAAGGGTCGACCGCGCCCCTGGCCTTGGCCTAGACCATGCTTCCAGGGTGCCATCCAGTTTGGAAACCTGGCAAGGACTAGCTGCATATCAGCTCTAGCCTTTCATTCGAACGTATACATTTCAGGAGAGCAGAAATGAAACAGAAACAAAAACTAAGCACGAAGCACAATAGTAGTCTTCAAAACTTACATGGAAACGATTCCATCAGCATGGGAAACGTCTTGCCAGGCACATTCAACTCAGCTGCACGTTGCATCACTGCAATCACCTCTGTGATAATTGGATCTGTCGATGCAGCTACACGTCTGCCGAAGCCAATAATAGAAACTACGCTCGTCGCATAGCGCTCGAAATGCTTCACGTAATCCTCAGGCTCGCGGAGAAGATCAAGGGCCACCACCTTGCTCTCGTCATTCTGGAAGCCACGGTAATTCCGAACTTGTTGCAGGCCGACTCCCATATGTGTCAGCTTTCTGTGCAAGCGCCATCGATCCCCATAATACATGTTTACCATGTTAGACTGGCCGGCTCCAAGCTCGCTGAAAACAACCATGCGTGGCCTTGAGGCGTATATTGCGGCTCGTTTGTCCAAGAGCTCACTAGCTGCCCATGCGTCACATATCCAGATTGTGGGTCGTCGACCGGTCCAGAATGTTATCATGGGAGATTTGTATTCTTTTGCCAGGCTTTCAAAGTATATCCAGGGCTTTTGGGCAGGAAGCAAATGTGTGTTTCCAATCAAAGGAAGTGGGAATGGACCTGGAGGCTGTGAGGAGTTTCACGGTTAGATGGTACCTCCGGCACTCCTTTCACATGACCCTGTTCTCTGGTTAGGGAGGTACTCACCATCTTGTAGTGCAAATATATCATATACCCGTAGTCTACTGTGAGCAATAGGCCAAGAATAAGTGACCCCCAAAGGGTCACCATGGGCAAACTCATACTGCTTTCTCTTGTATAGTTCAGTCGCTGGATGTTGGTGAGAGCCAAAAGCTCTTTTGCCTTTTCAACGATCATCTTGATGTTGGTGGTAGATTGGGACTAGAGAACACCCGTGGGCATCGGCAATGATATGTACGGGATCTATTTATACCGACACCGAGACTCCCACATGAGCACCTGGACCACCTCCAAGAACAGGAATCGGACTACAACTTATCTCTAGCTCGAATTGGAATGACATTTGAGCCGACCCCACTCTTTAAGAGCATACTGGGATTTCAAAGCGGGCTTAGTCCTTCCAGGTTGCGGGGTATCATTCTCAGTATCACTGGGAAAGACATCCAAAATTAGGGGCCAGGAAAGCCACATTATCTGCAAAGTACTTTGCCCCACATGGCCGTTCCAGAAACTCTGGTATCCCAGGATACAAATCATCGACTTGGTCTCTCAAGGTTCCAATGGCAATTGCATTGCTGCGGACTTCTAGCTAGGACTCAGGATCGGTAGCAGTGATAGGTAGCCTTGGAAGGAGTTCATGCCTTAGTCCCACTATATTGCCTCAAGGATGATAATTCAAATGCATAACATCTAGACCATGAAGATCTTGATAATTGCCTTTGATTTCTTTAGACCTTGAAAATTATGCGAGGTGGGGCCGGCCCAGTTGTTCCCCGGCATTGAAGAGTACATGCGGGGTTTGTGGGGAGGCAAGCTTCAGTCTAAGCAAAACAAGGAACACATGCTTCGTGTGACCACAAGAAAGCTTCAATCAGTCTCACATTCCCCGAAAAGCCAAGTGATCGAACCCTCGGGGTAAAATCTGAGTCGTGACGCCCCCGCGTTGAGGGTCGCACGGTTGCCATTGAGGTTCCAGGCTATATAGGTTGATTTCTCTCGCTAGAGAGGGTGACCTATTGCAAAAGGTCCACTTCCATTCTTTCCTCGAGTATGGCCATCATGTCAGACACCATGTCGTCAACAACATTATGGCAGAATCGGAAGTGCCTTTTTCTGTGTTGTCTTGTATCAATGGCCAACATGCAATATGGCTTTGATCTAGCTGCCGTTGGCTCACTTCAAGCCATGCCTGGTTTCCTGAAGGTATTTGGATACCGTGACCCAAGTAGCGATACAGGCTACGCGATTGACGTGAGTGATATTTTCCCTCGTCTACCATGACTTCATGAACTGACTAACATCACAAACTGTTCAAGAGTACCGTTCAACAACTTATCACATCGCTTTTGACTCTAGGATCGTTCGTTTCTTCCTTGGTTGCAGGTTTTTTTTCAGCTTACCTAGGCCGCCGCCATGCTCTCTGGCTCGCCTGTATTGTCAACGCAGTCGCAGTTGGGATCCAAATCGGAACTACATCTGCCGGCGTACTATATTTTGGACGCCTACTTTTGGGATTCGCCAATGGGTTCCTTGTCACTTTCTCGAATATCTATACTTCTGAGGTAGCACCGGCTCACATGCGTGGAGTCATGGTTGCCCTTTTCGCATACTGGGTGAATATTGGCAGTATCCTGGGTGCGTTGGTTGATAACTACACGCAAACGCGACTCGATCGACTTTCCTATCGAATTCCTCTCGCATGTCTCTACATCGTGCCCACGCTATTGTTTTTTGCATTATTTTTCGTTCCTGAAAGCCCGAGATGGTTGCTCCATCGTGGCGATGACAAGGCAGCTAGAAGGTCATTGGAGAAGCTTCGGGGTGCAGCATTCTCTAGAATGCTATCTCAAACGAGTGGGGATAGTGGGGATGAGGTGGGAAGTACTAGTAGCACAACAATGGCACCATCACTCTTGGAGCTAGAGTGGGTAGAGATGGTGAAGGGTGTAGAAGAGGAAAAACGCGAACAAGGAAATGTGGCAGCGCTGGATATGTTCCGAGGTGAGATTGCGACATCCATGTTACAAGTCTTTGATACTAAAGAAGTTCTCCACATCTTTTAGGCGTTGACCTTCGCCGAACCATCCTCTGCTACTGCATGATCGGCTGCCAAACTGCATCTGGTGTATGGTTCCTCATAGGCTACCAGGCATACTTCTTTACAGTTTGCGGTATTACCAAAGCATTCCAATATTCCATCATGAACACCTGTTTTGGTTTCTTGGGAGTCAACGTCGGGATGTACGCCATCCGAGAGCTATTCGGACGTCGCGCAATTCTTATCATTGGCGCCATCGGATGCGGGCTATGTCAATTAGCGAGTGCCATCGCTGCTACCGTGAGCCCAAATACTCTACCAACGGGCAGGACTCTGGTAGCATTTACAGCCTTGTTCATGTTTTTTTATAACGGCTGCGTCGGTGCTGCAAGTTACCCCGTTGCTACAGAACTAGTCAGTTCGAGACTTCGTGCATGGACTGTCGGGACGGCTACTTCTCTGGGATATTTGCTTGCTTGGCTGGTGAACTTTTGTACGCCATATTTCATCAATCCGGAGCATCTGAACTGGGTGAGTTTTCATGTATCAATGAGTAACACTGAGCCCCCCACTAAACTATAACACAGGGTGCTCAATATGGATACATTTGGGCTGGATCGAACTTCATCTGTGTTATCTTTTTCTACTTTTTCATGCCAGAGATGAAGGGACGTTCTTTGGAAGAGCTAGACGAAATTTTTGCCGCGCGTGTCCAAGCGCGCAAATTCAAGTCATACCACTGCTTGATTCGGGAGGCAGCGAGGATCGAGGCAGCGAATTTGAAGATCAGTCAAGACTCGCAATTTCCTAAAGAATGATATTTTAGGAGTGTTATTTGAGATTTCTTCCTAGTTTTAATCTTCAAGACGAGCTACGACCTCGTGCTACTGTGCTTAGAATCAAGGCTTCTACCATCTTTTATTCTATTAGAACCACGGATATTACGGTGCCGCTGAGTTACAGCTAAAGACCTCTCGGGGATATGCAAATGCGGGAAGAAAGGGGAAGAGGAGGGGATGAAACGCCGAGGCGTTCCTTTAAGTCTATGCGGGGTAATTGGCGACGGATGGGAATCCTGACATCGGAGCTAACCCTCTTTCTAGATAGTTGGATCCCACAGTGTGGATCAAGCGAAATGTGTTTTCCTCAATCCTTCCCCGTTTTCTTCGTGGAGGGTCAAATCGACGTTTCTACGGCTGCTCTACCACCTGACAGATTCGCCTTGGAAAAAAGCGAAAAATTGTTATCAAGACATATCAAGCTTCAACAACCTATGACTAGATAGTTATTGTCAGCAAAGACCAATTGCGCATTTGTTGTAAACGGACCTCGTGTCTGGTTACATCTTGTTGACATTGCGTATTTTCGACTTTCAACGCGCCAGTCATTCATTCGTGTATTCGCGCGGTAAATTTTCTCTCACTTCGCTTTCATCTTCCCCAGCCTCCCCTTTTCAAAATGGGATTACCCGAGAAAAAAGTCGTCGAGGAACCAAAAGGACAACAGCTCCCTGGCCGCCAGAATCCTGGGGTGTGCAATGACTCCGATGAAGAAAACATGTCTTTGGCTGGCGAAAGACAGACGCCAGCTCTGAAGCGCAAGTTGAAGAGCAGACACCTTCAGATGATTGCAATCGGTAGGTGCTCAAATCATCTTCTCTCCTTTCTCTGAATGCTCAACCCTTCATTTCATTACAGGTGGTACAATTGGAACCGGTTTATTCATCTCTAGTGGTGAAGCCTTGGCCCATGCCGGACCTGTTGGCGCTCTCATCGCATACATCTTCATCGGCTCCATTGTGTTCTCGGTCATGACTTCCCTGGGAGAAATAGCCACATATCTGCCCGTGTCTGGGGCGTTTACGTCTTATGCTACTCGACTGATCGATCCTAGCCTTGGGTTTGCAATGGGTTGGATTTACTGGTTCTCCTGGGCCATCACCTATGCGCTTGAGTTGACAGCAACGGGTCTCATCATCCAATACTGGGATTCCACAATCAACACGGCGATATTTATCGCAGTCTTCTGGGTCGTGATTACTATATTGAATCTGTTGCCGGTTAACTTCTATGGCGAGGTTGAGTTTTGGTTATCTACTGCAAAGGTGAATTTCATAGACCCCGGTCATGGCTCTCAACTAGGCTGACAAGCATTCATAGGTTTTGACGGTGGTCGGATTCATAATCTTCGGCATCTGCATTGATGCTGGTGCCGGGGATCAAGGGTACCTCGGCTTCCGTAATTGGGTACAACCAGGTCCATTCGTCGACTATCTCGTTACCCCGGGGCCCACAGCGAAATTTGTTGGGTTCTGGGCAGTGCTCATCCAAGCAGGGTTTTCTTGCCAGGGAACAGAGCTTGTCGGTTTAGCTGCAGGTGAAACTGAAAACCCACGGCAGACAGTCCCGAAGGCTATTCGGGCGACATTTTTCCGAATTCTCCTGTTCTATGTGTTCTCTGTATTCTTTATGGGCCTCCTTGTACCATCTGACAACGAAGACCTTCTGTCGAGCTCGTCTAATGCAAGTGCATCACCATTTGTTATTGCCGCCAAATTGGCTGGTGTCGACGTTCTTCCCAGTCTCATCAACGCAGTTCTATTGACTGTTGTGCTCTCCGCAGCCAACTCCAACGTTTACAGCGGAAGTCGTATGCTAGTTGGCTTGGCTAATGACGGATATGCCCCCTCTCTGTTCAGAAAGACAACAAAGGGTGGCGTGCCCTATTTCGGAGTAGTGCTCACGGCATTGTTTGGACTTCTCGGCTTCATGAATATCTCGACCTCGGGCACAACAGTTTTCAACTGGTTACTCAATATTTCGACGGTTGCAGGGTTCATTCTGTGGGCTTCGCTGAACGCATGCCACATTTCTTTCATGCGAGCATTAAAGGCTCGGAACATCGCTCGTAATTTCCTGCCTTATAAAGCTCCATTTCAGCCTTTTCTGGCCTACTATGGACTCTTTTTCAACATTCTTATTCTGTTGACACAAGGGTTCACGGCTTGGATTCCTTCCTTCGACGTCAAAAGTTTTTTCGTGGCATATGTCAGCCTCATTCTTTTTGCCGTGCTATGGGTCGGTCATAAATTGGTTTTCCGAGATAGTCTAGTGTCTCCACTACAGGCAGATCTCGACACCGGACGAGCTGAAATTGAGAATGAACACTGGGAGGTGACGATCCCAACCACATGGTATGGCAAGATATGGCACGGGATCAATGGTTAAGTAGCATCACCGAAGTACATATCCAGGACTTCTCCCTAGTCAAATAAATATAAATACGAGCTAATATAATAATTTGAAGATCAGAAGCAAACGTGGAGGGGTATTCAAGAGCACACCGTCTGTTCGAATTTAATCTGCTGTACATTATCCAATACCAGGTGCTCCATGGCCTTTTGTCCGGAAACTAGGAACGAAACATACCAAAACGAGGATGCCAGAACCCCGGCTCGAAATGTAAGAAAATGTGTCAAATTTATTGTACCTAAACCGACAGATGTGAAGCTAAAAATTGTATAGTATACAAAATGCAAGGATACTTGGATATAGCCAGGAGCAAAGATCCTTATGTTTTGTCAACCAAATGAGCAAACACGTATCGGAAAATTTCTCGACTCTTGTACAAGTTCTCCACGCGCATACGCTCATTATCCAAATGTGCGTTATCACTCGCTTGTCCACAGGGCAGGTTAGCTGCTGGTGCTGAAAACACTTTCTCCAGGAAGCGAATTGTGGGGATCGACCCGCCTTCACGGATGAAGATGGGCTTCACCGCTGCAGGGGAAGTGGATAGGGCAGAAGACCCGGCTGTGAAGTCGGGGGTCTCTGATGACTGTGCGTTGGACTTGGTTCGGATGGGCAACGGAGACGAGGAAGGGTCATCGGGGGATGCGGCTGTTTGGGTGAGGGTGGAAGATGTCGGAACAGTGGCGGACTGTAGAGACCGCTTACGGGCGGCCGCTTTTTCAGCGGATGAGGTGGTGGTTGATGTGATCACACGATCAACGCGTGATGCTAGACTGTCGGAGGAATCGTTGCGAAGAAGGCCCGGGCCTGAAGGGGCAGGCGGTTTGGGGGTGACTGATTTCGGTGCATTTTTGGGAGGAGGCATTGGAGGGTACTGATGTTTCGAATCTTGCTGATCTGGAGTCCATGCTGCGGTGATTGCTTCTGAAAGTGTGGCGAAGATTTCATTGTCTGGGTCTCCCAACCAGGCATCCGACTTTCCAGTGATCTCGACGGTGAGGTCGTTTTGTGATTCAAGTAACGCAAACTGTTCCTGGGCAAATGCAGTGAGAGTCGCCGCAACATCATCCGCCTGTTGATCTGGAACAATACGGATCGAGAGGCTAGCCTTGGCAAGTCGGGCAATAGTTGTAGTTGCATTCTTGCTGCCGGGCACTTCCATCGAATGGATGGTCAGCGATGGCTCGCGCCAACGAAACATGAGAGATTTCACCAAGGCCTGTCGGTCTTTGATCTCGGGATGTTGAGGCAGCAAGATGTCTGCAATGGCCTCAAACCGCTTCTGTTCAGCTTCTGTGATAGGACGTACGGAGTCGTGGAACCCAGGCAGGTTGATTCGACCCTTTCGGCCAACTAGGGTAGAAACCAGAATAGACACATCTTTGACTGGTTCATCCAATAGAGCACTTCCGTCAATACCACTGTGTAGGTCAGGATGATCACTGGTGACAACCAAGTTGGCATGTACCACACCTCGAAGACCATATGTTAGACAGGGGTTGTAGTCATCCAACCAGTAACTGTTTGCGAGCAAAATCCAATCCACAGGCCCAATCTCAGCGTGGTGCTCATGTACGGTTTGGTGGAATCCCTGGGAACCAGATTCCTCCTCCCCTTCAATTAAGAATGCCACATTGCAACGGAGTGATTTCGTTCGAGCGAGGTCAGCAGCAGCATATAGAGACGCAAGGATCGGTCCTTTGTTGTCAGAAACGCCACGACCATAGAGGAATCCATTAATCGAAGTCAACTGATAAGGATCGGATCTCCACTTAGGGCGATTGGTGTCAGCACCCACAACATCGTAGTGGCCATAGAAGAGAATTGTCTTGTCGACCTTTTCCGTCGAAGTGGCATCAAATCGAGCATACACAATGGGATTAGTGTCCTCGCCTGTAGTCAAAAGCTTTGTTTTCGCACCAAGGTAGTTGCAATGACGGCGGAGGAACGCAGCTCCTTGATTGCATTCGCCTTTGAATTTTGGACTTGCGGAGATAGTCTTATATGAGACAAACTTAGCGAGACTGTTCACCATTTCATCTGTGCCAAATCAGAGTTAGCAGACTAATACTTTTTGTCGCAAAATAAAACGTACCATTGCTGATGGGTGGTAGCTCCTCCTGAGTGAGGAAGAATTCTGTCAGGTCCCAAATGCCAACTGAGTTGTCATTGCCTCCTGTTGCATAGATGTGTCGATCCTTGGCTCGGCCGGTAGCAGATGCAAGCATGGTGCCTTCGTGGGCGACCCAGCCACCAACTTCCTCGAATCGGGAGTTGAATTTCTAAAAGGATCAGCTGGTGCACAAACAAAGGTTACATAAAGAGTACGACATACCTTGACTGTTCCTGTTGAGTCTCCACAGATTGCAACGCCTTGAATGACGTGGACTGCCCATAGGTCACCAGTATGGCGGACAATCCGCTTGACTAGTTGCTGGGAATCAAGATTCCAAATATTCAGGGCACCACCCGCCAAGCCACAGTAGAGCAAAGAGCCTTCCACAGCGATGGAGAGTACAGGGTCTTCATTCTGTAGCTTTGCAATTTGAGTTGGGGCTGCTCCCGGCTGTTGACCGATCCGCCATAATTTCACAGCACCATCCCCGGAACCAGTCAACAAGACCTCTTCAGAAGGGACAGACTCAATAAGACCCTTCACAAGAAGCATTGAGTAGACATATCCATGATGGGCGAACAGCTTATGGTGGTCTCGCTTGAAGGATAGAACTCGACCTCCTTCCGAAACCGAGTGGGTACCATCCGATGGTCGGGGAGCACGCGTCCCGTCCGGGCCCCGCGAGTCGAAAAAGCGATGAGTCCGCTTTGACGGGTGAGCCGCCGATGTTTGACTCAGGGAGCTTTCTTCAGATAGATCACACCATTGGATACTGGTGTTCTGTGCACCACAATAGATGGTTTGGTTACTTGCGGAATAAACCACAGTAAAGATATCACCCACATCGTGATGGGGATAGATTGAATAGAGTCGCTCAAATGTGCTTGTCGACCAGACCTGGGAGCGGATTAGTGCCCAGGAGCTCTGTGACGGGATATACTCAGGAACTTACATTAATTACCGAGTCTCCGCCGGTGGAAAATAGCAGGTTCCCATCCTCCGACAGATACAGACCCAGCACGCTCTCTTGGTGGGCGTGGACCGACAGAACGAGGTCGTATGTCTCCAGAGACCAAGCCTAGGGAATGAGTCAGACCGGGAATTGGGAATTCACGACATCGACATCAAATGAAGAAGCGACCAAATGCAGCATGACTACCTACCACAATATCACCACCTTGCAAGCCAGCAAATACACATTCTTCATCAATGGCCAATGCTAGGACAGAGCGACTAGCCAGCACGCGATGCCCAATCCCGCAATCACTTGGCGGCTGTGCGCTGCTTGCATCGTCGTTACTTTGCGCTAAAGACGCTAAAGACCGAGCATCCGATCCCCATGTCTTGGATTGGTCTTCCACGTCGGAAGCGCTTCCGGAATCCACTATATCCATTGCGTGGTTCCCAGTCAGTCAATGATTTAAGGGAGAGTCAAGTTTTGAGAAGTTGTGTGGAGGCCAGATCTCCCCGCGCCGGATGATTGGATCCACCCGGAAAACGAATCTTTGGAACTGGAGGCTCTGGGTTTATTTTCACGACAAGAATGAAGATTGAACACAAAGATGAAGAGAAAGAAAACGTAGAATCCAAAGGACGAGAAATGGCGGTGCGGCAAATCTTAGCCATTGCACCATCGATCAAATATTCGACTCACCACCCCTTGAATAATATCTTTTATGATTCCAACAACATGCCGACCTATTGGGTGGTCAGTCAGAGAGTATGATTATCTCTTTTGTTCCATTGCATACGGTCGCATGATCTTGGAGAGATCTGGAACTCTACAACGCACCTTGGCTCCCATTGTAGTCGGGCTACAGGAGGTCGCGACTGAAAATTAAGCACAGCCATGAATTCAGAGTATGAATTGCAAAACGCTGGGAAAGTGCAGATGAAAAGAACAGCTTGAGAGATCAGCGGTGGACAGATAAGACGGATGACTTCACCCGCATCTCTTTTTACATTTTAGCGCCCTATGCTGGTTTCATATTTCATCGCAAGATGTTTTTTCCTGCAGCTGCCCATGCCTACGGTTCATTGTTCCGAGATTCTCCAATTGGGAGACGGTGTGACCGAGTGATACAGCAGTGATCGCGCCACAAATCATCATTGAGTCTTATTTCAAGGGCTTCTCTTTACGCCTTACGCACGGAACACTGCATCCTCGTACTGAGTACCACTGCGTACAAGTTACAACGAGCATCGCGTGCGCGCACATATCAGCACCGCCACAGCACCTGTGGCTGATGCGAGCATTTCACGACACAAGCCACAGTGGCGGTGACCTCCAGCCAATCAGAAACATCAAGTCACCGCTTCTTTATCACGACCTCCGGGGCATATCGGCGCTATTGGTGATTTCCCAAGCCGCTAGCATGGTTTCTTGGAAGGAATTCATTCGTTCCCAATCACAGATCGCCAACAAACCTGTCCCCCCACTCAGCGGTCTTTGCGCCCAACTACTCGTCTTGTCGTGATGCGAGCTTCTGTAATTCGCTTCTGCCTGTCGCATCACTAGAACCCAACTCGGCCCTACGAGGGTCCTGCAGCTACTGTTCGCTGCTCTGCCCAACTCCTGCGCGCTGATGCCATCGCCCCAGCCTCCCCCGTTTTCCCGCATCAACTCTTCCCCATAAGTAACGGGGACCCTGAGTCCAATCGGACCTGACCGCTGATCTCTTTTCATGGGGATTTAAAAATAATCAGCTTAATCAGCTTGGGTACTAAGAATTCTCTTTTCTCCTATATTATCCCATTTTATACTTGGTCATTTCTTCTTTCTCCTCTTCACCGTCATTTATATCCTGGCCATTAGATCATCCAGGCGAAATCATTAGCGTTCTACACCGCTCCTTCACTGTTCTTAAAAACTTTTCTAATGAGGTGATCGTTGACGGTCGACGATCCTATGCGATGGCGCCGCTCGGCCAGACGATCGCTGTGATTGACAAGTCCGGCAAGGTTGTTAGCACGGTAAGCTAGCCCGGATTCAAATGAATCGATCGAAGGTTATCCTGACAGCACCAGAGTAAACAACTCTTCGGCGTCTTCAGTCAAGCAAAAGCCGCATATCGCGAACGCAAGGCCCATTTTGACTCGGAGCGCAATGCCAAGATTGCGGAGCAGCAAGCACTGCAAGCTCTCGCCACCTATCAGATTGATGACTCCCCATCAGTAGCACCATCACGGCGAAGTCGCGCCTCGAGGTCGCGACATCAATCCAGTCGCAGCGTGCATCATCGCCGTCCGCCGTCTCGGTACGAGCAAGATTTGCATTCGAGTGCTTCGAGAGCCGAGTCGGCTTTTGAAGCGCCAACAGAACTTCCCCGCAGACATACCCATCATGACGTCGCACTTCGCCAGCCTGAGGCTCGACCAACAACCGCCCGCTCTAAATCCGATGCCCATATTGATATGGATCTTGCATATGGGGATGCTCACCCGGTCGCGCTAGCGAAGTATAGCCCTCCGGTGGAGAATGCGGATGATCAAAAGCAGCTAGACGGGCTGGTAACTCGGGCGCAGTGGCTTTTGGAAGAAGCGCATTGTATGCAGCATAGTGCAACCGCCACTATAGCTCATCTCCAGAAAAACCCCGATGCGATGGCTGCGGTCGCTCTCACTCTGGCGGAAATCAGCAATGTCGCCAGCAAAATGGCGCCAACGGCGCTTACTGCATTCAAGTCCGCTGCTCCGGCAATTTGGGCTCTATTGGCAAGCCCACAATTCCTCATCGCTGCTGGTGTGGGGCTGGGAGCGACAGTAGTCATGTTTGGAGGGTACAAGATCATTAAGAAGATCCAAGCCAGCGCCACTGGAACTTCCCAAGAGCCAACTGTCGTGGCTGCGGACGAGGAGCAGGAAATGGAGGAATTGATGGAGCTCAACCTGCAATCAGGCAGTCGTGTTGAAATGTGGAGACGTGGTGTGGCAGACGTTGAAGCCGTCAGCATGGGAACATCGGTAGATGGCGAGTTCATTACCCAACGAGCGGCCGCATTGTCTGGAATTGATGTGACCACGGCGCGCATGGAGAGAGATCCACGCTTCAAATTTGATGATGAAACTTCCATGGCCTCGTCCCGTCGGTCTCGTCGGTCGCGCACATCCAGATCGCATGCACACGCGCCCTCGGAGGGACACTCCAAGAGGCAATCCAGGTCTGCCCCAAAGAGCTCTTCGGGGATTTTCACCAGATCAACCAAAGAGCCCTCGAAGGCTCCCAGCAGGGCACCCAGTCGAGCACCCAGCCGAGCTCCAAGTCAAGCCCCAAGCAAAGCCCCAAGCAAAGCCCCAAGCAGATCTTCAAGCAGAGCGCCCAGTAGGGCGCCTTCTAAGTCTGGCACTTCGTCAGAAAAGGAAAAGCGGCCGAAGGAGAAGAAGAAAGGCCCAAGCCGCTTGCGTCTGATGTTCACTGCTTAAACATCCATTTCAATAAGCCATCCCTTCAATCTAAATACGACAGCTAGCCTTTGACATGTCACTGGTCCAACATTGTACAGATCACGCCTCACCACAACCTCTGAAGACATATCCCGCTATGACCACGCCCTGATTCTCTATTTGCATGATTATTCACATTTTGTTCTTCTCATTTCCAACATTTATATTGCATATGCTATCGATCATGACGTTATGTGAAGAATAATCGAGGCCAAAGATTTGGAATGGCGCTAAATCGATTAAGCCACACAAGGCTTGGACGCCCCCATGCATGCCATCATACGGGTGGGAACTTATGACTTCATATTTAAGCGTTCTCTATTTCTTTTGGGTAGTATTTTGGCGCATGCATTTTGGTGTTTGGGAGCATTTTTCTTAATATTACATTTCTTGTTAGCGCTAAGTGGCTCTTCTGTCTGTTCTTAGATCCAAATAAAAATATTTGCATTTGAATTTAACTCAATGACACTATCGAATTGAAAGAGCGCATCGTCAAAAACGGGGTGAACAGCATCCATTATGACCGTACCTTGATGAGGGCCGGTATGATGCTGGAAAGCATCTTGACCGGCCGAATCGCCAAAGGACTAGCCGTATTGGGTTTGGCGCTTGGCAGGCTGGGAATCGAAAAATTGTGATCCTGGAACTTGGTAGTTTAAATACTAGAGTTGAATTCGTAATTGGAATTGAAAAGTCCTAATTGGCCATTCAGAAGTCATTTCTCTCTGTTCTCGTGGAATGTTTGCGTGTTGATGCTAGATACCACTGATAGCTACTAGCTTGAGACTTGTTACTAGGCCCGCATAATTATGCCATTGTTAAATGAATGTAAAGCTAGTCTTGCAAATACTGAATGCTACTCGCATCATAGGCTCTTCATATGGACGGCTGATACGTAACGTATAGACACTGGCTCGAGACCGGTCCGATCCGCCTGCGCGGAGATAGTTGTTGGTGTCAGTGGCTTCACACAAAGTGTTTGTCAAGATATCAGGATAATGAGTATTATTGACGTCACTTACCATAATATGATATGAGCGCCAATCACATCCAAATAATGGCCCGGCTTGCGCGACGTTCATGCACATGTGAGCTTAACATACTTGCAGTCTGACACCTCAGGCACCAGTCACAATCCCTGAATTGGCTTAGCTTCATCGACAGACAGCCTCTAGGCCGTATTGGGAACACGCTAATCTACATTAGGCATGAACCCCTCACAAACAAACATGTTGACATGGATGTTCAGAGATGACGACTGAACAGTGTGCATATGGTACAAATACGCGCCTTTTTCCAATTGTCGGAATATATGTTCCCTATCTCCGAAAGATGCCTGTGAACCTTGTCATTCGAAAGACTTCTCCGGGGAATAAGCCTGATATATATCCACATAGATTTTGAACAATCCAGAGTTTGCAATAATTGAAAAGAGACCTCCCAGGTTACTGAATTGTGGGCAATTGAGCAGATATTCGCATCTCGAATTCACAATGCTTTATGTGCTGCCAGTGAACCATTGTAACGCTCCTAATGCTTTCAAATCATTAACAAGTGAGTATGGCCTTCAGTTGACCATCATATAACCTTGGAAGTTGGCGTATGCACGGCAGTTCAGCTTGGGTGGATGACTGGATCTGGCGACCCCACAGGTACCTTACTATTCCCGACAAAATTGGGAACTGGTGGAGGCCAATAAGTACGAGGCCGAACAGGGAACTTGGCGATCCCGTTTGCCCGGGTTTTGTTTTGTTTTGTTTTTCTTTGTTTTTATTTTGTACCTTCAACAGCTGGGACGGGACCTTGGCACCATGCTTCAGCTCCGGAGGTACCAACCAATATGTACGACAGACCACCTTCCAAGGTTCTTATCACTTGTTTTTCTCGTATGAAGGTTTGCTTGTGCGCTGAAACTCCACCTCACTAAACCAGAGCATCGGGTTATAAGGTGGATCTTTCTATGTCATCGAAGGCAACTATGACGCACCATCCCACTGATCGTCGGAAACAACAATCATGGCTGCAGACAATCTACTTGGGATACCTGACGGTCATTCACATTTCCTGCATGTCGGAGATATGCTCTGGTGGAGGATAGTTCCTATGAACAATTTCTTTCACGGTCGCCTGTCGATTTCCAAGGGGATCTCTGAGATCTGGATCCCGAGATCGTAGATGGTACCGAACCGAGTCACGAACGGAGGGGCTGAATGATCATCGGTATAGATCTAAAATGAGAATATTTCAAGGACTATCACATTAGATCATAGCACCAAATATTGTCAACCACGTTGTAGATTTTCATTTGGCACTCGTCGTCCTGACCCACATACCTTCAACGTATTTAAGACCTGCCCCTCCAGCTGCGGGGAGTAAACAGCAATTCGAATATCTCATCCTATCCATCAAAATGACTATCAGCATTGCCGAGGAGTATGCCCAGCTCATGAAGCACAATGGCAAAGGTAGCCATTTCCTATACACCCCTCAACCATTCAGTGAGCTCCACCCCGGTGCGGTCGGCTTTTTCGATGAAAGCGGACAATGGCATCTGATTACCGACCTTTCAATTCCCGGCCATCCTGAGGAGAAAGGCTTCACGGCTCCTAAAAAGGTTGTTACCTACGGGAAACCCACAGAGGACATCTGGAAGACCACAAGTTCGAGCAAAGAAGCCGAGGCTAGCTTTGGACTCACAGGAGGTCTTTCGGGGGCTCTTTCCTCTGCCCCGATTGATGTATCTGCCGAAGCGAAGAACAAATGGGGCAATACTGGCAAAGCTGCTCTCATCACAGACGATTCTGTTGTCGTCAACGAGTGGTTAAACACTCCATGCAGAGACATTATCACAGAATGGGTAGAGAAAAACGCGAAAACACTCGCCAGCGGGGAGTGGCGTAGCTATATCAAAGACTATGGACTATGGGCTATCAAAAAAACATGGGCGACTCAAGAATGTGCCATTACTATGACGAGTGCCCATAACCGAGATACCAGCGGAGGATTTGATGTTGGAGCCACTGGTATTGCAAAGGTCGGGACCAATGGCTCGTCAACTTCCAAGAGCAACAATGAGGGATGGAGAAAATACAAAGCTACAAAGGTTTGACATCCCCGTCTTGTCTATTGTCTGTTTTCAAAGCTGACCCTGCAAAGGAGGAAATAGCACGTGTAGTCGCTTACGGTGGAGCCGCTTTCAGGCTTCACAAACTTCCATCGTTCCACCGCAGCGTAAGTATCTCCCGAAATGAGCTTCCTGAATGTGGCTAATGCTAAAATTGGAAAAGATATTCAAACAAACTGAAAGAACGACTGAAACCCAGACGGCTGTCGCAGTATATTCGAAGCCCGTTTTTGACGAGAACGGAAATGAGATTGGAACGGAGTACTTCAGGCCCGTATTTGATGAGAACAAGCAGGTGATCGGAGAGGAGAAGGTTGACATGGAAGCTGAGAGGAAAGCAAGAGAAGAGAAGGAGAAGCGACTGCAGGAAGAGCTGCAGAAGCAGCTGGAAGAGCAGAGGCTAAAGGAGGAAGAGGAAGAGGAAAATGCATTCTACTTCCAAGCTGGTGAAGTCGTTGGGGAAGACGACGAGGAGGCTGAAGCAGAGGAAGAGGCAGTCCGTGCGCTAGCAGAGGAGCGCAAGGTATTCAAGGAGCAAGTCATGGCTATCAGACAAAACCCCAATCTTACCGAGGAGCAGAAGAGGAAGGGACTGAACGCGCTGTTAGCTGCGAATACCACTGAGACCACGGAGACCGTGCCCCTCGCGACGACTGAGACCCCGGACGGGAAGCCGGTGGAGATTGTGACCACTACTATCACTCTGAAGGATTAATTGGACAGTGAAAACATATCCATAGTTCGAATAAGACATGCTTAAGCTTCTATCTTCCTCTGCGACATCTTACCAGGCTCAATGTAGAGAATGTGCGAATTCAAGATTCAAGTCTCTACAATTTGATCTCAACTGACATCCGCAGATATCCCCTTCGCTTGATTGAGATCTGCAATACAGCACACATATTTAAATAATGATTGTGTATTAGTTGATTACGAGATCTGACCTGGAGAACCAAGCCGGACACCTAACAAATCAGGTGCTGGATTACTTCATTAGAAAGGTGGAGACGCGAATACTGAGGTTCAGGGGTTACAGCTCGGGATGAAAAGATGCCTAGGCATTAGAGCCCCAGGAATGAAGACCATTGAACCTTTTCACGGCAGACTACAGGCAGGAGATTTTAGCTCAAATACTAATCGATTCTGAGAATCCGACCATTTAATGTACCGCCAATTTATCTGTAGATAGAGTGGGCCAGCATTTGACAAGACTTTTTTCAAACCGATCCATGGTCTCTATATGGCATAGACTAATACATGATCTAGAATTGACCAGAGTTGACCTCGGAAGTAACATCAATTCCGCTTATCTTTCGCTAAAACATTGCCGTCTATTGGATAGTGCAGAGAATAAGGTAAAAGACCCACTCTGACCCCAAGTTCTCCAGCCACAATTGGTGTCAACCCCCACTTTTGCTTCCGATGTGTCGGCGAGTACTCCGACCGCTACTGGTTTTTAAGGGCGACTCGGGGCACTTCTGAAAGCGCAACTGGCTTACCGCAGTGCCTTCTCAATATGGGGAAAGTATTCGACGCTGCCGAAGGTATCCCAATTCCTTCTCTACATGCTTCAAGTGTCAGCCTGACTAACCGAGTTGCAGTGGCTAGTCACAATAACAGCAAGAGTTGTTGGGTCATTCTGTATGGCAAGGTCTATGATGTGAGGACAGAACGGCTGCTATGAGATTTGATCTTCCTAACGACATTTCAAATCATGTTTAGGTGACCAACTTTGTTGCTGACCACCCTGGGGGTGCAAATATCATCCTCAAGCTCGCAGGCCAAGATGCGACTGAGGAATATGACCCAGTTCACCCCACCGGCACTTTGGAAGATAATCTCAAGCCTGAGGCTCTTCTCGGTACTATTGACCCGGCGACGGTTACCAAGAAAGAGTCTTCATCTGCCATTTCACAGAAAGCTGTTGATTATCCTTCTGTCGAGAGCCTTCTGAATATGGACGAAATCGAGGAGTTGGCCACAGCGAAAATCAGCAAGAAGGCATGGGCATACTACTACTCTGCTGCCGATGACAAGATCTCTAAGCGCCTGAACACAGAGGCCTTCCGCTCCATCCTTTTGCGACCGAGAATCTTCATTGACTGCGCAAAGTGCAGTCTTGATACAAAGCTGCTAGATAATAACGTCTCCATGCCTATATACGTGTCTCCAGCGGCTCAGGCCCGTCTGGGACACCCATCTGGCGAAGCAGGAATTGCAGAGGCATGTCGCAGCTTCGGTGCTTTGCAAATCATTTCCAACAGCGCCTCCATGACGCCGGAGGAGATTGTTGCCAACGCCTCCCCAGAACAAGTGTTTGGCTGGCAGCTTTACGTACAAGAAGATCGGACTAAAAGCGAGCGAATGATTGCTCGAATCAACAAACTGAGTGCCATCAAGTTTATTGTTTTGACTCTTGATACTCCGGTGATGGGCAAGAGAGAAGATGATCAGCGTGGCGGCAATGTCATTGATGAAATCACAGAAGAGGACACATCCCCAAGAGATTCAGCTCAAGCTCGAGATAAAAAGGCCTTTGCCGGGATGGATCCCACTCTGACATGGACAGAGACTCTTGCGTGGTTGGCGAAACACACCAGTCTTCCTGTCATTCTCAAGGGTGTTCAAACACATGAGGATGCCTACATTGCTTCCTTGCATAGGCCCCAAGTTAAGGCCATGATTCTTTCAAACCACGGTGGCAGATCTCTAGATACTTCTCCTCCGGTCGTGCACACTCTACTTGAAATCCGGAAATACTGCCCTGAAGTATTTGACAAAATCGAAGTCTGGGTGGATGGAGGAGTCAGGAGGGGCACTGATGTGGTCAAGGCCATGTGCTTGGGTGCAAAAGGCGTTGGCATTGGGCGACCTGCGCTGTTTGGCCTATCTGCTGGGGGTGTGGATGGGGTCAGGAGAGTTTTGCAGAGTAAGTTCGAAATCTGTTCCTACCGGGGGATTTCACTGACCATGTTCTCTAGTCTTGGCTGACGAGACCAAAACTTGCATGCGACTCCTTGGTGTCGAGAGGCTTGAGCAACTTGGAATGCAACATGTAAGTACTGTTCTGTTCAATATGATTTCACACGGCACTCTGTACCGATCTCGCTAATAACCGCTTCTAGGTCAATACCCGGCTGGTAGAACAACAGATCTTCGACGGGCCTTCCAACCTTGCAGCTTGTCGGGCGGCCCATTTGTCAAAGCTTTAGATGTCTCTTTGATTTTGAATCTCTTGTATGTTTTCAGTAGCATTGGAGACTTCATAATTCTTGGTAGTAATATGCATTTCACGGTCGCCTTACCTACTGTAGCACCATATCCTTACTTCTATAGATACTCTCGCTCGGGACTACGTATAAGCAACGTAGAGTCCGGGCACAGCTAAAACCCCTCAATTCGATAATCATACGTCATAGGTCCTATGACTAGACCAAAGCAAGGGTTCTCATTGCGCTTAGTATCCGATCTACATCCTCCGAGATTTTGTCGAACGCCCTAGCGGGACTTTTCAATTACTCAAGGTCCCTTGCAGATCGCATACAGTAATGATCGGCAAAATCCAAGGGGTATCTCAACAAGTTATTCCAATTGCATGTCAAACTTGTCAGATGTAAAAATAAGTAGTTCGCCATTGGCCAGTCTATAGTGCCCGTAAATTGGCGCTCTGGCTTCAATGCCACATGGACACCCGTAAGGAGTTCCTCCACACCCATACTCATTAGGACTTTCCGGATCTTCCCTCGTACCACAACCCTGCCCTTGTAGAGATATCTCAATATATCGCCTTTAGCTGAATATGACATATCTATTTTGAGAATTTCCACGCCTCCTAGATTGGTGTTTTGACTACCCTTGAACAATATAAAACCTACGAGGTCAACCTGCCATTAGGTCCTCATCACACTTGCAATCATCAGTCCAATTGACATCAAGCTTCTTCCAAGCCAAAATGCCTTCCATCCAGAACCTTGTTCTCCCGACAATCTTGTCGCTCGCAGTAGCTGCAAATGCCCGCTTCAACCTCGTAAGAGCCCTTTAAGCCACTCTACACCAAACATCCAACTAACGTAACCAGGGCGATGCCTTACTGGGAAAACGACTGGTTACCAACTGTCCCAATGAATGGACACCAATTAACTACAACGGCAACGATAGATGTTGTCACGGATCCCTGTCCGTGGAGGAAGACAACAATCCCTACTGCTGTGTGATGGACTACGATGAGTACCGTGACACCGATGTCAGCTTCTCGGACTGCTTCCCGTTCTGCAGCGGTACCGATTACGGGGGCCCATCAGTGAGCTGGAGCAACGAACCCACCTGCATCACTCGGGTTCCATTCTCCGCGAACGGATACTCAAGCATTGTCTCGGCGGCTGTGTCTTCGGGCCGTTCTTATACCACTACTGGCCCGGCTACCAACGAGGCCACCCCGACGTCCGCGTCCACAAGTGACTACAACCGTGATAACCAAGAAGCTACATCTACCTGGTCTGGTGATTCGACGATGAACGCGGCGCCTATTGCCACTGCCGGTAGTGTTCTCGGTGGGGCTGCATTTGCTGCTGCTATGCTTGCGCTATAAGCATGTCCCTATGTTTGGCCATTGATATTGCTTGTGGAAAAGACTGTACTCTAGTACTCTACATGATGACTTCGGATGCCTCTTTTCATATGTTTTACGAATCTCGGGAGTAATACGTGGAAGATTATACAGTTTGCATGTATCTGAAAGGTCGAGAATTACGGCCCTAATTTTTATTATGGATATAATCTGCAGTCTTTGCAAATATGTTATGCTTTCATAAAATTAGTATCCACTACCGTAGTCTACCCAATGTATCTCCATTGGACCGTTATCTCTTGCTTTGAAATTGACGCAGGTTGTCTACCTCCGTCGACATATACTTAGAGTCCAATTCCACGGCATTTCTGGTTGATGACAACTCCACTATAGGTGGATGGGACCCTGCTAGCTCAGAGCCCCCAGACCGTGAGATTCCATCCTGCCATCGCGGGTCTATATAGTTTGACGGCGGGCTGTTCCCATAAAGTGCCGGTGTATATATCTCGACGGGTGGCCCGGACTGCTGTGCCATAGCCTGATCGGAGACTAGCGCTGATTTGCCCTTGCGTCTTCGATAGGCCAAAAGAGCCACAATTATAATTATAACGGCTGCAACTCCACATCCAACGCCAATTCCTATTTTGGCGCCTGTCGAAAGTCCATTGCTCATAGATTGGCCGGTTGTAGTTGCTGCAACGCCTACTGCGCTAGTGGCCGCTGATACTGATCTTTTTGATGTTGAACCATTGAATGTCGAAGTCGTTGATGCCGATGTTTCTGATGTTAAGGTTTCTGAGGTCGATGTTGCTGACACAAAGTCAGTCGATTGCCAACGAATCGAGATACCCTTTCCTTGAATCCCAAATGTCCCTGTTTCGCTCGTCACCGCGCCGTTGAATGTGTATACGTAGACTGAATCCGAGTTGGTATTGGAAGAGGTGCACGGGTTGCTAGAGTACCAGGGCCAAGCGTCGCCAGTTTGAGCATTGTAGCCACTAATCACAGAATTACGTCAACAAATGCGCCATTGAACAGATTCGACGCAAGTTGCGGACTGCCATACCTAGGACAACAGGTTGCTCTCGTCTCAATATTGCTATCGAGTGAGAATTCTGATAAACCGGCAGCTGTATAGCCCGATGGGCACAAGCCCGGCGAAAAATAGCTCGTTGTCGCTGTCGCAAAGCCTGATGGAAAACATGTACTCCAGTCCCTGGCTCCCAGACTAACCCACCACCACGTGTAAGTGGCAGACACTGGCGTGTAATAGTTCACGCCATCCCACCACTGCATGTGGTACGAGTCCGTGAAACAATCCGCCGGTGGTGTGAATGTGGTGGTCAGCGGACTCGGGGCACTGGTTATCGTGGAAGCCATCGGGACGGAGGATAGCGTAAAATTCCACACAGACGAGACTTGCGTGGGCGCTGTTCGCTATTTATTGGGGGCCAAGGTTGTTCCATAACTTAGCGCTCTCGGGTGTCGAGCGGGGAGGCTAGTGCGTAGCGGGAAGACAGTCAACGCCAATGGTCAGAACCTGAAACTCAATTTAATTGAGGAAAAAGTGGATCATCCCAAGCGCCGTGCACACTTTTGGACAACAGCGATTTTGTACTATTTGAGTACGTGCATTTCCACTAATCTTCGCGACTAAGATTACCCCCGAAGCCTTCCCTGTCGTGAGTAGATTCGGCATCATACTGTAAGCTCTGCTGTATAAAACAAAAATATAGAGTGTTATATAATGAAGCTACCGTAATGATCCTTCATGGGATTGGGGGTTCAACTCTGCCCAGGTGTCAACCTTGTGTACAGGAACTGCTCCACAGGACGGCCCGCGATCCAGCTACCGTGGTATTGTATTTACGACCCACTCTAAAATTCGCCAGCCTTTGTGTTCAAACCTGAAATGAAGGCAATGAATTGTAAAGTGTTTTCTTATGTCTTAGGTTGCTGCCACCCACAGACTTCCTCTAGGACATCATAAGCAAAGGGAAAGGCGAGAAGCTAATGACATTGCATTTGGTGTACCGAGTACTTTGTTGCGTAAACGTTGATACTTCCAATGCCGCATCTTTATGGGGGATAAAGACAGGAGCAAACAGGAGAAAGCCGAGCAAATGAATCCAGCCTTTGCCTTGTTTGATCACAATTCAGCCGATCTGGATTCCACGGCTTTATCGTTGTCATAGCTTGTTTCCTAATGCGGTTAGAGCGTTCTTGCGTGCTTGCTGAGATAATCTCCTCGATGATGTAGTTGGTTGTTCGCGGGGATGGAACTTCTTCAATTCAACCACAGTCATGGCTTCGATTATCGCCCCTCAGATGGCCTTCCGTGCCCTTCGTACTGCTCCTCGTGTTGCCCCATGGGCCAGGCTCTCTGCCCTGCCCCGCGCTCAGCCGGCCCTTCGTCGGTTCCTCGCGGCTTCCGCCCAGGAACAGCCGCGTCTGCGCCTGGGATCAATTGGTAATTTGGAATCGGAGCTCAAGTTATGGTCAATGGATGCTAATGGCACATATAAGCTCCCAACTTTAAGGCTTTGACCACCAAGGGCGAGATTGATTTCCACCAGTTCATTGGAGACAGCTGGACTATTCTTTTTTCCCACCCGGCCGACTTCACCCCCGTCTGTACGACCGAATTGGGCGCCTTTGCGAAGATGAAGGATGAGTTTGAGAAGCGTGGCGTGAAGATGATTGGCTTGGTGGGTTTCCATAATCGGCATTAAAGAGAGCTTCTTTCGCTAACACGGCCCTTACATCAGAGCGCCAATGACATTGGTTCTCATGGCGAATGGATCAAGGATATCAACGAAGTTGCCTCGACTGACGTGCAGTTCCCCATCATCGCCGACGCCGATCGCAAAGTGGCTTTCCTCTACGACATGATTGATCAGCAAGACTTGGACAACATTAGCGAGAAGGGCATCGCGTTCACCATTCGCTCCGTTTTCATCATTGACCCTAGTAAGAAGATCCGCCTGACCATGATGTACCCTGCGTCGACCGGTCGCAACTCCACTGAGGTTTTGCGTGTGATCGACTCTCTGCAGACGGGTGACAAGAAGGGCGTCACCACTCCGATCGACTGGCAAGTGGGCGATGATGTGATCGTCCCCCCATCGGTCTCGACCCCTGATGCGAAGAAGAAGTTTGGTGAGGTCCGAGAGGTCAAGCCGTACCTGCGATACACCAAGTTCTAAAAATAGATCGCGATATATCGCCTGTAAAACAATTGAACGCGTTATCAACCTCCGAGTTATGTTGCAATGCAGAAAATCAACCTAATCACATGAGGGTACGGATCATAGTACCAATTACCTCGGTCGGACTAGTGGCGTCGGCAATAGGGCGCATAGCTGCGCTGCGCCATCTGACGATCAGAATGGCGCAAACCAAAGGTTTTTCCATTAGCTCGAAGCGTAATTTTGATCGGAGAAATTTCGGAAAGGCACCTAGCAGTGGTTCATCATAACTACAATTCTTATCGTTGGCTTCCCCTGAAGAATTTGTTTTGGGAAATGATAATCCGGGGAGAGAAGATCGTCACTGGCTCCGCGTTCTGCCAGGAACAAACCGACATATGGGCCCACAGCACATAGATAATCCACCACTTACGAGATTTTGGTCACAGACTATCACTTCGGTTATGCAAGCGAACTGCACCTCAACCTGCATCGAGTGACGATCTACTCCGTTCAGGATCGTGACAACTTGATTTAATGCATGGCACGTGGATCTGCCAAATTCCCCTCCCCTTTTTTCGTCACGGGAGAGGAAGAACTATGCAGCCCTGGATCGGATCGAACTTAAATCCGTGCGACTTTCCTGCCAGTCGTGCAGGACGGGACGTCGAGCCTAACCTGCTGTTACCCGCACGCAAACGCCCCACTGTACACCATGACTCGCTGGTCTCATCTGGCTCTTGTGCCTCTGCTGCCTCAGCTGCTGGCCGCAACCCCTGTCACAGATGAAGAATCCAAACCCGTACAGCTGCACTCACGCGACGATGGCGATTATGCGTCACCGCCGTACTATCCAACCCCGCATGGCGGGTGGGTGTCTGACTGGGCAGATGCCTATGAGAAAGCATACCAGGTTGTCAGCAATATGACATTAGCAGAGAAGGTCAACCTTACCACTGGAACAGGGTTCTTTATGGGGCCTTGCGTCGGACAGACGGGAAGTGCACCGCGATTCGGCATCCCGAATCTGTGCTTACAGGATTCTCCCTTAGGAATCCGGGAGACAGACCACATCACAGCATTTCCGCCTGGCCTCACAGTCGGTGCGACTTTCAATAAAGAACTAATGTATAATCGGGGTGTTGGGATTGGTGAGGAAGCCCGAGGCAAGGGCGTCAACGTTCAATTGGGTCCAGTCGTTGGACCCCTCGGCCGCAAGCCTCGAGGAGGTCGTAATTGGGAAGGCTTTGGCGCAGACCCAGCTCTTCAAGCCATTGGGGGTGCTCAAACTATTAAGGGCATGCAGAGCACCGGTGCTATCGCGTCATTGAAGCACTTTATTGGATACGAGCAAGAGATGTACCGGATGAGCAGCATTATTACAAAGGGCTATTCGTCCAATATTGATGATCGAACTCTACATGAACTTTACCTTTGGCCTTTTGCGGAGGGGGTTCGTGCTGGCGTGGGCTCAATAATGACCGCCTATAATGATGTAAGTATTCGTCTTTTCGCCTTCGAACCCAATCTGATCCCGTCCAGGTCAATAGCTCGGCTTGCAGCCAGAACAGCAAGCTTTTGAATGGTATCCTGAAGGATGAACTTGGTTTCCAAGGCTTTGTCATGACTGATTGGCTGGGTCACTATAGTGGCGTGGGATCCGCGCTTGCTGGACTTGACATGGCTATGCCAGGCGACGGTTCTGTGCCTTTGTTTGGAGACAGTTATTGGGCTTATGACTTATCACGGTCTATTCTCAATGGCAGTGTCCCGCTTGACCGCCTCAACGACATGGTAAGTTGAGACCGTTCATAGCAATTTGCAGGCATTGACGTTGTTTTCCCATCAAGGTCACTCGAATTGTCGCTACGTGGTATAAATTTGGCCAGGATGAAGATTACCCTTTGCCTAATTTCTCGTCTAACACGGATGCCGAAACTGGCGAGCTTTATCCTGGTGCTCTCTTCTCTCCCACTGGTGTTGTCAACCAATACGTAAATGTGCAAGGAGACCACAACATCACCGCTAGAGCTGTTGCGCGTGAGGCCATCACCCTTCTAAAGAACGAGGACAGTATACTCCCTTTAAGCCACAATGATTCACTTAAGGTGTTTGGCACCGATGCCGGCGCAAACTCAGGTGGACTAAACTCATGCACCGATCAAGGTTGCGACAAGGGCGTTTTGACCATGGGATGGGGTAGTGGCTCAGCAAGCCTGCCATATCTCATCACGCCCCAAGAGGCCATCGCAAATGTTTCCCAGAACTGCACATTCTATATCACAGACTCTTTCCCGTCTAGTGTCACCGCTAGTGCCGACGACATTGCGATAGTCTTCATTAATGCCGACTCTGGGGAAAATTCTATCACCGTTGACGGCAACCCGGGCGACCGACTTGTGGCTGGTTTAAATGCTTGGCACAACGGTGATGACCTGGTCAAAGCAGCGGCGGAGAAGTTCTCCAATGTTGTCGTAGTCATTCACACGGTCGGCCAAATCGTGATGGAGGAGTGGATTGAGCTGGACTCCGTCAAAGCAGTTCTCGTGGCCCATCTCCCGGGTCAGGAAGCCGGTGACTCGCTAGTGGACATCCTTTTCGGCGATTACAGTCCAAGCGGTCATATGCCTTACACAATCCCCAAAAGCGAGTCTGACTATCCAGATAGCGTGAGTATCATCGACCAACCATTCGGTCAAATCCAGGATACCTTCACTGAAGGCCTTTATATCGATTACCGCCATTTTCTCCAAGCCAACATCACTCCAAGGTACCCTTTCGGCCATGGACTGTCATACACCACGTTCAACTTCTCGAGCCCTTCGCTGTCAGTAGTAACGGCAATCGACAGCACTTATCCACCTGCGAGACCTTCTCAAGGAGCTACGCCAAAATATAATAACTCTATTCCCAATGCCTCTGAAGTCGCATGGTCATCAACGAGCTTTACTCGCATTTGGCGTTACCTCTACCCCTACCTCACTGATCCCCAGTCGATCACTGCTTCGGATACCTACCCCTACCCAGATGGCTACAATACTACACAGAAGCCCGGGGCGCGTGCTGGTGGAGGCCAGGGTGGTAATCCGGCCCTATATGATGTCGCATTCTCGGTCGATGTCACTGTCACGAACACGGGAAGTCGGCAAGGCAAAGCTGTTGCGCAGCTATATGTTGAGCTTCCTTCGAGCTTGGGCCTTGATACCCCCTCTCGTCAGCTCCGTCAGTTCGAGAAGACCGAGGAACTGGCGGCTGGTCAAAGTCAGACTGTGACGCTCGAGATTACCCGCAAGGATCTTAGTGTCTGGGACGTGGTCGTGCAGGACTGGATGGCTCCTGTCGACGGCGAGGGAGTCAATATTTGGATTGGCCAAAGTGTTGCTGATCTTCCCGTGTTATGTTCAGTTGGTGCAGGATGTTCTGTTTCTTGAGAATTATTCTCTCCTTCCTTCCTACCACTTCTGCTTTTATTTTCTTGGTATATTTTTGTATGACATTCTGTACTTTAAAGGGCGCATATTGTCGCACTCGACTCTTTCTTATTTTATGTACGTTGTCAGCTCTCCACAGCTTATTTCTTAATCATATACACTTTTTTTTTGGGCAAGCCAAAACCGCTATTCCGCCGGGATCGGGAGCCTTTCAACAATGGGCTCCTTCTCACGGTTCAACCCAGTAACAGTCTCAACATGATCTTCCCTCAACCGAGTCCTCAAAATGAAGAAAGAACAGATGACACCCAAGCCTGACATGCAAGTATACAAGATCCACATATTCCGCATGCTCCACGCGAAGGCTTCCCGAACAGCCAGCAGCTGCGCAGGATCCTCAATGTCTTTGATGTACTCGATGTTCGCCTCAGCGGAGTCACCCGTCATCTGATTTGCCAAGGTCTCCGACATGCCAGTAGCCAGAAGACTCGCTTTTCTCTCTCCCATACTATTCTGGAACACAACACCACCGATGACAATCGAGCAAGCCGTCGCCATGTTACGGATAAAACCGAGGGTAGCCGTCGCCGTTGCGGTGTCATCCTGGGATACCATGGCTTGGATAGCAATGATCGGAGTTTGGAAAAGAAGTCCAGCGCCGGCTCCGCAGATCAGCTGGTACCCGATAATCTCTCCTAGAGAGGAAAAGGGATCCAGGCGAATCAACAGTCCATTTCCGATGGTCATCAAGACAAAACCTATCCAGATGAGTTCCCGATATCTTCCTGTTCGGTGGATGATCATTCCAGTGATCAAACCTGAAAATGCTTCAGCAAGAACAAGAGGAAGAATCAAGACACCGGACCGCATTGGGGATGCCCCTTTGGCTGACTGCAGGTAAAGAGGAATGTAATATTCTCCCGCAACAAAGACCTACTTTTGGTTAGTATGTCTTTGATCTGGCTACCACGAAAACTTACAAATCCATGCGCAAACCCGACTGCCAAGGTGGCGACGTTCGAGATGTGGGAGAAGATGTCCAGTGGCATGAGGGGGTACTTTGCCAGCCGCTTTTCGCTATAGATGAAAAGCAAGGAACACAGAGCCCCAAACACAATCAGACAGATAACCTGCGGCGAGCTCCAAGCAAATGTTTCGCCTCCGAAGTCCAGGCCCAGAAGAAGCATCAGTGTGAGGCCGAGGACCGACAGGCTTCCGAACCAATCGATCGCTTTGAACCCATCCGCGATTCCGGTCTTGGGATTGTGCACATCCAAGTATAAGAACAGAAGGATGAACGCGAGCCCCGAGATGGGGGGATTGATCCAGAAGCTCCATCTCCACGAGACATACTCTGAGAATGCACCACCAAGCAGCGGACCAATACCACCAGCCAAAGCCCACATGACCTCCATCAAACCCAGATAGAGACTCCGATGGCTGTTTGCGTATTAGTAAAACTCAGTTTTGTTTTGTTCGAGATTGCAGCACATACCGAACACTAAAAAGATCAGAAATGATGATCGTGTTCAGTTGCAGGAGTCCTCCACCCGCAATACCCTGCAGCGCACGACCGGCGATCAACATCTGCATATTAACTGCTGCAGCACAAATAATAGAACTGATAAAGAACCAGGCAACGGCGATGAGCAGAATAAGCTTGCGCCCCCAAATATCCGACAGCTTAGCCCAGATACAGGATCCGGCTGCATTAGCCAGAAGATAGGCACCGCCAATCCAAGTGTATCCCGCAGCCGAGTGAAATTTAGCTGCAATCGTGGGAATAGCAGTCGCAATGATTGTTTGGTCGAGTGCAGCGACGAACATGGATAACTAGGGTCTTGTTTAGTGTGGAGAACGGGAAAAGAAAAAAATGTCAACGCTAATCTTACAGACAGGGCCAGCATGATCGCAGTGATGCGCAACTTCCCCCGCTGAGGGGGAGCCTCGATAAATTCCATATCTGAGGCCATTGGACCAGGTTTTGGCTTTCCTGTGCAGGCGGATAGAATTTGTGGTTTGTGGTTGTTGGTTCAAAGAAAGAAAAATGTTTTCAATCCCCGGATCCCCGCCGGAGTGTTATATCCGCTGGACCCGCTTCTATACAGCGCTTTGACATATGAGTCACTCGTCTTAGCTGCATGTACCTCTTACTCCTAAGCAATAATATGAGTTTCTAACCAGTTATAACTCGCTTTCCTCGAGAATATCTTGGCAGTCATAATGCCTGTTGTGTTGTAGAGCAACCAAGACAGCATTCGTAAAGACGGACCTTCAGCCGTGGCCTAACGGTACTTAGATTGATCAATAATTGGAGAACCAACCATATAAATCATCTACAACCACTGCAATTCTGTTTCTACTAACTTACTACTTAAATCGCCCCCACGATATGATGTTCGGCCTGCTTGGCATACCTACCCCTCTAAATGGGGCTAATCAGCAAGGAGAGCACCACGTGTAAACAACCTCACCTCATCCTAAAGCCCCAAACCATTCCAGCAAGCAATAGTTCAATCATTCAACCATGCCATGGACACAACGAAAAGACTACTGGGAAGCCCCCCTAGACGTACACGAACAATTATTCAACCAAATCAAAAACCTGACAACCCCTACCGGCCGTGAAAACTGGATGATAATGCTCAGCGCAGAACTATCTTATCCACGAGAAATCGACATCGTGCCCCAACTCCGCAAAGCCTGGAAAGCAGTTCGATTTCAACACCCGGGTATCGCAACCGAACTAGACCAAAGCGGTCAGAATAAGCGGTACTACCCCATTCGCGATGAAGGGGCACTAGAGTCATGGGCTGCTACCACGTTCCGCGTGGTAGAAGAAGTCCCTTCAGCATATGAGCTCCTTCATGGGGGAATTATTCAAATCGCCCCATCACAAGTAACATCTTACTGGTTCCCGAAAAGCAACGAACTCGCACTTCTTTCATCGCATTGGCGCTGGGATGCACATGGATCATTGTGGCTCATGCACGATCTCCTCTCGGAGCTAGCGAGCCCATCTCCTACAGTAACTACCTTTACAGGAGAAGAAGCCCATCACCTGGCTCCATCACTCGATGAGGTGGTAGGTATGCCTGAGAAAAAAGACTGGGATCCAAACTGGGATGTGCAAGCCGCAGCACTACACGCCGATACCGCAACCAGTGATGGGACACCAGCGTTCACGATAAAAGAGTACCCACAGATGATGCCGGGTGATACAGCTCGCAGCGAAATTGTCTTCACAGTCGAAGAAACGAGCGCTGTACTAGCTGCGATCCGTGCGCGTGGCTTAACCGTGGCACCAGTCATCAACGCCTCTGTGATCGAAGAGGCGGTGTGTCGGAATCCGCATTCAGCTGCATCACGCTTTATGTCGTATGGAATCTTCGACCTGAGGAAATATTGTCCTGCACCGAGTAATGGGTCGACTGAGGCGGTTTCACATCGTGTACTTGGATTACCGTTAAATGTGCCAGCGCATGCATCGTGGATCGAGTTGGCCAAGACATTGAAAGATTACTATGGGCGATCGTGGACAGGTGAGAGCGATGCGCTCTTTGTGCGGGGGTTTTTGTTGAGCAGATGTTGAGAAAGATGAGGGATCCTAATACTCAGCACCCGGTTGCGTCGGAGCCGTACTTCAATAGTCTTGGGGTTGTGGAGGGGTATTTGGGCCACAGGTATGGAGATGTGGAGGTGAAGACTGTCAGGTTCAACGATACGAATATTACGGCTGCGTTGGTAATTCATTGCTTTACATGGAGGGAAAAGCTGCATCTTAGCTTGGGGTATAATGAGGTTTTTCATGAGGCCGGATTTGTGGAGGAATATTTGTTGGCTGTGAAGAATAATGTTTTGGGGAATTTGGGACTGGCGAATAGCGAGCATTAGGGGGAGTTTATAGACTGCTCTAGACTTTCGACTAAAATCAAGATTCAGCAAGGGATGTCGATGCAGATTAAATATCCGGAGTTGGAGATCTAGGAGCATACGAATTGACGTCATGGATTTTAAGCTCACGATCTAGGAAAATTAAAGATCGGCGTTTCCCTTGATCTGCCCGATCCCGATCTAATTTGAAAATTTATTCACACATTGATTAATTGCTCGTCGATTGATCTACTAACTATCTGAGGCAATGCCATCCTCACCGTCCAGGGTGGTCCTTTACTGGCATCGCACCGATCTCCGTCTCCACGATTCCCCAGCTCTGCACGCCGCTCTCGCCTTAAAACCCTCAACCTTCATTCCAATCTGGACGTGGGATCCACACTATGTCTATCGCTCCCGAGTAGGCCCGAATCGCTGGCGCTTTCTACTAGAATGTCAAAGCGATCTTTCAGAATCCTACAAGAAGCTCAACTCCAAGCAGAAGCTATGGGTAGTGCGCGAGGCGCCGCAGACCGTTCTCCCGAAACTGTGGGAGGCGTGGGGAGTAACGCATTTAGTCTTTGAGAAGGACACAGATTCATACGCAAGAGCACGAGACGAGGAGGTACTGCAATTAGCAGAGAAGGCTGGAGTAGAGGTAATTGTGAAGATGGGGAGAAATCTGTTTGATCCCGACGAGCTGGTCGCAAAGAATGGGGGCAAGGCGACGATGAGCATGTCGCAAGTGGAGAAGGCTGCTGAGAAGATCAATTCTGGGCAACCCGACAAGCCTTTGGATACACCAGCAAGTATTCCCGATCCGTGGGATTGGGAGAAGATGAAGCTGGACAATATCACACAAGACGGCGTTGAGGCAGAGCCTGACTTGAATGCGGAACATCGAACCAGCAAGGATAAGCAGTATACTGCCATTATGGGTCCGAAGAATGATTTTGGGGTACCAACGCTCGAAGAGATAGGCATCAAAGCCTCGAATGTAACGACACCGCATCGGGGCGGAGAGACGGAGGCGCTGAAGCTTTTGTCCAAGTCCATCAAAAACGAAGAATATATCGGTCGATTTGAGAAGCCTAAAACTTCACCTGCAGACTTCGAGCCACAGTCCACCACCCTCCTCTCGCCGCATCATCACTTCGGTTCTCTCTCCGTGCGCAAAGTCTGGTGGGACGTCCAAGATGTGTTGAAAAAGCGCAAAGCCCAAAATAAGCCCACATCGTCGATCCCGACCAATTTCCCTGGCCAAATACTATTTCGAGATATGTACTTTGCTGCACAGGCCGCAGTGGGTCCTGCCTTCGCCACGACGTATGGTAATCCCGTCGTAAGGCTGATCGACTGGCATTTGCAGTCCAAGAACCTGGTAGACGGGGACTCAGACGCCGATCCCGAGGCGGATACCCGGAGGTACACCGTTGATTCCGAAGATGCAGAACAGTGGTTTATTCGCTGGAAAGAAGGGCGCACGGGCTTTCCCTGGATTGACGCACTAATGCGGCAATTGAGGCAAGAAGGGTGGATTCATCATCTCGGCAGACATAGTGTTGCCTGTTTTCTGACGCGTGGAGGCTGCTACGTAAGCTGGGAACGAGGTGCAGAGGTATTTGAGGAACTGCTGATTGATCGTGAGTCCTTCCAATTCCGGGTGGCTTCTCCACACCCGCCAAAATCATTTCCCGCATGGATGCCTAGAATACTAATGCTCAGATAAATATAGATGAGACAGCTTGTAACATAGGGAATTGGATGTGGCTTTCCTGCACGGCTTTTTTTGCGCAATTTTACCGTTGTTATTCTCCGATTGCGTTTGGGAAAAAGTGGGATCCGGAGGGTCACTTTGTGCGGCGGTATTGTCCCGAACTAGCGCAGTTTGACAAGAAGTATATTTATGAGCCTTGGAAGGCGCCGATTGCCGATCAGAAGAAGTGGGGATGTCGGGTTACGGGGGATGGAAGTGGTTCCGCAGAGGACGGACAGACGTATCCGAAGCCCATGTTTGATTTCGATCAACGGCGGCAAGTATGTCTAGATAGCATGAAAAATGCGTATGATGTTGGATTGCATGGAGCGGATAAAGAAGTCATGAATGGTTCTTGGAGAGAAAGATTTGACATGGATGAGAAGCCTCCAAAACGCCAGAAAACAGAAAAATGAACGATATATAGACAGAATGAGAACATGATCCCCCATTTTCAAGTGAGTGGTGACTCTTGTAGGAAGACTTTGGTACATGATCTCAAATTCGTGTATCGTAACTCCGCATGCCCTATGTGATATACATTACATACATTAAATGATTTACCAAAAGAAGGAGTAAACAAAGATCAGGATCGTGGCGACCGTGGCGACCGTGTACTGAAGCTCAAACCAGGCAGCCTGACCACCGAATGCAATCTTCTTGCTCTTGGTGGTTGGGTGCGCCACTCCAGTCTTCGGGTCACGGGTCAAGAGGTCTTCGCGCTCCGGCATCGACGGGGGATCAATGGCGTAGGAGACGGGTGTCCATAGAGAAGTGCAAATGAAGAGGAACGTCAATGGGGGCCAGAAGGCATGTGTGATCAAGCAGATAACAACGCCCTTGAAGCCACTCGCGACGGCGAAGCAACGGTAAGAGGAGATGACCACCGCCACGAGTGTAACATAGACGAATGCAAAGTGGAAAAGAGCCATGTAGTTGAAGAGAATGACGCGCAAACGAACAAACAAGTTCTTGCGGGTCTTGGGGTCACGCTCGTTAAGGGTAGAGCCCAGGGAGCCAGTGGGCTTGAAGGCCTGGGTTTGGCCACCAAGCCACTTGGGCAGCATGAAAGAGCGGACGATGCAAATAGCAATATAGGGCGACATCCACAGCTGGTAGCGAGAACCACGCTGACCAGTGTTGTAGCCCGCGGGAATGAACAGCGCAAACTCACAAAGACGGTTGCTCAGGGTTGCCGCGAAACAGGCCCAGATAAGCCAGTGGAGCTCGTCCTGGTTGGCGTAGGCAACAAGCTGCTTGCCCCACAAGAGAATGATAGGGATGGCAAACAGAGAAGCCGTGAGCAGAAGAGTGTACAAACTCAAGGTAGCGTAGAGGAATCCAGAGAAACGTTGAGCAAAGCTCATCTGACGAACCGCATCACCCCAAAGACAGAACTTCAGCTTGAAAGCCGTGTCCACAGTTCCAATGGCCCATCGAGTGCGCTGCTTCAAGTGACCACCAAAGTCCTCGGGAACGGTACCAAATTGTAGCGGCTCATGAATGTACGCGGTTTTCCATCCTTTGCCAAGCATCAAAGTCGAAGTTGCGACGTCCTCTGCCAAGGAGCCAAGAGGGAAATTGCCAATCTCCTCCAAGGCATCGCGACGCACGACATAGCCTGAACCGGTACACCAAGCAACGCCGAGCGCATCCTTGATTGGCTCAATGACATGCACGAAGAAGTCCAGACTCTGGGCAAGGGGATCGGATGCAGGGGTATTGTAGAAGAGTTGCGGAGGGCATGCAAGGGCCATCTTAGGCTCCACCAACAAGTGGGGGAGCACCGCGCGAAGCCATTCTTGCTCGGGAATCATATCAGCATCTAGCGCCGCCATAAACTGGCCGGCGCCTCCTGGCAGAGTGTGCACCTGATCCAGACCGTAGTTCAAGTTACCCGCCTTGAAATGGTGGGGCTTTCCAGGAATCTTCTCTCGGGCCATGTAGTAGATGTTCGGATGGGCTGCGGAGAGCTGGTTGACCGATTCTTCCAAAGTTGCGGATTTGGCGTCATCGAGCACAATCACCCGGAATCGGTCTTGCGGATAGTCCTGGTCGAGGGTGCCTCGAACGGTATCGAGCACGACCTCATCCTCCTCACCGCAACAGGTCACAAAGACATCCACGGTCGGACAATCGTTTCCAGTCAAACGCAGCCTTGCGCGACCGCGTTTCTTCAGCGCCAGCATTGTCCAGCAGTTGTGCATGAGGGAGGGGATGGCAACAGCAATCTCAATGGCAACAAAGACCCAGGCACCGGCATAGCTGACCCCAGCGACATTCTGTGCTTGGATAATACAGTAGATCCGCAAACCGAGATAGAACAGATAGATGCCAGTGTTTCCAAAAGTGAGGAATGGGGTGAGGAAGAAGATCCACCGCTTCCATCCTTTCCAGATCTCTGCGTCGTCGCGGTCATTGATACGCGCAATCGACGAGGCACCAGTCTGTACCCACTCCTTAGCAAACCCTGGCGAGGCGGGTGCGTTGACGAGTGGCGCTAAACTCTGGGCGCTTTGTTGGACCGGGGTATTTTGATACTATTCCCATCACGTGCGTTAGTTTCTGGTGGGCTGATCGCGCGACCGGGCGGACAGTGAAAGGTAACATACCAAAGTCGGCGATGTCGAACGAGACTCATAGGGAGAGTTCACCCATGCCTCGGGGACGTCAGAGGTTCTAGGCGTCGGCTGGAGCCAGCCCTGGGAGGCATATTCGGGCGGACTGTATCGAGGACTTGCGGTATGGCCAGCTCGAAATGGGACTCTCGGCCTGGGAGACGGAATATCTTGAAATTGAAAGTCGAAGGTGCTAGGGCTAGTCGGATTCACGCCTCGATAACCCTGGTTCCCATGAAGGGTGGTCATCTCCTCTTCCTCCGGGCCATATAGAGTGGCCGTTGACCCGTTCATGGTGGGCGATCACGCCGAGAATGGCAAGAATGCGCTAGGATCGAATTGGGGGGGGTCAAGATAAGATGGATGGAATGCAGGATTTCTGGAGGTCAAAAGAAAGACTTGAGACCAATCTGTATTTTTAAAGGGCAAAACGAATGTGGCCAACCCCCGAAAGCTGGGGAGAAAGTGATGAAAGAGAAGAAAGTAACGGGGAGGCAGGGAAGCAGGGACAGAAGCTTAGAAGTCGAAAAGTCTTATCATCCAGATCTGGAGGGAGGCTTAGCCCACAATTAGATTACATTGAGACCCGTAATCCTGATCCCAATCCCACATTGATCCAGTATAAATAGTAATGTTACCCTAATCACGCGTTGTGATTCACCCGCTTTCGTCATGATTGCCCGGTCTCTCGATCTCATAGGCTCTATCGGGCCATAAAATCTCTTTTTGATTTCCAACACAATTCGTGGTCCCTGATCCACCCGGTGTGGTGATTTCTATTTTTTACCTGACCAATCCAACTGGTTGCCTGGTTCGGATCCGTGGGTGGTGTTTTTTTTTTTTTTTTTTTTTTTTTTTTTTTTTTTTTTTTTTTTTCCTCTTCCGAATAATAATAGAATTTGTTGGTCATGCAGATCCAGGCCTGTTCTTTACTCCAGCCACATACAGAGAAGATCAGCCCGATCTTACTGGTCCAAAAAGCTGCGGGGCTCATGTGTTTATCGTCACCGCATTCAGTAGCACATACGCAGGGGGCAACTGCGTGGCGCTAAGCTCCACTTTTCTCAATTTTCCCTGCGCTACGTGATTCAAGGGTACAGTAACGGTACGGTTCCCGCTTTTAGTACCTGCCGCTAAACTCAATGCGGCTGTACCCAGCCATGCTGATAACAAGTCACTCCCAAGTCCTGGGCTTTTTCTTTTGCCTCTGAGCGCTCTTCCTCCCATCACACACATAATGGCTCTCACATTACTAGTTAACGCCGTTCTCCTCGCCATCCCACTGGGAGGCTCCGTGGGCACCCTGGCCGGCATTGACGCGCATCTCGCGGCGACCGGCCAAAAGCCGCTGTTCAGTAGCGACGGCACCTCGGACGGATCTGGAGGCAGCTCAGGAGGCAGCACAGGTGGTGGCTCTGGAGGCTCTGGAAGCACCACGAATAATGGCCTCACCAACACCCAATACTGTGAATTATCCTACGGTATCTCTCCGCCGTCACAAGGAGAGCAGTATACACGTGAGTTTCTCCTCTTTCGGTCTTCCCCAGCTCTGTGGTTATCCACATTCCGATCGTTGATCGTCGGGATTGCCGCTGATCGATCTCATAGTCAATCCCAACCAGTGGGGTGTTACCGACTCAACGACGGGTGCTCTGTGCATGAATGTAAGTCCGCTGTTTCAGGCTGGTTTCAAAATAGCCCATTCCGCTAACCACTCCCAGGTGACCACTTTCAACAATGAGACCTATCCCACCAAGACCACAGCACCGGACTGGTCGGTGACCTGGCAATTCGCAGCGGGCCCCGAGACCCAACCTGTGCACGCCTTCCCTAATATCCAGATCGAAGATGTCCTACCCCTGGCGCTTGACAAAATGGAGGAGATCGACTTTGCTCTCCACTGGACCTACGGCGTGGGCAACACCGTTGTTGAGTCCTCCGACCTATCCACACTCAACAGCGAATCCCTTCAGTGCAATGTTGCCGTCGATATGTTCTTCGACAGCGACAAGACCACTGCCCAGAACAGCACCAGCGCCAACTTCGAGGTCATGGTGTGGTTTGCGCGGTTTGGTGCCTCGACCGATCCCATCGGGTATGCGGAAGGTGTGGTCACAAATCATACGATTAATGGCACAGTATTGTGAGTCGCATTCTGTTTCGATTCCTGCAAGTCTTCCCTGCTGACCATCTCCTTCAGCGAGCTCTACAGTGGCACGAATAGCAACAGCCAGAATGTCCTGACGTGGATTGCCTCGGAGACGACGGAGCAGTTCCAGGGGGATATTTATCCGTTGATTACAGATCTCTACACCCTATCAGGAAGTGTCTATCCGTCAAAGGAAGACTACATGGGTATTTTCCAGTTTGGTACCGAAGCATTCTCTTCGAACGCCAACGTCACATTCGGGGTATCAGAGCTGTCCATTGACATTAAGAAGTCATGAGATGGTTAGACTTATGTACATTTAGCATCTAATTACTTACGACCTATTGAAACGTGACCAGATTAATGATCAGGTCAACTAATCCACATGAACCTTGGCCAAAGTTTGTGATCGCAATACGAACTTGTAGTTCACCCTTCGAAGGATTCATACCGTAGAGCAATAGCTTCACCCAAGAGCTAGCCATCCCCGGTGCTCAATGTCGAAACCTTAAATCCATAGCTGCTATGACTCACTATATCCCCGCACTACATTGTGAATTCTCAATAATCCGCAAAGCTCTCTTCACAAACCCCACAAGAAGCAATATTCCTCATGGAAAAGATCCAAGCCTACGACCTCTCAGTCTTCCCATACTCCACTGATAACGAGAGTGATAGCGGAAATCCAACCACGATATTCTTTGCGGAAGATCTGACTTCAGAAGAGATGCAATCCCTTACCCAGAAGAGCGGCCATGAATGCGGCTTCATCCTTCCTGCCCCGGCAGACACAACCCCAAAGTGTCACTATCGAATGCGCTACTGGGTCCCAAACCACGAAATGGAGATGTGCGGACATGCCACTGTAGGCGCGATCTGGCTTCTGCACCAGCTAGGCATGCTAGTCGCAGCTTCGACTGAAGATCTCCTTCGCATATCTACGTTATCAGGTATAGTCGAGGCGAAAGTCCTTCCCGGCGCAACACTAGCATCCTGCGAGATCCTCGTGTCGCAGCCAAAGGGTACCGTGGAAGAGCTATCTCACAGCTATATCCCCAAAATCCTCTCCAGCCTCGGCCTCACAGAAGAAGATCTCGCACCAGGATACCCCGTTCAAAACGGATGCACATCACGAACAAAAACCCTGATCCCACTGAAGAATCGCGATATCCTGCAAAACATCACGCCGGATTCAGAATCTATCCGACGCGTCTGTGAGCAGATCGAATCGACAGGCCTATATCCCTACATCATTCTCGACTCCACGACCCAACTCATCGAGGCGCGGCAGTTTCCCAGGTCGGTGGGGTATGTCGAGGACCCAGCGACGGGTATAGCAGCCGCGGCGTTATTATTCGGGCTTGTGGAGAATGGGATCGTCGACCCCGGCACAGAGAAACCTGTTCGTATGAGACAAGGTTGGGCTATGGGGAAGCCGTCCGAGATTTCGGTTTGTCTTAGACATGGTGGGGATGGGGTGGGGTGTTGGATTACTGGGAAGGTGAAGTGGCGATCATAGGGGAATAGTTCGGAGAATTGCCGTTCACCTTTCGGGTAATTAAGCCGTTGAACGATACTGTTTGGTTCTTGTACCTTTTCACAATTTTTGTCTTTCCTGGCTCTTGGAAACAGGATCAGGATGGGATTTCTTTGATTCTTGGCATTTGCTGAGTAAATCCAGTCAACTGGTTCATCAATTGTCTTTTCCCGAGGTTCAAGGTTGCCATGTCCGAGTCTACAGTATAGATTGGACATTCAGTAGTTAGTACGAGCCTAGCGTAATTAGTCCACAGCCACCACCAAAAGTTTTGTAATCTCGCAGACTACTACGGCGATAAGTTGAGAAAGACTAAAATGCGATCGCTATTGATTGCTACCTGTCACGAGATTTAGTAAGTAGACGATCTTTACCGAGGATAGGTTATCGTGAGGGGGACCGGATCACCGACGGAGTAAATTGATTGAAAGGAGACAATTGCCGGCATTTGATGAAGAGAGCTCTTATCGACGGGCTTTGGTGACACTTTTGAGGGGTATCAGTGGCGCATCAGCCGATGCTTGTTTCCTTTGCCGAGCACTGGCGTGTATCGGCTTCACTACGCCTAATGCAGTCATCCAATTGATTCCTGCAGTCGCACAAAAGGCTTTAACTGTTGAGTAAATGGGGTCTGTGCGTCATGTTCAGTTACGTAGCTCCTTGAAGCTCGGATTCCATTGGAGGAAAACGTTGCACGATTCCCGTGCGATAGCTAGTCCTCATGTCTTTTAGGTAGTACTAGTCGGGTATATGAAGCAGAGACCGCAATTTACGATTCGAAAATTGTTCTGACTATGTGCAGAGCGATTTGAAGGTTCTGATATTGGGACTCTTGAGTTGATCGCAGAACACAATGCTGATACACCCTCTAATTGGAGGTCTGACGGCTCTCTCTTTTGCTGTCGCTGTTGCAGCGAAAGGTGGCCAACGTCATTTAAAGAGAAAAAGCGATGCAAGTTCAGGAGAAATGCATGATTTTCAGGTCTATCCACCTGTTTTGACCGCATCGGCAGACACGCATGGGAAGAATGAATATGGATGCGTTGTTACGAAAACATTGATGGATTATGATTTCGCAAATAGCTATGGCGACCCTTATGTTGGTGAGAGCATTTAGTCTATTACGAAGGCATTGGAAAACACAGACAAAATCTGACAGCACAGGATACTATACACCCCCGGACTGCGACTTCAATAGAGTGGTGATCGAGTTTAACTTGACATCTAGGGGCAGGTAAGCTTTGATCCCACACACCAGTAGCATGTAGCTCACCGTTCGCAATGACTTACTCACACTGCTCCAGACAGTATGACCGTCTGGCTATCATGTACTTCAACTCGACAGAATTATGGCGAACATCTACCGCCGAGCCAACCCAAGATGGAATCTTCTACACATACAACAAGGAGATGCACCAGTACCTACCGCTGTGGAAGGAACCACAAAAGATCATATTCGATTTGGGAAATATTGTCAACTCGGAGTACACGGGAATCTTGAATACTACCTTGACAGCCACATTTTTCACAGTTCCAGACACCCCTGCTGCAGCGGATAAGATTTTGCCAATCTCTCGCCTGCTTGGAGCCAGCAATTCCAGCAGTGTCGCTGTGCTGCCCGGTGAGGATACTGCTGTATCCTACACTTTACCTCGGAATCTTAAGCGAGCAGTGATCAGTATCTCTGCTTGTGGACAGGCCGACGAGGAGTTTTGGTATCAAAATGTTTTCTCATCTGATACCGATACCTTTGTCGATGTTTCTCCGGTCCTGTATGGGGATGGACCATGGCGGGAAGTCCAGGTCCTCATTGACGGAATGCTTGCTGGTGTGTCGTGGCCATTCCCGGTCATCTTTACTGGAGGTACGTCTTTAATCATTTGAGCATACTTGCGTCGTTGCTAACTTAGGACAGGAATTGTTCCTGGATTCTGGAAACCGATCGTGGGTATCGATGCATTCGATCTACGAGAGCATGAGATTGACATTACACGTAAGTGCTCTTTATTCCCAGGGTCAACCAACGAAACTGACGCTGTAATTAGCCTTCGTCCCGTACCTCTCCGATGGAAAGCCTCATACTTTTGATCTGGTCGTTGTTAGCGTCAATGACCACGGTGGAGAATATGCAACCATAGCAAACACGACGACTGATTCTTGGTATGTCACTGGGAAAATCTTCCTGTTCGAGGACGAAGCAGGCCACATTACTACAGGCTCCATGCCAGTTATCAAAGACCCGCTTCCTTCGCTACACATCACGCGCTCTGTCTCAACCAATTCTACCGGCACGAACGAGACGCTCACAGAGACGACGACTGCAAAGCGATCGCTGCTTATCACCAGCCGACTTAAGACATCCAGCGGGGAGAAGGAGGTCTCTTGGAGCCAAGACATTTCTTACGAAAACTTCAATCAACTTTTAGATTTCGGGTGGTTTCAAAAGACCATCCAAAAGACCACTGGAATCGATAAAACGGGATCCAGTATTGGATATTCTCTTTCATATGAATACCCTTTCAACTGCGACTGGTGGTATTTTGAAACAGGGGAGGAACTTGGTATTTACGGGAACATCAGCCGGTCGCTCACTTTTGATGTGCTGGGTCCATCCGTATTCCCTAATGGTGTCCAGGCATCAGTACTGGATGCATCGGCTGAAAAGGATGGGTCGGAGTTTTCAAAGGTTGAAAAATCACTTGACGGTGTTAGCTTTGGTTCTAGTTTGCGAACGACGCAAGCAGGTACTGCGTCCTACTACAGTGATGACCTGACAACGACAAATCCGATCTATAATTTCGGAAGCCTCAACCAGACAATGAGCTTCCAGGGTGTTGGTACCGATGGAAGCGTCGAGATTTACAGTCGGAATGTTGGTGTGGTAAACAGTACTGTCACTCACGATCAGACGCTGTTTGAACTTGGAAAATCCTCGAAATAGTCATGATGTGCGATTAAACCAACATTCATTGTCGTATTTACACTTTCTGTACACGTGAAATATCATTTCCTGCCTGAGTTATTCGTTTGCTTACCTAGACAGTGGCTGGAGGGATCTTTCAGAATTTAGCCATTTCAAGTCTCTTGAAGAAAGTAATTGAGGACCCTTTGTCCCTTTCAACATCCGGAGATGTAACAATGGCTTGATCTAATTATATGCAATAAAGCCGCCATGGTGTCAACTATCATCTTAAATTATACGCAGGTAGATGTCAATATTGCATGCTTACCTAGAGGATAACCATGTCATTAGTGCAGAAGAATGCCTGGTAGACAAAGAACGTTCAATCCTATATTTACTTTAAGTGATAATACTCTCCATCCTTTCATTTCAAGATGATCTATAACCTTACTTCTTTACTCGACCTATTTGTGGCGAATGCTGAAACACCTCATCTAGGTACTCTCAATATTGACTATCCTCTGAAAGACCGACAACTGCTTAAATAGATTGCTCTTGTCAACTGTTGGATTTATCTATAGCTATATTCTCATATCTACATACATAAGACTCCTTGCTCGATTAAATATTCCAAAAAGAGACTCTTCAAAGTATATTGACCAACGACATATAAAAATGGCCGCAGCACTCGTACCCGGGAAAAAGAGAACGGCCTCCCCTCCTGAGGGTGGTGGACTACCAGCAAAGAAAGCTGCCCTCGGGCCTCCTGCTGGGCCTCCTCCTGAAGAGCCTCCTAGAACGAGATGGGAGCCCACGAAAATAGAGGATATCCCCCAGTCCATAAGAGCCAAGAATGTTGCAAAACTTTCTGTCGAGGTTATATATAAAGGAGAAAATCTAGGAGATTCGGGAGATACCACCCCTTCGAATCACACTGTTATGAAGTTGACTTTCCAGCATCAACAAGCACAAGATACTGCGTACTTGGCCGCTGGCACTAGGGGACTTCTCATCGCTTTTGACATGAAAGGAAAAGCACTTGAAGGGGGAAGTGGTTGGAATGGATTTTTGCTATTAAAAACATTCTCGTATGAGGGCATGCACAAACAAGCAATACACGGCTACGATATACCTATCAAAGCGGCCAGGAAGGGCAAGGGCAGTAGGAAACAAGGCAAGACAGTCAAAGATTTCCTTGAGGTCTTGCTCGGTAACAATTTTCTTCCGTGTGGATTATATATGGACACTCATGTGGTAGGCTGCAAAGACTTTATGTGAGTTTTTCTTTCTTCCTTCCTTTATCTATGCTAACTATTTATCTAGCTCGCAATGTGTATATCGTCTGGCTGAGGCCAAGGTTCTCGATATTCCGGCTGATGCTGGCTGAAGATATTTACGACAGATTCAGTTGGAATTACGCTTGGAAAGAGCCCGTGGCGAAGGAGGGGGGAAAGGGTAAGGAGGAGGAGGAGGAACGCCAAGATGAGGTTCTGAAAATCAACATGGGGGTCGGCTATGCCGTATGGAACCGTGTTTATTATGGGAAACATGTAAAGATTCCTCATATCAATTATGTGGGCAGACGTGATTTACACCAATTTCTTTACTCTGATCTTTATCTTGAGTTATGCTGACCATCAATTTTTATCAATAGATCAATTCTATGATCCAGTAACTAATGAGACAGTCAGCGAGGAGGCGGTAGAAGCTGAAGAGCAGGGGGTGGAAGCTAAATAGAAGGTAAAAGCTGAGGAGGGTCTGGAAATGCCCCCTGGAAGCCCACTTGATAGCTCTGGTGAGGTGAGTATGAGTGAGACCGGGAGTAGATTGCGATGCTATTCAGTATTTGTCTTTTGTATTTCAGCTTGTATCTTAGTCTCGGTGGGGCTTTGGAGTATCATTATATTATAGAGTTGGTGTTATATTGATTTCCATTCGCTCATATTCCGAACAAGTGGACATAGTACTAAGCGTTTTCAAACGACATATAATATCTGAGTTGTCTCGAGTTGTTAGGTCAACTCTAGAACACTTCAAATCCAAGATGCAAATCAACCAGATCTTAGCACTTTTGAACTTGAAACATTACAAGCGGACAGATAAGGACGAGGGATAGATTTGATCTCACTCTCATCGCTGCTGAAACTCTCACGCATTAATGTCTCGGCATAACGCCAAGCATTTCTTTCAATGGTTAAAATGATTAGTACGAAGAAGATTATACTGGACTGCTTCGACTAATTCAAAGGATTGAAATCAATTTTCGGAGTCACAGGGAGCATAATTTGAATACAATCCAATGTACCACTATGCTAAACTAGCTTCATGCCCTGCAAGAGTGAACTTCTCTCGAGTTTGTGCCCAGGTGACACGCGTAGTTAGGTCACAGCAAGAGGACTCCCAGCCTCATAGGTAATCCTCATGCAGTCTCAAGCCCCTCCTCCCAGCTCCCCGAACCGGTTTAACAAGGTATTATCGCTGAAAGAAACGCAACTGGCCTCTGCCAATTCTGGACCACATCCTGGCCACGAGAAAAGCTAGCCGGAATCCCATGAATAATGATGGTCTACGATCTTGTTGAGGTAACTCGAATACGGGATATATACTTTGAACAAGCATGTCTCAAAAGAATCGAGTTCACTATACACAGGGCTTATGAGAGGTAAGGGTAAATAGAAAGAGACAAAAGAGAGAAACGACAAGACATAATAGAACAACGCCATGAGAAGAAAACATGGGAAAATTGGTACACCTGGGTGAGAGTTGAGGGGTCCAAAGATGATCATATAGATGGGATATCCATCTTGCATGATTTCAACCCCCCATAATGGCGGAACCGCCGTCTAGGAAAAGGGGGTCATTTCGTCTTCTTCCTTTTTTTCCATTTCTGTTTTTTATTATTGCGTTGCGGAGGCGCTTTTACCGGTCAACCTCACCGAACACCAAATCCATGGTACCTTAAAAAAATTCAAACGTTAGCAATTGTCAATACACAGTTCGTGTGAGTAAGCTTACCAATAATAGCGACAGCATCGGCCAACAAGTGACCACGGGACACCTGGTCAAAGCCACCCAAGTGGGCAAAACCGGGAGCACGAATCTTGCAGCGGTAAGGACGTTCACTGCCGTCACTGACAAGGTAAACACCCATCTCGCCCTTAGGGGCCTCAATGGCGGAGTAGGTCTCACCGGGGGGCACAGAGTAACCCTTGGTGAAGAGGAGGAAGTGGTGGATCAAAGCCTCCATGTTCTCCTTCATGGCAGCACGGGGAGGCGGGGAAATCTTGTAGTCCTCAACCCGGACGGGACCGGCCGGCATCTTGTTCAGACACTGGTGAATAATGCGGAGGGACTGGCGGAACTCCTCCATACGGCACAGGTAACGGTCGTAGCAGTCACCGTTGACACCGACAGGCACGTCGAACTCGACCTGGTCGTAGGCGTCATAGGGCTGCGACTTACGGATGTCCCACGGAACACCGGAACCACGGAGCATGACACCAGTGAAACTCATGTTGAGCGCATCGGTGGCGTTGACAACACCGACACCCTGGGTACGAGCCTTCCAGATACGGTTGTCGGTAAGCAGCTCCTCAGTCTCGTCGATACGGTCACCGAACTGAGTAGCCCACTGGTAAATGTCGTCAAGAAGGCCGAGAGGCAAATCCTGCGACACACCACCGGGGCGAACGTAGGCAGCGTGGAGACGGGCACCGGAGACACGCTCGTAGAATTCCTAAGTCACAACGAAATCCTCGGTAAGCGAATGTTCTTTTTTATATATTCTCTCTCAACCAGTCATTGTGGTTTCTGGAACTCACCATAAGCTTCTCACGCTCCTCGAAACCCCACAGGAAAGGTGTCAAAGCACCAACATCCATGGCGTGGGAAAGGACGGACATGAGGTGGTTCAGGATACGGGTCATCTCGCCGAACAGAGTACGAATCCACTTAGCACGGTCCGGGATCTCAACGTTCAACAGCTTCTCGACGGCAAGAGCAAAGCACTGCTCGTTGGTCATCATGGAGACGTAATCCAATCGATCGAAATAAGGCAGAGCCTGCATGTAGGTCTTGTACTCAATCAACTTCTCGGTACCACGGTGCAGCAGACCGACGTGGGGATCGGCGCGGACAATCTCTTCGCCATTGAGTTCCAGAATCAATCGCAACACACCGTGAGCAGCTGGATGCTGAGGACCGAAGTTGACTGTGTAGTGACGGATCTTGCGATTGATACCCTCCGCCTCGGACTCGAGAGCAGCGGCGTCGGGGTTTTCGGGAAGCCCCTTGTTGGCCAGGGAAGTGAAGGCCGGGTCAGTCGGAATCAGTCGTGTGGCCTGGTAGCTGGTGGCTTCGGCATGTTGGCGAGAGACGGTAGTGGCTATCGAGCGAGATCGAGGCACAGATGTGTGAAGAGAAGTGGAGGGGCGGAGGCAGAGTCTTTTGGGCGCATTGCCCGCCAGGCGAGCGAAGGAGGCGGCCATGGATGTGAATTAGAGGGGAGATGGACCAATTGAGGGAAAGACGGAACGGGCTCCTCAATCCAGGCGCATCCAACAAGGCAAAGTGGATGCTCTTAGCTATTGCGGGAAAGGAACCTGGCAATAATGAAGATGGAGGTCGCGCTCCAGTTTTGGCACAGTCACGTGAAGAGCTGTCGGGTCATCAGCCCAATTCTGGTTGGTTGACAGAACGTTTCGTAAATTACCGCAAGTGCGGCAGCGGATACGACGTAATATGTCGAAATTTTGGAAAGACTTTCGTTTCACTCCTGCCTCAGGCATATACTAGAAAATCACCTCAAGAAATTATTCTTATCGCCGATCTTCTAAATTTCAATCTTCATCTTCACTGTCCAACCCCACCCTTCACACCATGGCGCCTCTTGTTCCGTCGCCGGAGGAGCTGCAACGTCGCCGTGTGAGTACTACAGCCGATGCACAATTTTTCCTAACCGTTCGTAGGACTGACCATTCCTAGATCATCGGTGTCAACGCAGAGACTGTTACCAACATCCCATCCACAGATTTCCCGGGCCATTGGCCTGGAGAATCGCATGGATGGGCTCTCGATCAGTTCAAGAAAGTATGTCAACCTCTGGTGCAGCGAAGAAAAAGAGCTATGCTTACAATGCCCCACCACAGGACTTCAAGGTCGAATACCACCGCAATGACCCGTACGAGGCCTCGTTCTCACTGATCGGACTTGACGCCGCCGTCGCCAATGCATTCCGCCGTATCTTGATGGCCGAAATCCCTACCCTGGCAATCGAAACTGTCTACGTTCACAACAACACCTCCGTCATTCAAGATGAGGTACTGGCGCAGCGTCTTGGACTTATCCCACTGAAGGGATCCGTGGAAGGAATCAACTGGATGCAATGGGAACAGAAGGCCCCCGGAGATGATGGATCCGCGGCCCCTGAACTCACCGACTTCAACACCGTCGTGATGCAACTTGACATCGAGTGCACCCAGAACACCGACGTTGCCGAAGATGAGACCGATCCTCGCAAGCTATACAACAACGCTCATGTCTACTCCAAGCATCTCACTTTCAGCCCTGTCGGTCGTCAGGAACAGTACTTTGTCGGAGATGGTGCGATTCGCGCTGTCCAGCCCGACATTCTGATCGCCAAGATGCGCCCCGGTCAGAAAATCGAGATGGAGCTGCACTGTGTGAAGGGTATCGGTGCCGATCACGCCAAGTTCTCCCCTGTCGCAACTGCGTCCTACCGTCTCCTGCCGGACATTCAAATCCTGCGCCCGATTATTGGCGAGGATGCGAAAAAGTTTGCCAAGTGTTTCCCCAAGGGCGTTATTGGCCTTGAGCCTGTCACTTCCGAGGAGGCTTCGCGTGCTGGAAGCGGATATGAAGGATACGCCGGTGAGCAGAAGGCCGTCGTCAAGGATGCTTTCAACGACACCGTCAGCCGAGAGTGCCTGCGCCACGAGGAGTTCCAGGGTAAGGTGAAGCTGGGCCGTGTGCGGGATCATTTCATTTTCAACGTGGAAAGTTCCGGTCAGTTCGAGAGTGATACTCTTTTCCTGGAGTCCGTTAAGGTTCTGAAGTTGAAATGCGCTCGGTGGAAGCGCGGTCTGAATGATCTAATGGCGTAAGGCCTTGGAAACATTCATTCCGCGGCGGCTACTTATATAATGCATTTGACTGGCGTTGGCATGTTTTAATTGGCTTCGTTTGAGCTGTACATTTACGAAAAGTTCGGTCTAAAAGTTGGTCTTACGAGACCGGAGTCCGGATACCCTGGTTGTTAGAGCAGAAGGCTGGCAGCTAGCTGTCTTTGAATTCTAAGAGTTAACTGAAACTAGACATCTCATCGTGGCATTGTAAATCCTTCTTGGTCGGAAGGAATGGTAAAATTTGGAGTTCTTTATTTGAAGTGAAGCCGGTAGCGGAAGTCGATCGTGTAGGCTGGATCACTGACTGCAACTTCCTGGCCGTTCTCAACTAGCTCACACAGCTTCAGTCGTAGGTTCGGCCTTGTGTGCTCCTCCAACTGAGGCGGGAAACGCTGGTAAAGTGTCCTCTCCTCTGTCCGAAGGCTTGGCTTCTTCAACTGAGCTTCAGCCTTCTCGCCGAGGCTTTCGATAAATTCGCCTAACGTCATGTTTGCATCCACATCCATCTTACGAGCAAGGTTGCCACACACGGGGCAATCCTCTTTCTTCTCTGCCTCGAAGGTGTAGGTGTAAACACCCTCTTCACCAGCATACATCATGTAATTATCAAGATATGGGTTGCAGGAGGTGGCGATTTTCAACACCTCGGATGTCGTGGATGCTGCAATTACAGCATTTGTCGATGCGATGGCCGGGATGATATTCTTCACTACTCCCTGGGTCATCTGGAAAGTCACGCCATGGATATGAAAATGTTGAGCTCGTTGCAGAGCTTCATTATACACCCAGGAGATGTGCTCCATGTCATCACTGTCAAAGGTATCATCTTTTCGCTTTTCTTGCCAGGCAATCTGGTGCGCCCATTCGATGCAGTGCTGAGGCTGACGAGGAATAGTGGCAATGGTACAGAGAGGCACTGCAGGTCGAGGGGCATGCATGTCAAGCTGGCATTCAATGCATGATGAAAGAGTTGGCAAGATCACACGAGCCTGTCCCTTGAATCCTAGCCCCTCAATTAATATGTGTATTCACAAATAACAAGTTTCAAGAGATGCCAACCTTCAGTTCCGCCGTCAATCAAAGGCTTGAGACTCTCGGGGTTCTCGAAGTCTACCATTCCGATAAGAGTAGAATTGATCCAGCGGCGAGCCTCAATACTGTCAAGACCACAGATGATGATTTTAAATTGCATGTAGTAATCCTCATCTTTATCCTGGATTTTGCCAACGTAAGGCGTGATGTTGACTCCCTTTACTCGCTTCTCCACAAATGCAGCAGCAACTTCTGCTTTAGGCTTGCCGATATCAGCCTGGCGGAATAAAAATTGTCGGTTAAGATTTGAGATATCAATAGTGTCTGCGGGTTCTATGTCGGTAAAAATGTTCTTGCAAGGTTGCACGAATAGACCTACCCATATCAATGACATGAATATCTTTGAACCCTGAGAGGGCGAGATTCTTCAATATTTCACAGCCTAATCCACCAGCTCCACTAGATACACATTAGTCGTCGACCTTGTCGTGGGTTGATATAATTATAACAGGACGAACATCACACTATAGTCATCATTAGTATTAATGGATAAGATTTGTCAAGTCTTTATCATCTCACAGAATTTTGGAGGATTCCAAGGTGTTTATCGTCCCTTGTCCTGGTACCCAGTCCTCATCACTAAAAGGGCCAGGTTTGGATAGGACCTTGTACAGGTGATTCCTATGCTTGTATTAACATGGTAGTAAAGATTAGATGGTCCAAGTCAAACTTACCACCGGCCTTTCTCACCCAAAGATACAAAAGCAGCGGTGGCCATTTTGAAAAGAAGGGAGCTCGGTTAAGCAGTTGGCTGAGCGTGGGTTGACCGTTCTGGCCTGCTGTGATTAGACCCGCTTGGCGCTAAGAGTCGGTTTCTTGATGTTGGGTCGCAGCCTGGCGAGGATTATTCTGAAATGAGATGATTTAAGTTCCCAGAGTCTTAGGTGATATCAATTATTGACGTGACTCTGTCCTGGTGTAAGTTGCGTTGGCGGAGGGAGATGCAATGCGGTGTTTGATGAGGCGGACGCGACACGTGACAAACCCGCATACAAGACATCCGATGCCACAATCATGAACCTATCTTTTCAACGAGCAACAGTCAGTATGGATGGGCTTTTGACGGCTATCAAGACCGTCAAGCAAGAACCGGATCATTCATTGGCAACAGTTGAAACAACTCGTCGCAGCGATGCCCTTACACCCTCCAGTATTATTGGTTTGGATGAAGATCTGACTCCGAATCAGATTATAGATGTGCTGAAATCTCAGCCTTCTTCGGAGCAGATCTCGACGGCATTAGCTGCACTTGATCCGTTTAATAGATCAAAATCACTCAATGTTGACATTCGAGTCCCTGGTCCTGTATCAGCTCAGATCCTCCAGACTTTAGTCAGCACCACCATTCCGGATCACTGGGCATCTGTTGTGGGAAATGACAAAAAACTCAAAAGCACAAAAATCAGAGCTGCTTTATTGCGTTGCTTGAGCAGTGTTGCTGGTATTGGCTCTCTTGTGGCTCGCCTTCGATCTCTCATCCTATCTGCCCGAGCATCTTCCCAGCAAATCCAAGGCTCGAACAGTCATTCAGCTATTCAAGATATTCTATCTGTTCTTGCTGCTTTGTTGGAACCCAAGGACTTTCTGTTCCGTCTTTATGGTGATAACTCGTCTCTTTATGATAATCATACTCGGCAAAAGGTCTCGTGGAATGAACTTGTGTCTCTTGTTGCCTCCGGGAAGATTGTGTCCACGGCAGCAGAGGCGTTCACAGTGGCCAATAAAATCCAATCATCTTCTATCGCTTGGGTTGGGGATGGCCGTCGCTATGCATCATGGCTTGGTGTGAACATCTCCCACTTCATTTCAAAGCTTGATGTCAATGACGAAAGCGGTTGGTCTTTTGTCGCCACGTTAACAGAGCGAGCTCTCAGCCTGGGTTATTCATGTAAGTTTTTTTTTGCAAGCTTTATTGAACATAGGTTCTAAATCTTTCTCAGCTTCGTTGGTCCCTGAGATTTATGCAAGTCTTCTCCGCGATCAGTCATTCTCCAAAAGGTTCAGCTTATTTGTTGATAAGCTCAGGCTATCAGCACAGCTCACTATCCTTCAACTCATTCTCCTAGATCTCCCCATCAAATATTCATCAATTCGCCTATGTGACTATCCCAATGACTCAAGTGCATGTACGGATATTATCAATGGAGCAGCAACTTTGTTGTCCACAATCATTGGTGATCGACTACACTTCAAAGAAGAGATCACAGACTGGCTCGCAAAAGGCCGATTCGCGGCAGCTTTTCCAGTTGGTATTAATCGAGCCATTGTAGCAACTTATGATAATGAAAATGGTGAGTATGCTGAACATGCTTTTTTTCATCCGCTGACTATGAATAGATGCACTCAAAACCTTGATAATTCGCGCCCTCGAGCACTTTGGTGATAAGTTTGCTATTAATCACAATAGTGACCGCGAACACGATGGTCTGCTCAAGTCCTACCCAAATTTATGCTGCTTATCAAACTAACATGAAGTAGCCAATGCTCAAATCATTCTCCTGGCAGCAGGCCGTCTAAGTAGACTTGGTCCTTCTCAAATCAAAGAGGTCGGTCGCTCAGGGGCTTTTTTGACCGCAATCTCCAATCGACTTGCCGCGTCTTCTAATAGAGCACGATTAATGGGCATGATCGTTGGAACGGGCATGTCTGAGCTTGTGGAGGAGCCTGGTAAATCAATGAAGTTCGACCTCGAAGAGATGCGGAGCGCAGAAACTCAATGGTATCTGAGCCTGATAAGGTCTCGAGATGATGTTGGATCTTTTGAGTCCATCCAATCTCTTTTGAAGACAGACGAACCCTCATCTGCTCCTTCGAAAGCTAAAAATCCTAAACCGCCCTCACGTCCCCAGAGAATAGTAGAGGTCATCAGCGATGATGAGGATGAGGACGATGAAACAGAAGATGAGGACCTCATCCCGTACGAGAAGCCTGATGATGATGCGGAGGATGACGATGAAGATGCAACGCTAGTACAACGAAACAAGCCAACGGCACCTGTGTAAGTCATCCAGACACTCGTCCCTCAGCGTATCTAACATCCACCAGGTACATCCGTGACCTAGTCACATGGCTCCGAGACAACGAAAATGTCGAGCGTTATCACCTCGCTATCACCACCGCGCCGAGTCTGATCCGTCGTAAGATTGAATTTGGCAGCGAGCTTGCCGAGTACGTCGAGGAGCTAGCTTTGACAATTGTCGGTCTCCAAAATGACAGCAATCATCCACAATTCCACGAAGCCCGTTTGCAAAGTATGATTGCCTTGATCGTCTCCCAGCCCCTCAAAATGGCTCGCTGGTTCGCAGCGTTCTTCTTTGAAGGCGATCTGTCCCAAGTTCAGCGATCCGCCGTGCTCACGGCCCTCGGTCTTAGCGCCCGCGAAATTTCCGGAAATGGAGAAGACGATGCTAAAGCATTAGGTCTTCCTGCTTTGCAAGATACTTCGTTCCCATCTAAACGCCTTGCGCCAGCATTAGATGCCATGTTCCAAGGATCCAAAGATTCTCCCATCTCAGCACTTACCAGAGAAATGTCAAAAGCGTCGCTACAGCCGATGGCGGCCAATGCAGCCGATGCAGTCACAGGGCCAAATGCACTCAAAGTGCGCACTTTCTCGACCCGCATGGAAGTTGAGAAGAAACGCCAGCAGCGCGCTGCGCAGCGGCAGAAGTCCGTTGCAAAGGATCTTCACAAGGTTCTTGCCGAGGGCTTCTTCTACCCTCTTACCAGCCGATTTACCGTGATGATGCTTCAATTTTCCTCGTATGTATATTTCCTTCCCTGAGGTGAAAGATTCGGTTTGGCTAACCCTCGACAATAGCTCATCCGTGTCATCTCACAACCCATTCATGATTCCCCATATTTTCACCCTCTTTCTTCAAACTCTCTCCCTGATTCTCACTACCTCTGGTCCACACTCTACCTTCCTGCCGGGTCTTACCCACGACACTCTCTCGCTACTCTTGTCTCTACACACAAGTCCCATATCCAATGATCCAACAGTCACTGCTGCACTTCTTACCCTGTTTCTCGCAGCAATAGACTTGAACATTGCCTCTGGATCGAACGGTGAAGAGCGCCTTGTTACAGAGTGCGCGAATCAGGTGATTGAATTGCGTGAGTGGGCTTCTCAGGTGTTCGACAACACACCTGCTGCTCCGGGTAAATCGAACTCCAACACGCCTGCCGATACGCAGGATCAGGTACGAACTTTAGCTGCTGGCGTAATGATTCGAATTGGGGAGATCACGGAGCGGTATCAGGGCCGCTTGATGGGTGTCAATGCTGGATTCAAGTACTGAGTCACGTTGATCTGACGGTTGAAATCATCTTGTAAGATAATCTGCAGATACTACGCTATGTGACAAACAAAATGTAAAGACTATGCACTCTTTGAAGATTAAAAATGGTATCATAAGAATAACTACCCATAACAAACGCTAGATCGATCAGAGATGGATGTGGTAATAGAGGCTACTCGGCTTTCGCGAAGCTCTGCTTCTCAATAGCAGCCTCCATCATGCGATCGCCACTAATAATACCGGTCGTGCAAATGATGATCTTCCGGCGCGGCGCCTCTTGGGCCGCAATGAATCGCAATGCAGCGATCTCCGTGAATGTAATACCACCTAGGAAGAACACATACACCACCTTCGTAGTATTATTACCACTAAGAGTCTGGCGGGCCCGAACGGCCTTGTCATCGCCCTTCTGGACGATACTGAAAGTGGATCCGCGAGCACTCTTGACCACGTCTTCAAATCCGAGCCAGCCGGGAGAGGCGGTGCTAGCGTTATTTATGGATGCCGTAGGCGCTCCGCCTTTGATGAGGGATAAGATATATGGCTTTTGCAGTACGCACTGTACCAATCTCACGCTGAGTGGGGCGAATCCACTGTAGACGTAAGAGATGTCGTTGGGATCTTTCTCGCTAACTTCTTCAATGACCAGGCGTAAGTTCTTCCGCAGGTATCCGTAATTAGTCTTTGTGCCCGCCTGGGATCCAGATGTGGGAAGAAGCATAGTGGTTGCAGAAGATCGGGGCTGAAGGAGCTCCATTTTCTCCAGAGCCCAGAAAGTGAGGAGATGCTGGTGTCCGTAGGCCTGAACAACTTGGCGCTTAAAGTTTTCTAAATCCCGCGGACGAAGGCCTCCGGCCATGCATGACTCAAGACACAGCAGTCGTAGCACGCTCTTCAGGGGCGCATCGCGAGCGATGAGCTCTTCGATTGTTTCATGTTGATATGTGGGGTCGGCTCCGGCGGCATTGTTCTGCTGCACCTCCAGGATCTTCCGGAAGGTCTCGGAGCGGGTCAGACGCATGATCTCTTCTGCAAGATTGGTGTGGGTCCGAAGAGATTGATGCTCCAGCTGATAGGTGGGTAATTTGTTGACAAATTCTCGAAGTTCATTTGTGGTCTTCGCAGAATGGCGGGTTTCATACTCGGTTTCTAAGCGGCGAGCTACCTTGTTCAAGATGTCGCCCACAATAGCAAAGTTTGCATCTCGCAGCTGATTAAACAATTGATCGGACGCATCTAGTTGGATTTTCCTTTTCAATCCTTGCTTTGCCTGCTGAGGCGTCTTGGATGACTCTTGGGCCTGTGGCGCTGGTCCCTGACCCACAATACTGGTGTCAACATCGGCTTGGTTGTTCTTGATGCCGACATATTCATCAATCAGGCCTTCGTATGTGAGTTGCGTTAGAAGCGGAGTACCAAAATCCACATCACGGTCGATAATGATAAGGTTCTCGATGCTAGCACTGGGAAGTAGCCCTCGTGCGGACGGATCTGTCAACCCGGAGCTTTCTTCTGCATCAAGCTCTTTGCGCATGCGCAGCAAAAGATCTGCCAATCGTCGTGCGTTGTCACCTTTCCCGACGATACGTGGAAAATAGCCGTGTCGCTGTTGAATGCCCATCAACGCCTTGGCAGAATGAAAGATACATCCAGGATCCTTGTTCTGTAGCTATTGTCAATAAGGGTCCAGCTGCTTTTATGGTAGATGCCATACCAAGTAAAGGTCCCCGAAAGCACTATCCAGCTCTAGTGAGAGAATATCTTGCTCTAGCGGTAAAAAATGAAGCGGAAACTCGGCAATATTGACATCGCCGGTGATACCAGCCTCTTCCAAGACGGCATTGCTCATGAGAGTCCGCCGGGGAGTGAAAAAAATAAAGAACTCATGTTCCACGTTCCCATTGTTTTGCAGGCGTTTGATTTGTTCTAAAAAGAAATTGTTAGCCCACTCTGATGACCCTTCATCGACAGTTAACTTGGAATGAAAGCCAATATATGGGCATTGCTCTCATTCTAGGGAACTTGAAAAGCATTCGCCGAGTAGAAGATTCGTCTGCGAAAATCTAATGATGTCCCGGAAAAGAATTGTGTATACACCAACCACGGACATAAATCAAGAGGAAACGTCATATCAACACCTACCTGCGACAATACGCACATGCTGCGCCTTCTCTCCCCGGATGAGGAATATGACATTGCGCTGAGATGAGTCTATGTTCGCATTTTCCAGCAAAAATACTCGATCTACACCATATTCCTGTAGTACGGAGAATTTGACGAACAGGCCGACTGGACCGGCTAGCTCCTGACTGATAACGAGGTTCTTCTTTCCCCGAGCCTGCACACCATTAGAAAGAGCTGAGGGACTCGGGAGGTGATACTCACGCCCTCGAGCAGGGCCAGCAGATCCCTGCGGGCCTTGTCTCTGCAGTGGTCAGCATCTCCCTGAGGTGCCATCGCTGGAAAGAAAAGGAGGCTGTGACAGGCAACAACGTCAACACCAAAAATAACGCGGGGATGGCGAAGTTGCCGCTTGTGGCTTAGCCCCGCTGACTCAAAACGATCGGCTGTCTTTGTACTGTCATAGCCCCTAGATTGCCACCGTGTCTTCGATGCTTAATGTGTGTATTCTTCCATAATACAATAACCAAAGTTACAGGTCGGTCTCGACTGCCTGCAGCTCCCCTGACCACTGTTTGACATTTTGATTCTTAATTCCCATTTCTCTTGCTGTGGTTCTTTCTCTTGGATTAACGAGTTTATTTCTCCCTTCGCTCTCGGATTGACGTCTTCTCGGCCAACTCAGACTTTTTCGAATATCAGCAACCAAGAAAAAAAAGCATCTCTTCAACCCCCCACCATGGGCTTCTTCAAGAAATCCGATAAGAACGATGGCGACGATGACAACAACCGCCGTGCGCTGTTCGGCTCCCGCAAGAACAAGAGTCCTCCACAGAACTCAAACCCCTACGCCCAGCCTATTCCCACAGACCCTTACACCAAAGCCAAGATAAACGCTGGTGTGGCACCTATGCCCGACCAGTCTGGCGGCAACGGGCCCCACAACATCCCATCGGACAACAAGTACTCCGGCTACACTCCTAACGCCTACGGTAATCAAGGTGGATATGGCAGTGATCGCTTCGGTAGTGGCAGCGCCGGCGCTGGCGCCGGAGCGGCATCCCGGTATGGTTCCGGTGGCTACGGAGGATTGGGTAGCTCCGACCCCAATGATCCCAACGCCGGGGATGCGGCGCGCAATGAACTGTTTGGAGGCGCCAGGGACCGCGCTCAGCGCCCAGGTGGCGCTGCGCCGCCTCCCTACAGCGAGGGAGGACAGGGGAATCAACCCGCTTACGGTGGCGGCAGCAACGAATACAGCATGGCCAAGTTTGAGGACCGCCAGCTGACAGCGGAGGAAGAGGAAGAGGAGTCTGTCCAGGCGACGAAGCAGGAGATGCGCCACGTTAAGCAAGGCGATGTTTCATCGACTCGGAATGCTCTTCGGGTGGCGGCCCAGGCTGAGGAGACAGGTCGGACTACTCTGGCTCGTCTGGGTGCTCAGGGTGAGCTGGTCCACGGTGCGGAGCAGAGCTTGGATATGGCTACAGTTGAGGGACGTCTCGCTGAGGAGAAGGCACGAGAATTGAAGACATTGAACAAGAGCATGTTCGCTGTGCACGTGTCCAATCCGTTCACCAGTGCCTCGCGCCGTCGGGAGCGTGATGAGCGGATCCTCAACACCCACCGTGAGGAGCGCGATGCTCGCGATGGTACCCGATCGGAAGCCTTCCAGAGCAATGCCCGAATGGATCGGATGTTCCGTGATATCGACCGCGAGGCTTCGAAGCAACCCAAGCCCAAGAAGGCCAGTGTCACCGAGCGTGCCAAGTACCAGTTTGAGGCCGATAGCGAAGATGAGGCCATGGAAGATGAGATTGAGCAGAACTTGGATCTTCTCAGTGGTGCCGCCGGTCGGCTGAACGGTTTGGCCAAGGCCACTGGTCGTGAGCTTGACGAGCAGAACCGCCACTTAGAGCGCATCACAGGCAAGGTAAGTGCCATTGCTCCCATAAAGCATGTAGTTCAGACGCTAATCTGTACAGAGCGACTACGTCGACGACCAACTTGCCATGAACCGGGCCAAGTTGGACCGGATCCGTTAAGCCCACTTGTGGGTAGAGCTTGGATATGCCTGGTGCTGTGCAACTCATTAATCATCAACTCCTTTTCATTGCGAAACATCAACAAATCATGGCGTTTAGGACTGGCTCTTCTTATTCCTGCAATTTGGATATTAGCAGGATCCCGAGACGGCGATTTAGACTATGAATTTAGTATCCTAATTCTATCTTCTTGTGCATAATTGAAGCCCTTCATGCCGTCGTTCGACTAATTATGCTACCTCATTGATTTCTGTCAGCCACTCAATCTAGAACCCTGTAATAAAAAAGCGCTTAAAACCCACTGGTGCTAGTAGTCTTGTTCATGCATGATCGATGATGTCCGCGTGAGATTCCTGGCTTGCACTGGACACGTTGATTTACATAGAACAATGTCCAAGAAACTATAAGATGGAATATGAAGATCATTTCCTTTTTCGGTTACAATCTACAGAGAACCAGATGAATCTGAATTTGCCTTGAGCGCTCGATTGTGGATTAGACAATAATCTTTACTATAGCGACTGTAGAGCGGAACTAAAACCAGCGGGCTTCTATAACCATAGGCCAACCGCCAGAATCAACCCGAAAATAAAGTGTCAAACAGATGAGGCGCTTTCGCACCAATGCCACGGGTATCACATCCAACACCAACCCATTGCACAACCAGTGCAATCCTCGAAACGCAGACCCAGTGGGATAAGGGCGACCCTCATAAAAAAAACCAAAAAGTCAAACCATCAAGCCAACCAAGCGGAAGGAGGGTGAGAAACATGATTTGATCGCGCACACGCGACAAGCATAGTTGAAAAAAGGAAATCTAACATGCAAAACAGATGCAAGTAGAGAAGAAGAGAAAACTAGAAGGAAAAAAAGTCTGCAGTGATAAACAAGACAGACGAAGAAAGTGTCCCAAAAGAATAGAGAACGCATTGAATCATCACAAGCCCATGGTATCGAAAACAAAAACAACAGTGTGACTCCCAGTGTCTAGCGAAAGAAGAGAAAGAAACAACCAGGAACGCAAACCAGCCGGTACCTCTATGGTCATAACATGATAAACAAAGGAAAAAAGTGAAAATGCGTCACAGAAATGGCTCACCCTTCCCAGGGCCCTTGTACCGTATCCGATTAAACCCAGAATTTGACAGAATCCTGTCCACGGGTATATGTGACTCCCAACGCCCTGTATGTAGCGTATGAATAGACGAGAGATGAGAAATGAGAAATGAGATCCACGGTGTTGTACAATGAGGAGCACGAGTACAATTAATCCAAGATCAACGCAGTTGATCTGGATGAAACTCGACAGAAGACAAGGGCGGGTTCTGTAGTCGGAATAGATGGTGGGGTGGGAGGGATATCTGGCGCGTTCGTTTTCGCGCAGAGCTGGTAGGGAAGGGTAGAGCGTTCAAAAGACTCGAGTTGAATCGTTTGAGTACAAGAATAGAAGGTCATTGCGTGTTTTGAGCGAGAAATTTACTCGTCTTCGTCTTGGGAGCCGGTGTCTTTCTCGCCCTTGTGCACCTTCTTGTGGCGACGCAAGTTTGAGACAACTGAGAAGTGTCGTCCACAGCCTGCAACATCACAAGCGAATGCTGTAGTTCTGTTAGTGTCTGTCTGGGGTGATATCGCGGTGGAAGAACTTACGCTTCTCGCCAGTGTGGCTGTACATGTGTGTCTGCAACGAAGACGGACGCGTGAATCGCTTGTCGCAGACCTTGCACTTGTGCTTCTTTTGGGTGTTGGAGGGCATCTTGGAGCTGAACTGGCTCATCATGGACTGGGGACCGGAGGGCGCGCTACCAGCCAAAAGACTAGTCGGCCGGGGAAGAGTGCGCGACTCATAAGACTCGGAAGTGCTCGAGCTGTAATCGGTCACGGAAGAGTCCACAGAGCCCACGGAGGCGCTGTAGTAGGGGTAGTTGCCGCCTGAGGAAATTGAGGAAGCGGATGAGTGTGTTGAAGGGAAACCGTAGGAATCAGTCGACCCGCGGGCCCCGCGAGGCCCGTAAATGTTCCGGGGAGTCAAATCCTGGCTGAGTGCCACCATTCCTCGACTGGCATCGAGCGCGTCTCCGAAGGTGGGAGCGCCTGGTTGAGCTTGGGAGGAGCCCACACGAGCATCTCTGCATATTTCACGTGTCAGAAATGTAACCTTGTAATTCTGTGAAATGTGACCGTGGAGAACTTACGAATGCGACATGCGGCGAGCATCTTGGGACTGGGAAGGGTGAATGGGAGCGTAGCTCACTGGCGCATAGCTGGAGGGCGCGAAGCTGCTCATGGGGGGAGCTGTGGTGTAGGTGGGTGCCTGCTCGAAACCAGTGCGCGGTACGTCGTGTTGCATTGCCATCACCTCTGGACCGTAGCCGGTAGCTGTGTAGTTGCTGCCAGGCACCAGCGACGGTGCTGACACGGGAATGTTGGGGTAGGGCATGGACATGGCAGTTGGTCGGCCGACTTCCTCTGACTTGACGGGGTTGATGGGGATGCTGGCACTGTTGCCCATGGATGTCGCATAAATAGGAGGAGTCGAGTGCGAGGTGGTATGCGCGGTAGCCCAGGGGTCTGTAAATTGTGGTGGATTGTGGTGGTAGACATTGTCGAAGCTCATGCCGCCGTACTGGCGGTTCTGGTTTTCAATGACCATCGTCATGGAGAATATGGTCGCGTAGAATCGCGAGCCGAATGTGCGCGTCGATTGAAAGGGATTTTTGTTTTCTTTGGTTGATTGTCGCCCCAAGAGTGTGAAGGTTGGGAGTCCAAATGCAAACTGATCGACTGTGTTGATCTGAGGGGGCAAGAGAGATGAAAGGTAGAAAGAAGAAAGTGATAAGCCCGAAGATCAGATTACTTTAATGCAAATTTAAAAAAGAATAAAAAGCAGGTGAAAGGGGGAGGAGGTAGAAACAGTCTGGGGAAGGGGATCGGCGAAGCTTAAGAAGGGACATAGTGCACGATACACTCCAGTGCCACTGACGACGTCCCTCGGGGACGGTTGCAGATCGTTTGGAAATAATACAGTAATTTTACTCAAGTCCCCATAAAATCCATAATCTCAAATAATTCGGTTTCTTATTTTTATCTTGCAGGATTGGACTGCTTTAGTGTCAAAAGTGGCTCCACGAACGGGAACCAGTTCCTCGGACCCTCTTGATTTTCTAGGAATTTTATTTAATTTGGTCGACTCTTCAGGTCCTAATACAGTCAATAAGATAGAATGGAATTACATATCCATAGTTCTATGATACTCGACACATTTAACAATCCTCCCAGATTAGGCTGAGGAATGGAAGATCTAAAGAAATCCTTATCCAACACGACGCAAGAATGTCGAATACGTACGAGGTCAAGAGGCAAAAAAAAAAAAAAAAAAAAAAAAAAAGAATTCCCCTTCTCTCCGTGATCGGACAAGTGTAAACTGGAGCCAAATTAAAATTAAAGAACAGAAGCAGAATCATGGGACCCAAAAAGCAGTCGGTGACCTCAGCTTGGGTGGGTTTTTCACTGTGACGGAGTATATAGGAGAGACTATTTGGTCAGGGAATGTCCCGCACAGACTAGTCCACCTGTGCCGTGTCTATGGAGACGCTAGGCAAGATAAGGCAAAAATGATTAAAAAGAAAAGGGACGCCAAGAAATAAACTCACGATGCAGCGACCAAGGTTCGCCCTGGTGTGGTGTTTCAAAGTAGCGGGGAAAGTGGTAGATCCCAACGATACGTCAAAGGGTATACCCGTTCCGGGGTGAGTTTGATGCTTTTACCAGTTTATTACATAGATTTGGCTGATACATGGAGGAAATATGATATAATGAGAGGATAGTGTTCCCTTGACATATTTTTTTCCCAAATAACATGATGCGTCCAAAGGCAAATTTCGATTTAGGGGGAGGGGGGAGCACGATGCAGTGAAGCTTGAACCCCTTCTCGGGTTAGGGTTGGCCACTGGGCCATGGCTCTTCTCAGCCAAACCCAAATGTGGGAGGAAAGCCCCACGACCTAGTTTGGAACCCGCATGATTGGATCAAGACTTGGGAGGCAAAAGAGGAAAAACGATTGTGACGATTCTCCCAAAAGGAGGGGCTTTCTTGACACGGGCCAAAGAAGGTTTAGCGCATTGAGACCTTACTTGAAGAGATTCATTGAATTGAAATCATTATTCTCGAAACTAGGTTTCAAACCCCCCAACTCGAATTATCGAATCAATAGCTTGTACATTATTGACGCCCGCATTCTGATCCGTTCCCATTCTCTGGAGCTGCGAAAGGGTCAAGGAATTTTTACCGATTTTTTTTCTCCTACGCGTCAAAATGGAAAAGAATGTGCATGATGACGACGTTGGAGGGGGACACTGTTTCGGAGTTTCTATCTAGCCTTACCTCATCGCGACCCAGTTACAGTGTGGAGGATGTACGATGCCAAAAATTCCACTAAGGGAAATAGAAAAAAAAAAAAAAATAGACAGTAATGTCGGACTTACTCCGGTCCACATTGGAGAGAGAATCGTTACACCGTGTTCCCATGGGCGTTGTACAAAGGGGAGAAACGCAAGCCTATTGTCGGGTCGTGATGACGGAATGCCGGATTTTTCTCCTGGAGGTATTCCGGGTCCTACCATTTGCCGCCATACGACCCGTAGCAGGGTCAACCGTGCGACGGGGAAGAAAGGGGATTAAGTCCGGGACAGGTACAACGAGTCATTCCTCGTATTTTGCCATCACTTTGCACCCAAGCCATGGCCTACTCCGAGGGGGCAGCTGAACACCGACGTCAGAGGGCGGACCAGCACATCCCGCCATGGGGGCATTAGCGGCGCGGCTCCTGCAATAGCGCGGCAGATGTGACCTTTGGGCTTACAATCGGACTCATCACACATAAGTGCTTTGCCTACTGTGAAATGTTGTCCATTGTGGTTTAACCCCTCTCTACGGTGGGACTAGTCGAAAGCCCGTGGCAACGGGATGTTGGAGAAAAAAGTCAATGCCAAGGTCCCCGAGGTTGAAATCCCCGAGACCAGTCAATCCGCTAAGCTTCGTGATCACAAGGGATCTGAGGTAGCCGAGGGAGGCTGAAGATTCCTCTCCCGAGAATTAACTTTGAACCTTACCTTTTTGACTCTCATGGTTCAACTTGTCCGTAAACTCTGGCGTATACTCACAAAATGTAGATTCTCGTACCCCGAACTAAACCGAGTAGCCCGGGGATCACAGGAAACAGCCACCGCCCCGGGAGGAAGCCATCGGAAATCATCTTTCCTGTCAGAACCATGGGCCTTATTTCACACAATTTCATGTGGCTTCTATCAGCGCCTTTTCCATTGGCCTCTCCGCATTACCGTTCATCCCAAGGGCGAATGGCTTGTCAATTCCATGGTTAGGACGATTTTCTAAAAAATTATCACAAAAAAAAAAAAAAAAAAAAAAAAAAACTTATCATCCATGGATGACTTGAGTTCCGAACCATGAGGTTCGCTGAATGCGGAAAGTCTGACTCTAGCCATGGGTCAAAAGACCGTTCCTCGATGGCGACCGTGGGTCCCTAATCCCAAACCCGAGCACATTAGTTGGAGTAACTGATCTCAAACGACCCCAATACCGTCTACAAGTCGAACCAAAGTTTTATATTGTGATCATCTCTATAGTTTGTTTATCGAGGGGGCTGTGTCTCCTACTATTCCGGAGCGGTTCTCCATTCACTAGTGGCTACGGGAAGGGGAGATCGATTTCCCACGCTACGAGAAGAAAAAAAAAATAGTCCCTTTAGGGTCTGGCCGAGGAAGCCGATGAATCTAGGCATTTGTCGGGTTGGAGCGCCAGAACGCGCTTGGGGAGATTATTGTCCCCCTTTGATCCATTCGTGGCTTTTTGTCAATGCGCGAACTGGGAAAAAAAAAACAAGCACCGCCCTTTAAGCCATCCCGTGTCTGGCCCACTCGATATCTCACCGGTAGGATTTACTGGACGGATTGCATCATTTGAATAGGAGAGATTACTTGTTTTCATTGTGAAGAAAAAAAAAAATGATGCCAAATGGTAAAATAGGAGAGCCCGTGGGTGGATGGGGGTGCTTTCGCCCCCCACGGTTTCACAAAGTCCACTATTGACTTACGAAGCCTGCCCCAGTATATCTCAAACAATGACATCTCTCGTCTCTAACAATCTAAACCTAATATGCAAGTATAAAAAAAAAAGTAAAGACCGTTAGGGCTAACCATAGCCATGGGTTACACGCAGCCGGAAAAACAGAGTTTGGGGGGAAGATCAAATGTCAGGATCTTTTGTCTCGGCTTGTTCAAATTCGATTTTTTTTTCTAATTTTTTTTCTTTTTCCTTTCACTCCCATAGGGGGAAAAGAAGAGGTCCATGCAACACGGCTTGGTGGTGGAGACTTGGCAACCGTGTAAGTTGCCAGGTCGAATCCCTAACTGACCGCTTTTCCTCCACTAGCCCGGATCAGGAACAGTGCAGCCTGTAACACGGCTCACTCTCATGACGCGTCTCAAATTCAGACTCCCCAAACTCCCCAAGGACAACTAGCTCGGAAGCCCGGCTTTCCTCCTTGGTACCCTTAACTCCCGAGAAACGCGCTGAAAATTCACCTCAAAAAAGGCGGTCACCGTGCCCGCTGAATTGTCGGAGAAATACTCCCATGCTTACAAAACTGAAATGCGGGACACCCCGGAATGGGGAGGGGTCGAGCATGCGACAACATATGGATATCAAAGACATATCGCATATCCCAGATTATTGCGTATCATGAAGAAGTGTAATGAATATCTTGCATCCATCCCAGATCTGCCCGACGTCATGACGATGATCAACAAGACCGTCATACTGTAATTCCGCCCTACGAGAAATGGGCCAAGAGGACCCACTTCGCAGGCAGTAAGCAACAGGGGGCGTTACAGCCAACAGAGCATCAATCTCCCTCATCTACAGTGCCTCTACGCCTCCACGAAACGGTGCAATTAATATGATGCATAACGAAAGATTCATATAAGGTTTCCTTATCAGAAGTTCGAGTCACCCGACATGTCGATATGTAACCTGAAGGCTTTACTAGTGGGGTCAGGAACCCAAGTCGCACTCTGTACACCAAAGGGCTGTCATCTGCACGGGGCTCCGATCTTGGCGGTGTCCACACGGCAGATCGTCAAAGAGATTGTCCTCTAAATCCGACTTTCTCATGTGCACATCACCGTTCGGACTTAATTAGCGGACCGACGTTGCATTTGGTATATACTCAAGTGAGAGTTCTATGTACACTAGTGCTTTTAATTGACTGATACTTAATTTTGTACCGCTATCGCCAACAAATTGCTGTTTCTATAGATAGAAAAGAAACCATGAAACATGGACTAGAACCACACTTTTCCAGCTGATCCAGGAAATCGAAATCTCCACTAGAAATGGAGGAAGGTCTGGCGCGGGTGCGCGGCCGGCTAAATTGGTTAAAAGGTAAAGTTGGGCACCTCCACTCAGAAGAAAATCGGAAATCAAAAACGAAAAAGGAAAAAAAGCAGGATATGACGGAGGACTCGAACAGATGGCGGTTTAATCAAGCGGTGATTGGATCACCCGTCTCTCTCCCCTTTCTGTCCAATCCACACCCGATACCGGAATCCCCAAAAGATCCACCCGAAGGGGTTATTCCGT